CCCCTAAGGTTCATAACACGCTTAGCGCTAAGATACTAGCAATTAATACGTCCATTTATAACTCAATTAAGCGCTGTTTGTGCGTTCATCGAAACACATCCAGTTCAGTATGACCAAGTTTAAAGCGCGCAACACCTCTCGGGCGTGCAATCCTCGTTGTTTATGTATGAAGTAATTATACGTGCATGCATCAAGGTGCGCCGCCAAAGTTGGCCGCCATTATTGCGGCACTAACCGTGTGGCAGCGAGCATATAAAGCAATTAAACTAATCTCAAGCGAGGCGGTCGCGCGATATGACCACGCTTTGTTATGATTTGCACTTTAGGTAAACTCAAGACCATTATTACAAAATGGCCACCGCTCAAAGCACTCAACATAACCTCGAAAAAAAGGTAGAGCGATAAAAATGCTTCGACTCGTTTTGCTCGCAGTGTCAATGCTTTTGGCATTCACCGCACGAGTTTTACGCCCTGCGCTTCAAGTTCTTCTTCTTCTTTTCGAGGACGGTATTAGCTTGCCCCTTTTTTCGCTCAGCGGGCCTTGCCGCGTTGAACAGATCGTTAAGTAGTAAAGTAGTAAGTAAACTCATTACGCACACCCCGGCGTTTTGGAAACTTTTTTAACTTGCCTAATCATCCCGAGCGTTCGCTCCTTCGTCCGCGGTTAAATCATTCTTTTCCAGCAAGAGCGCGCGCCCTCGACAAGTTTCTCTGCTGCGCCAAACTCGGTACATATTAAGCTTTTAATAAAAAATAAAGTTCAACACACTTGCTTGTGCCGCACGCCGCTGGTGGCAAAAGCCGTCGCTCATTTAAGTTAACAATTTATCTATTAGAAGGCATATTTGCATCGTAAAGAAGATAAATTAAATTTTCAATAGTTGGCAGCCGACGGGAACTTTCCGCACTTTGGGGGAAAGATGCTCGAAATAAAAGATGAACGCAACTATTGACTAACTTTAATACGTCGAGCATCAATTATGTATTTATTTAACATGAAAGCACTTTGCATTTCTAGGATTACATGATGTATTAGACACAGGGCGAGAGCCAGAGCGGGCCCCGGGAAAAATCCGCGGGACCCACTAATTTTTTGCTCATTTTTTGTGTTTGCGATTTAATTTACCCCAGTTGACCCCTCCCCCAATAATAAATACAAAACTTGTTTATAAACAGCCAATGTAAACTTGATCAAAAAATATAATTGAATTATAACTTACCAGTGTACAGCTTATCGGACGGCTGCGCACAACGAGTGCTGTAACTAAACGAAAACATAAATTAAAACAAAAATATAACATACAATTGAATTATGTTATAATTAACAATTAACACAAAATCCAACAATCTGTGCTGTTTAGTTAAAAAATACTTACAGGAGCCTGATGGATCTTTCTTAATGATGAGAATCAACATGGGGGCGACACCAAATACAACGCCGAGTGAACATTGTTATCAAATCCACTATCACGTGACTTGTAATATATATAAAAAACGCGATCAAGAACAGGCATTTCCGAACATTACAAATTACTATAGTCGCAAAGTACAAATAAATACTCAATTGATCTTCGAGTGTAACACAAATTTTGAATATTGAAGTCCGATTAAACGATATTAATCACTCAAAACATGGCTGGATTAACCAGCGACCGGCACGAAACTGGCTGCAATCCACCGATAGTGCATGCCGAAACTGCGTAAACAACGACGAAACAGTATGATAAGAAAGCAAGAGGTGCGCAAAGATAGCGCGTAGAAGGCACGTGATCTTGTGCACGAATTTACAATAGGCACATTACCTGTGATCTAAACCAAACTTGACTTTGCTGTATGCAGCAAGTTGATGCGGCGCTAGGACACAGCGCGCGGGACACATTCGTTAAAAACGTCGCATCGCAGATAACAGCATTGTATACAAAACAATTCTCGTGCCCACGTTTCTCGATAAATATAAAAATAAGCCGTATTAACTCGATTTTATGATTTTTAGTGCATCCTAGTGTCATCTATGAATGCGACAGATACTAGTTCCACAATTTAGACAATTATTATCAATAATTAATTTCCCACGTTTTTCCAATTTTGGATGCCGTATATATTGTCAATTAACAATTAATGTAGAGCGCCTCTTTTGAAATGTGAAAATAATGTCGATTTGTAAGCCAATTTTAAAACACTTGTAGAAGATTGAAAGCGTCGGGAAGATGCGTAAGTTATTAAGAAACTCTTAAGTACCATATGATGTTGTGATTTGCTCCATTGGTACAAGATATGTGGTGCCTTTTCCAGACAAAGTAATTTTCCTTCCATGATCAACTTATACACAAAATTAACACATTGTCAAGAGTCTGGGACGTATTAGAATGATTAAATTACCGGAGATTCAACGCGTCTAAGGAATAATCGATTCATTTTAGTAACTTTCAAAGAAAAATAAAACATCCCACTTTTCACTATAATATGTATTGAAAATGAAGAAGAAAAGATTTCGAATTTTAAAGTTTCATTGCTGCAATTGTATTGCACTAATCGTGATTGTCATCCCTTGAAGAGCATCGGAATGAGAAATAATCGCAGGCGCATCGCACCGCTATAAATAACGATCAATTGTTTCTCGTCACTGCGATCGCGCTGGCGCGAGAGACAATGCCGGCTTTTGTTAGCGCCGACATATCAAACGATACATTCAATTGAACCGTGTAAGTCGATAATGCAGCCGCCAGCCGGCAATATCTCATCGCGCAACGAGAGCACAAGCATATCGTCGCCGAATATCTCCGCCACTCCGCTCGATCACATTCGTATTAGTCGATTGTGTTCGGTGTGTTCAGCAGTCATGTCGGCGTTAATATGACTAATACAATCTGTTTACCAACGGACAACAATCCTACACTTTACAAACTTTAAACGTAACTAATCTTCAAAGTATACAGTCCCATTTCAAACACGATAATGAATTAATTTCTACGCAAAAATTGCACTTTTTGTAACAGACGGTATAAAATTTGAATATAATAGACATGCACACGATTGCGCAAACTGGCAAATATGCCAGCATGTGTGTTGTACACGTGCAAACACACAGTGCTTCCCGAGTGGAAACATCGTTGCGTAGACGTGAACCGGTAATTACGGAGATAATTTAATAACGGCGGGCGGGCGAAATGTTCAAATGTTCTAATTCGGCATCAGCATATATCACGCGCGCCCGCCGTCGGAAATTCACTTACGACCACCCCTGCTCGTTCTAGGAAAATTGCAGAATTTCGCCGACCGGTAAAAATTTGCCGCCGTATTTATTTTTATATCAAGCGTTCTATGCCTGTGCGTGCGTGGCGATATTTAATTCACCATCGGCGTGGATTTTTTCGCAATCACAATGCGCTCAATGAAAAAATCATCGCGCGCGACCGGTGCGCGTTTAATTCGTCATCAGCATATTTTTTTCATTATTAAATCAGGAATATGAAATGTTACCTTTAACCTTAAAAGTATCACACGAGTAAGATAATTGTTGTTTTGTTTCGGGGGCTTTAAAATTGAAAAATATGTCCTCACATAACAATGTGACAGTGGCTGCACAGAAGCACTCAGTTTTTACAACTCGCCGGCCGTCATCCCCACATCACTTGTCACATATGTGATTCCGGGACTGGGGGATGGCGATTCCCGCTGGACCAAGCCCCGGAGCCCTGGAGTCCCGGCACTTGATAGCTTTCGAATGCCGAATTGGATCCGACAGTTTCAACGGGAATTCTAGATTAAATTTTTCATGGTCAGCCGATGTACCGACTCTCCCCGAACCCTGTTCTTTTCAGATTCAGGCGAAACAAACTTGCGTTATCTTCCAGCTGGAAGTTTTATGTCAACATAAACGTTGATTATACCGAATGTCTCCACATGACTAAAATATTAACGTCAAACGCTTGTTTGTTGTTCTTTTTTGTGTGCGAATACTCTGTATGTGACGGCACTTTCCGTCCGGTATCAGTTTAAGCTGTTTTGTTACGTTTTCACGTCTGATGCCAAAATATAGCGAGCGCGTATGAAGTTGTAAAAGGGCTGGGATAGCCCACTTTTCGACTGCTGCCGTGCAGCCAGATTGCAGCAGGAGTGTGCGAGTGGAAACGAAGCAACAGCGGCGAGAGAGTTGCTGTATCGCGATCGCAGCAAGAAGCTGCTCTCGGGCAAACGGCACGCTTGGGATATGGCAGAAATGGAATGATAACATCAACATTCGGCCCGTTCGCCCGCTCCGTGCCAAGCGTGGCGCCCGAGTTTCATGCTCTAATTAAAGATTGCATTCGCCGAATGCCACCTTATCAAATGCTCATAAATATTTATGGCGTGCGCGTAAAAAATGGGGGATTATGCTTCGTGCAATTCGAAAATTGCACTTTTTGTTCGCTCGCAATAAAATAGCAAATGAAAACATTTGTATTTTATTTACACAAACTCGTTGAAAATATGTAAATCACAATTAACAATGGAACGTGTGGACTGGCGATGCAGAGCAAACAATATATATCGAAAAACGTGTCAAACATTAATATTTTTAACGATGGCAATTTATGTTCTGTGTTAAATGCCGTCCAATGCAAATTCGTTAAGCGTGTATTAATTTATTACAGGAATAAATCAATATGTTGCCTAGATCAACCCAAAATTGCTCTAAATAATAAATATAAACAATACATTTTTATAGGTGCGATTAAATTTAAGTATGACTGATACCATTCCAATAAAAACAGATTAAAATACAGCACAAGAATCTTTAAAAACTAATACAAGTTATAAAATAATACTACTTACTTACTAGTAACTGCTTTTTGTTAAAATAAATATAATATTTACTTTAAAACTACCATGTATTGTACTATCTATTAAATAATAATATCACCAATTTTCATAATCAATAAGCTCAAACTTTATAACCTGTAAAAACAAATATTTGCTCTAAATCAACTTGTAGTATCTCTAGCGCTATCTACCGTTGCGCACGTGAACCAAATATGTCATTATCTACATAACCTTGAGATATGTTTTGATTGAAAAATTCTTGTTATTATTTCCATTCACGATGGAATCGCTACAATGTGATATAACATAATAACATAACTACCTGTATAGACCTATTCAGGTTGAAGTGCAATATTTTAGTGTATATAAGTATAAATTCTCTGATTCTCAACTAAAAACTCACCAGTGAAAAATACTCATTAATTTATATTTATGCCAAGATATTCAAATTAAACTAATTTATGTAAAAATGAGTAATGGATGAAAACAACAAACTAATGACTTCAAAACCAGAGGCAAGTGAACTTGTGAACATAAATTTTTAAGTTTAGATAAGACTTATCTTACTTATCTAGATGTCTACCTAATATCTACCTTTATTGATTGCATTTTTTGTTTCATTATACTATAATTTATAGGCAGATAACAGGACGACGCTTCTGTCAACACAAACAGATGTGAATATGCCAGAAAAGTGTTCAAGTTCCTTGGATATCATTGAAAGAGCCACAAATCATGGATTACAAGAGCATCAAAGAATAATTAGACTAATTTCTATCTATATTATTATCACAGTGTAAGTAATAACTGATTAAAAGAAATAAAATACTGAAGTGTACATTTTTTCAGAATTGGTTTAGCATGTATTGCTATGATAATTGCATTCATTTTGCTTCCTATCATCTTTGCTCACTGGGTATATATTCAAAGACTTGCAATGTTTACAAATGGTAAGTTTAATGTTTAAAGGTTGTGTGTCCATAAAAATCTGGTAATATTTCAGTTGGTTTGCCCTCCGATCGCAATTATTACAAGAAGTTGGACGAGCACCCGACGGTGCTCTTTCGCAACTTTTATATCGACTTCACAGACCGCTCCAACCTGTCAATATCTTTAGGAGTATGGCACTTTGTAGCATTCCCATCTTATCCCAATGAAACAGTATTTCCGTCACAATTCGATTACGACCAATCGTTAAAAAATAACACGGCGGATGTAGTCATTTATTTCCACGGTAGTGGGGAAAGTCGCAAAGATCCGTTGATGATGTACAACGTTCTGTTGCGATTTTTTCATGTCGTTGCGTTCGATTATAGAGATTACGCCGATTCGACACCGGCGATTTTAAGCGAAAAAGATGTTGCTGAAGACGCTATTCACGTTTTCGAATGGGTACGGAGCTTGACTAGTAAGAGGATCTACGTTTGGGGACATTCTTTAGGTACACCATTAAGTACACTCACCATTAATGGATTACCAGAGAAATTGCTACCGCATGGTTTAATTTTGGAAGCACCGATGACCAGCATGGATGAAGAAATATCTGAACATCCTTATGGAAGAGTACGTTTTATCCAATTTGTCCATGTATTTTCTAAAAAAGTTAATGTTTTAGGTCTTTGCTTGGTTGCCTTGGTTTGACCAAACTATTAGACATCCATTGAAAATGAACGGATTCCTCTTCGCTACTGACGAGTATATTTTGAACGTAACTTGTCCAATTATGATCCTGCATGCTGAAGATGACAGTATTATACCATATACACTAGGAAAGAAGGTAAGAATGATTACGATTTACGTAAGGCAATTACTATTTGTGTTTGTTGCAGTTGGCCAAGATCGCAAGGGAATACCGACCCAAAGATGTTGGAAATGTAACTTATGTGCAATTTGATGCCAAATACAAGTTTGACCATTTCAGAATATGGCAAAGTAAAAGATTATTGACATTCATTCCGTAAGTATTCCCAATAGAAAATTTTTATCGAGAAATCACTAACAAAACATGATTTCTTTTAGTAACTTTACCTTGATCTGTGATGAATACTACAATAAAACACACGTAATTCCTCGTGGAAGCACCACAATCAAAGTTTAAACTCAACTCAGACCTGCCACATTTCTCAAACCAAACCAAGTGAAATTATTGAAAGATCTATGCACATATTTAATACAATTGTTGCGTTTAGTTTAAAATAAGATCTCTATTGTTGTTATAATCATAAATATATTATGTATTTTAAAATTAATTGTAGAAAAATGTGAGAAATATATATATATACCTGTTATCTTTATGACTTGTTATTGATAAGTTGCTGCATTCTGTGAATCTTTTCAATTGCAGTCTGATAGTCCACATACTCCTTTAAAACTTCCCGATACTCTTTGCTGTCAGCCAACTTGTATTTTACCTTTAATTCTTTTAATTGTTGTATCCCCATCTCATACTGTGCCTTTTCAGACTTAATACTTTCCAGCAGCTGTTTGTATGCATCAAGGCATACTTCATTCTCTGTGCAGATCTGAATCTGAACTGAGTGCTCCATCAATTTAACTTGTGACTCATTCATCTTCAGCAACATCTTGGTTTCTTTCTCTTTTCCAGTGCATATTTCAGGCAACTTTTTTGCTTGAAAATCTTGCACTTGCTCTAACAACTTCTGATACTCTAATAAGTTAGTAGCATAAGATTTCATTGTTTTTTGTAGATTTTCTCTAGACTCAAAGAGAATTTCATCAGAAATATACACATCTTCTTCTTTTCTAGGTTGATTATCTTGAAGTTCTTTTAGATAATCTAATAATCTTTCATCCACAAGTTTTACAACCATGCTTTGTTCTTCATGTGTAAAATCTGGTGATTGAAGACCCTTCAGACCAAGAATTGTTTTGGGGGAACCTTCAGGTGTGTTTATATTGGAAACTTGTTGAATGTTTGCAAACATGATTGTTTCATGTACTTTACTTCTTATATTATCCGGCACAGTTGGATCTTTACTGATTTTTATGAGCATTTGATAGATTAGTCTCTGATTGAATAATTCATCTTCCATTTCTTCTATTGTTTGTGATTCATTTGTTTCCTCAGGAAGGAATATTGTGCCAGACATTTTGAGGTAAATGCAGACAAAACTGACGTTCAAAATTGGTATAAATGTTGGGAATAGTAAATGAATAAATGTTTACAACTTACCTTTCCTCTGTGTCTTGAGTTGTGACGGAGTTTAGTTTATTGTAGAACGGAGGTAGAGTAGGTATAATCTGGTGTAAAAAGATAGAGGTTGAATAACCGTCACAAGCACGTTACAAATGCGCTTCAAACTTTACTTTTGTAGTTATGGGATAGAGGCGCTTACGTCGATATTTAAATTAAAAATATTCAAAATATTAAAGAAACAAATCTGAAAATGATGAGCAAAGACAAAATATAATAAAATAAATGGGAATTTTAAGAGGGTTAACAAGGTACGTACTTTATAAAGGAACTCATTTTCAGGTTCAAAAATTTAAAGCATTAATATTGAGAGCAATAGTGAAATCAAGTGTATAGAGATAGAATTTATTGCATTTTGTATTTTCCTTAGAGAGTGAAACTCATGAGTTTTACATATTATGATCGAAATCATTCATTTCCATGTCAATTCAATATAATATATAATTTTATTAATCTATACATAATGCTATGTAATAAATTACAGTTCGCTCGCATTCAAAAATCGTCGCACGAAGTGAGATCACAACAAAAGAAAAATCGCCAAGACGCCAAGTGAATAACCGATTTGTATTCGTATTCGTTAAACGTGTCACAGTCATCCATTCATTCGTTTGTTTTGTGTGTATTTTCTTCATTGGGTTTATTTTCACAGTTTTGCTTCTTAAAATTTAATCAAATCGCCATCGTTCGTCAAAATCGGGCAAAACCAGAGCTACAACCCTTATTACGATTACATAGTTATAATTATCTCGATCAATCAATTCAGTATTTATTAATGAACATCTTAAAACAATTGAGACAACGCGTGATGGAGATTAGAGAGGAACGTCATCCGTACTCCCCGAAATTTTGACTTTTACAAAACAAATCAATTTAATTTAGCAAAATTTGGAAGAAAAAATTTTTAGTTGTTTTTTTTTTTAGTTTTATGCATTTGCATCATCTCATCTGACACTGTGAGTGTATTAAAATTATTTTCCTTACTAGTATTAATAATGTATATGATTATTAATTATTATTATTTTTATTTCATTATTATATGTATGTAACAATATTTACATTTAGAATAATCATCTTGCTCCATTTTTCCAATATTTTCTTTCCTTGCATCATCCCTCAATATCCGCGATTTACTCTCATGGTTTGCTTATGGAAAGTGCAAATTGTTTTCAATTATTAAATATAAGTATCAAATACTGAATACCGTTCATTTTCTTTTATTTTTTATTTTTTGTTTTAGGCCAACAACCATCAACAATAGTTGTGAACTAAGTGTGTACGTGTACGTTTCAATGCCACGCACTCGACAATAACTTTGTTTATATAATTAGAATTTAATCGTCATTCAATTTTAATTTATCATATTTCGAGAATCAAATTGTGTGCAACGACTAATTGACTGACTTGACTGATTATACGTTCTCAATTTTATTGAATTTCTCTCGTTTTTTTTTGTGGTGAAAAAATGAAATTAACTCTAAATAAAAATTGTTTGACGAATTGTTCTAACTAAACTTCGATTCTATGTTCTTACGTAGAGCTATATATATATTTCATCAATATTTATGTTTTAAGTCAGTGCACTTATTAATTTGAGTTTGTTTTTTCTTTACATATTTCAATATCGTAAAGGTAAAACTACGCCTCTCGCATCGCATTCTCCGCTCTTAATTTAATATTATTATCGCTTAGTAATGTTGGATAATATTATCAATAATATTCATTAATGCGGCAGTAGTTTCGAACAAGACAACAAAACTTACAAATTTGTGCACAAACAATCTATAAAAACCTTATAAACAAGTTATCGTAATGTACCTAACCTCAAAAATTATTCACATTACCATAACCCATTTATAACCTTAAATGTTACTATTGTAAATGATAGAATATTGCAGTTATTTAAAAATGTTATTCAGAGGTAACCAACGACAATATGGCAGTGCTTAGATACTAATCAATCAATTGGTTTTACAATTTTTTTCTTTGTTATAACAATTAAGAGTCGCAACGCATTCGTATTCGTATTTTGCTTCATTTTTTTTTCTTTAATTAGGGTAGGTTTAGTTTAATAAACGCGTTTATAGTTCGAATCACTATAGCTGCGTAGTTATATGAGATATACTCGTGTCTATTGTTTATAGGGGTAGTACTTTTGCGCTTAAATCGTACGTCGCTACTTTAGGTTAGAATTTTTTAGTTTTAAACCAAACGAATGTTCAATTTCTTTTTAAAAGTATTGTTTAAGTGTTGATGTTTTACGAGCTGCTTTCGTCCGTGTCGGCGTCGGCGTCGGTGGCGGCAGCGCTGTCAATGGTGGTGGACGTCGCCGTACGTGTTGGAAACTTCCACTTTCCCCGCATCTCTTCGTCGGTCATCGGCACGCCGCCGTCGATCGGACATCCGCTAAACAGAAGCCTGCGCTTGATCTCTCTCCCCCTCACTTACAATCCACTTACAATTGATAAAACACCATTCAAAACTTAAACAAACATTTAAACGATGTCACTGAAAACCGCCGATTTAATTAGTTTGATTCCGTCCTTTAAATGAAATAAATTTCGATTCGGTTTTCAGTGGCATTCTAAATTATTGAGCAAAAACTATTGATTATAATCGTAGATAATTGTCATTTAATATCGATAGATTTGTTTTATGCGGTATGTATAAATATGATTTTCTCGACTCTTTTGTCTATCTAGGTTATCAATTAATTATATAATTAATTCTCAATTCATTAATATATCATTTTGGTAAATGCAATAACGTGCGCTCAAGTATTTTCGGTAATTTTTTCTTCGTTATATCATCATCGTGACGCTATTTCATTTCAATTTGTTTATATACCATATTTATTAATAAGTAATAAACGCTAGTTATTATTTTTATGTGGCAGTGAATAATCTTTAACACTTCGCGTTTAATTTTATTCTTTGCAGAGTCAAATGAATGAAATGAGATGAAAATGTCAAAAGTTTCCAAAAAGTAAGCCGATTGTAATTTGCTTCCACCCAAAAATGTTCAGAAATTTCTCCGTAGGCCGCAAAAACAAATTATGTACACAATATATCAATACTACAAAGATAATAAAAAATACGTTAAAAACAGAACAAAACTTTGAAGGTTAAGTTTATAGGTCAAGAGTTGCATGCACGTAAGATTAGTTACTATTATATCGTAAAAATGCGTGTCAATGTATGAATATGAATGGTGTGTAAGGTGTAATCAGCTTTTATTTCAGCGTCGTCGTCGCCATCTTGTATTTTAGAATCTTTTTCATTAATGAAATGCGTGTTCGGATGCTATTGGTAGTATTACAACCTCTTGTCGTCTATATCGTATCTAAAATTATTACAGTTATTATTATCAACTAGTTTTATTTTTCATTTCGTGTGTTTGTGTGTCGTTAATCTGTGTGAATGTGGATTAAAAGTTCAGTTCGTGTTTGCAACGTCTTCGGGCCGCCTTTTGGTGCACACATTGTTTAACAATAATAACGCAATCATTACTCGATCGATGCACTTTGGTTTAATATTTTTGTTTGGTTAGTGAGTTTTCTGTTTTGAAGGCCGCGAGCGCTTACAGGTATTCGTTTCTTTTTGTTTATGGAAGATTTTTTAACAAAACAGCAACGCGCCGCCATTTTGTATGAAATACAACATGGCGGACGTCTCTTACCCATTACGTGATTTACGTTTACGTTTTCGTTTCGACTAGATATATTCCTTTATAGTTTTGAGTGAGTAGTAGATAATAAAGATAGGTTTTTGTCGTCGGTTGTTTGTTTTGCGGTTTTCGATTTATAATAATATATCATTAAGTATAGAAAAAACGATGAGGAGAGAGAGGAGGTTTTTTTTTTTCTTAATGGCGGTGCGGTCGCTTAAAACTATGCCGTAGATAGGTGGCGCAAGCCTTGGTGCGTTGCGTGATCAGTTCGACGAGGTGATCTTCAAGCGCCAGGAGGGGCGCAGGCAGCGGCAGCAGACTGCCGCCGCCACCGAACGCGGCGACGTGCAGACCTTCCCATTGTCAGACGGCGCTGTTCGGGTAGCGCGGCGGCGGCAGCGGCGGCGGCAGGCCGCGCCCGCCCGACTCGCCGCGCACCGACGAACGCTCCGAACCGGCTGCATCACAAATTAATTCGCCACACGTTAATTAATCCGCTTGCGGACAGGCGTGCACAGGTTAGAGATGGAACACACACACATACCAATAAAATTGATGTAGGTACATTTTATCAGAGAGAGGTGGGTGCGAGGGAGTGCATGCGGCATGCGCGCTTATTCGGTATAAGGTGTGCTTAATTAATTAATTAATTACTTAATAATTAATACTTGAATCTTACGGCTTAAATTTACACTTTATTACTATCATGCAAACCCTAATATTTCCTGCTGATTCTTCTTACTAGTTCTTTTACCAGTGGTAACCATGTTAGCCGCCTGTCAAATAAAAACTTAATCGTAACTGTGCTCGTTTTCAACCCGCACAGTTTGACACTACTCTAACAATTTGTTGTTTGGTTTGGTCGAGTTTGTCCAAGTGTATGTACATGTCAATATTGGAGGAGTGAGAATCACTCGGTGATCGATGTGAATATATAGTGAAGTCCATGTCGCACAATCTAATCCTTCAAAACAAAACCAATCAACTGTTTCGGAATTGTTTTAAAGTTTAGTGTGCAAAAGGTGGTTTTCTCAGTGCGTAGTCATATTTTGGTGGTGGTGTTCGTGGAGTGGCTGCTATGAAGGTGTTGGTTGCTTATCTGCGCTTACTTTATCGCTTGCGATGGCGGCGCTTATCAGGTGCCCGAATAGAAGGCGTACGTTGAGTGTGCCCGTGACGGGAATAGATTTTTCGCCGAGTACGCCGAATCGAAGAGTTGTAGCTCCTCCGTATTGTGATCGAAGGGATTGCCAACTGGATTTTCGTCCCAAATGTTTTGTACAGATGAGCGAGCGAAAGAGATACACATACACACACAAAAACAAGATTATTATTTATGTGGTCGGGTTGTGTGAAACTGACGCTCTCGTCTTGGGTTTGGCGTTAGCTTCAGATTGAGGTTAGGTTCGGGTATCATCTAGCATCAACGCTAACATATTTGACTGCTGTCAAATGTCAGAAATTGACAAGTGTGAGAGAGAAAAGTTGAAAAACTTGGTTAGAATTGTAGACTTAAACTTAAAGTGACAACGTCAGATGGCGTTGTTTTCGTCGAGGTGAACCTATTAGAGAAGATTGGATTTTGAACGTCCAAAGTTCAATTTTTTAGTTTGAGATTTGATTCCTTTTGAGAAAAAATTGATTAAGTCCTCTAAACCATGCCTAATATATTTGGTCCCACGTTTTAGGTTATGACCCATCGTTGTAAAAACCTAACAAATTGTTTGTCACCTAATTCTTCAAAAATTTGTTTAAAAATTTACTCATGCAAAAGTTTTAACTATAAATTTAAAAATAGATAAAGATAAAATTATGACAAAGTATGAAAAGTTTAAAACTGGACAAAAATAACTAACTAATCATTACTTAAGTACAGTTACTTAGCACGGCATATAAATTGGCATCAAGAATACTTAACACAAGCATAATCAAGATTCATTCAATAATAATTAATCAATCATTCACACAATTATCATGCACACATTAAGTTTGCAATGACTGCGCATGCGCAGTAGTCAACACAATCTGCATCAGCCCAAATATACTCTATATGCTAGTTTAAGGTTAGGAGTGTGGATGTGAGGTTAGAAGGCCTTACATGAATCTCCTTTTTCTTCGCCATGGACCAAACCGGCCTGCTCCACCGGTAGATGTCCCTCAAGCGCATTGACGCAGTTCAGCATACTCCTGCAACATAGTCAACACGCATTTCGCTTACATTTCTCGTCCGGTCGGGGGGCGGCCGGCGGCACACTTAGAAACAGAGACAAAGAGACACAGAGAAAACAAAAAAATACATCCACGTCAAAAATTAAAACGAAATCAATAAAAACAAAATCTGTGTCGTTATAATTATGAATTAATATTTTAATTTCATTGTTTGTTGATATAAATGTGAAACAAAACGTGTGCTTCGTGTCAAGCGGTGTGTCAATCGGCGTGCGTTTAGTGACGCCGACACAACATGGCGACGAGTTATTGTACGCGCAAATGGCGCCACATGTTGTGGTCATGATGATAACAGTGATGATGTTCATGACAAATGATATTTTAACAATGTGTCAGGAGTATCAATCAAAATTAAATGCGAATTGTCATAAAATGTAATAAAATCAAATACAAAACGAATTTATTTTGATTCGCTGGGTGTTGTGGGAGTGACAGGATGAGTAGGGCTGTCCAATGTTGTCGTCACCGTGGAAGCACCATCCATGTCATATTCGCTAAAAAATTGAATAAAATCAACAAAAAAACGTAAAACAAAAAACAAAATAGGGTATAATAAAGATGGAAACATAATACGAATGCATAGAAAGATGAAAATGTGAACCCACCCCTTACGGACGCCCACGCGCACACGCCCACTTAAACGCAAATTATGTGGGGGCGTGATGTGCGTTCAGAGGCGGTGCTAAATCGGCTGCGAGTCGGCGGGCCAGGTCCAGGAGAGCACCGGCGGGCGCGCCTGCTGACTACTCTCCGTGGGCGACTGGACACGACACCCTCTGCTAATCCGCGCGTGCGTGTTGCGTTACCACGCGTGTGTGCAAAGCAAATATACAGATTGGACACAGAACAAGATGACACCGCCCTTTACAACATGGGCGGCACAGCAAACGGCACGCCCTTATGGTCAACCGTCTCTCTCGTTACGATATGTACGGCGACGCCTTCAATTAATGTGATTTCGTATTGAACGAGAACAAGAACAATAGAACCATGGATGCAAAAGGCTGGCCCGAAGACTGTCCCATTCGCAACGGGTCACAGCGCAGCACTACACACACACATATTGTCTTAACCTCAAAACTCTCAAAATGAAACAAAATCAAAACCAGTGTGAATGTGACATGAAAAGTAAAAGGCGTTTGATTTTAGATTGGTTCAAAGTAAAAGATCAATTAAAATAAGTACTAATTATTATCGTAGTGTGTGTCGGCTCATTACGCTGTCGTGTTGCGTGGCGTCCGCCATATTGGTTTGGTTACACACGCACATTTCACTCGCCGTACGCTGCGTTTTTTTCGGTCTCGTTTTGCTACCAAAGCATTTCCACACATATGCTGATGGTCTATTTGTGTATAGATGTCAGATACATGTACAAGTTGTCTGGTGATTGTCCCAAAAATCAACAACGCATGCAAACAACTTCCATGCGATAGTGAAATAGAAAACTCAACAAAGAAAAAACAAAGCTGATCAAAGCTATTGACAGCTAATTGAAAGAAAAACAAACGAAAAAGATATCGCCAAGATGGCGACTGTCTATTGTGCTACATTAGATTGAAGAAAAAAATAGAACGTGCACAAGGCGTCCTGATGCCCTGCTTGTGTTTTGTTTTCTCTTTTCTTTTTTGATTGTAGGCTTGTATGTCACAGTCGCGTCGGAAAACTCACCCGTACAATCTGCTGTCCCGAAAACTGTTCCTGATTGCAACACATTCAATTCATTACAAATCTACTTGTCAACTGCATGTAAAATTGGCATTGCGCATCAAAACAGAAACGTCTAAGACTTATCATGTTCATGGCACTATTATTAAAAAACGTCATCACCTTAATTGAATAATAAAATATATATGTACTTATTATACATATACGTTTCGAAACTGCGAGCGAGAATACATGATACGTTTGATGATAGTGAAGATGTGAGGTTAGGTGGTCGTAGCCAACGGTCGCTTTAGTTACCTTCTCGCGCGGTCTGAGCGTGAGAGAGACGAGAGGGTGGAAGAGTGCGTGGCACGGCAAAATGCGTCTTACCTTCCGTTGCCGTGGCGGAAAATCGCCAGGATCTCCTCGAACGTTTTGTTCTTCGTCTCGGGTACCTTCTTATACGTGAATATCCAAAAGATGGCGAGGAACACGCTGAACGGTAGGAAGGTGTAGTTCTCCAGCGCGTTCTGCAATGCGAATGCCAACAATATTGTTCAATAGTTTATAATAATTTGATCATCAGAGCAAAATCTGGGGGGATAAGAGACAGACAGAACAAACAGTCCACACACTTGGCACAATGTTATAGAAATGCGTTTTCGTTGTATGGCTATGTCCGTCGGATGAGAGCGGATGATCGGGGTGTGAGAGTCACAAGCGAGAGTAGTAGTACCTGATGATCATCATTAAATCTTACCGTACGTAAATCATAACCTCACATATGCACGTTTCGACCCATGTCCCGTTTCGGTCAAAACGCGCCCCAAAACCAAACAGAAAAGGAGAGAATAGATATAGATTAAAATACAGTGCAATCACAGCCGTAATTAAGCAATCTACGCTTACTTATTATTTACATATTTCTATGTTAGATAATATAATGCTATGCCATAATCTGCTCGTAATTTAATAACAATCTCAGTTCACTCGGTCTACCGGTCGTGTGCCGATTACATAATTCTCTGCGCCGTCTTGGATAGTTGCAAATCGCGATAAGAATATAACAAAACTGCTTGTTAAGCAAATGAAATGCATTTTTCGTACGCATTGCATGCGATTAATATATTCTAATAATGCGCGGCGTTAATCAACTTTAGGCTATTGCCCCCGCGAGAAGTTGATATGAAAGTAAGCTGGATGAAAAATGCAAGCGTTTCGGGAGTTGCACCGAGTATAAATACGCAGGCGGCGTGGAAAACTATTATCACTCGCTGATCTGCTCACCAGTGCGATAGTATCCTAATCTCAACATCCCACACGCCTTAAGATGAAAGTTATCTGCGTAAGTAAACTACAATCACATTAATTCAAAAGAAAGAATAGTCTATAATTGAGGTTATGTGAATCTTCCAGTTGCTTTTCGCCATTGTGGCTGTAGCGTGGGCCTATCCCGATGGACACGGCCACAAAGTAAACCACAACGACCAAGGTGGTGGTCACAAATACGAATTCCATGGTCATGGTCATGAAGGTGGACACAAAGCCACTTCCTATCATAAGATTGAACGTCACGATAGCAAGGATCATCCAATTCACTTCAAAGTAAAATTTCACCAATTTTTTTATGAGAAAAATATTTTTATTCTTTTTTTCTAATAGGCCCACCCAGTATACCACTATGGATTCAAAGTAGCTGATGACAAACACCACGACCACAAGGATAAGCATGAAGAACGCGAAGGCGATAAGGTAAAGGGATCCTACAGTCTGTTGGAACCTGACGGTAAGACCATCCGTGTGGTTGAATACACCGCTGACCACAAACAAGGCTGGAACGCGAAGGTTTCCTACAAACACCATCACTAAACAATCTCGCACATCTTCCTATTGATGGTGCCATCTTTGCGTCATCAATTCTCGCATCAATCAACACACATACACCCATCTATCATCTCATCATACAATGAAGAACCTCAAGTGGAATGAATGTTATACTACTATTATTTGCAGTTGAAAATAAACTATTATTAAGAAAATCACCGACTTTTTCAATCTTTCGAAACGAATCCTAATTCCATTACCTAATAATAAAAATTGAAACCATTTGTTATTTCTGCTCGAATCATTTCCTATTGTTTGTATTGTCTGTACGCATAGTTTGTTACAGTTGGCAAAACAGATCCAATTATTATTAGTAGACGAGACGTATGTTGTCATACGTGAATGTTGAACGTAAATCAGCAAAGAACAAATCGCCTACTTGTCTAAATCTTAAAGTGGGTAATGGTGATCGCCATAATGGATGCAGTAATAGTTAATTCGTGCTTGTCTGGTTAATGATTAGCCAGTCAGTCACTTGTCATGCTCTGATTGCTGCACGACTCTCTGCATTTCTCCACATTCGCGGAGAGTGTGTGCCCGAAGAGGTGATATTTTATGCGGGCATTAAATACGACATAACGAGATGGAAAGTGAGAGAATTTCTCACTTACTAATTGTAAACAAATACAAATTTAATTACAATATTAACCATCTGTTAGAAACACTATTATATAAATTTTAGTTGGTGAGAACTTTAATTTTAATTTCATACAGTTTATGTGTGTGATGTTGAAATTTGTAATAAAATTAAATTTGAAATTAATGTCATAAGGTTAATTTGATATTGTAATTAGGAAATGTTTGTTTTGTTTTATTGTATGTAGTAATTTACTGGAACTAAACTGAACATGTACCAAATATGTTGGTTATACAACCGTCATAAATCTATTCTGACCGATTAAGTTGCAGCGCGCCGACATTAGGAAACGGAAATTTTCGCATTTTCCCTCACGGCGTGTATGCATTCTAATTCGTATCTACATGTACAATTAGCACACGTGCTCCGTCCAACATAAATGAAACAAAAATCAATTTTGGTCGGAGTTTCCTTATTGTCTGTTTATATTAGTTACATAAGCAATTCCTCATTAGATTAACAACTAAATAACTTGTGATGCTTTTTATTTACGCACTGGTGGTTTGTTTTTTACGAAATAGCAAAGACAAGTCACAAGCGTAAGCAAGATCAAGGGAAAGTATCTATTCCTGGTAGAAGAGGTGCAGGGTAATCAACGTGACGTGAACTAACGAAGTGCCTAACTAGAATCAACTAACGAACCTCTCCTCCTTTGCGACATTCTGCGCTCACCAGGTGGATGCAGGAAAAACGCTATAAATGGAATACGCATTCGTTTGAGTTTATCAGTCGCTTGGTGGACGTCACAACAACCGCAACCCGAATTCTACTTCTATTTGAACAAGATGATTGCCTTCGTAAGTTAAAAATTTAAAATTGATAAAAAATGAGAAAATAATTTTGGTTTTTAGATTTATTTTGCAGTCATTGCGACATTCCTCACCGGAAACGCGCAAGGAGGCAGTTACCACGGTTTTCATCTTGGCGATTTCGATTCGGGTTTCCACGGCCATCATCTCAGCGTCGATCACCATGAAATCCACCATCATGAACCAGAAATACACCACGAAGAGAAAAAAGAAGAAAAACACGAGCCCGAGCCACACATTGAAGAACATCACGAGGAAGAAAAGAAAGAAGAAGACGAACATCATGTGAGTATACACATTTCCGGTTATGACGCGGTTCCACACCTAATGGCCGTCGTAAATATCGTGGTGCATTATGCCCTCTCATAAAATGCTGCGCCATTAATTTTAATGGCGTGATTTAAATTAATTCATTTGTCGCGCGCGTCGTATAAAGTCTCGTGACTGATTGTGATAATTTTGCGCCCTTTTCCCAGCCGGGCAAGAACTACCACTACGACTACTCGGTGCACGACCTGCACACGCACGACATTAAGACCCAATGGGAGACGAGTGACGGCGACACCGTCAAGGGCGAGTACACCGTTGTTGAACCGGACGGCAGCAGGCGCATCGTGCAATACACCGCCGACAAGCACAACGGCTTCAACGCCGTCGTCAAGAACGTCAAGCACGGATATTAATATTCTTCAAGGAGCCTACTCAACCCCCCATGACCCTCTCTTCTACACGTAAATTGATAGCGGAGATTAATGTAAACCATATATCATAATAAATTATTTTTCTACTATAAAATCCACACTTTTATATGATAAAAAATTGTTTGTAAAGCCGTTTCGGGCTGTAATTGCACTTAATCGCGTTATAGGTACCAAACCATGCAGATACCGGTTAGTAAAAGATTACAAAAATAAATCCACCGACTTTCAGGTGATTTTTGATGCGGTAGAGTTAATCAAAAAAAAGTTTCGCGTCTGCCGGTGATTCGCGTGTCATGATCCGACCACCGTTCCGCGCGTGTGTGCACCACCACATGGAGAACTTGGCAGCAACTCACCTTCATGCTAGGAAAGCCGATGCCGACGAGAAAGTTGGCGAGCCAGTTGACGAGGACAGCGATGGACATCGCCGCCGGTCGCGGCCCCTGTGAGAACAGCTCGGCGGTGATCATCCACGGAATGGAACCAGGTCCAACCGCGAAGAAGACGACGAAACTGAGAATGGACACCACCGATAGGTAGGACATCCAGTCGATCATTTCCTGCACGTAACCGAAAAACTCCTATCAGGCGGTAGAATGGCGTTCTTTCCCGACATCGGGAGGAGCGGACGCTCCGCAAGAGGATCGAGTAAATAAAAAATCATCTCAATTCGCAACTCATGGCCCCCCATCGTGAGCACATCAGTCTCAATGCTTTTTGGGCTCAGTTAGTGTTAGGCCATGTTTGTTAGTAGGCATGCAAACGTGAGATATCGCCAGTGAGCAATTAGTGAGTGAGAATATTTCGTGTAGTTTTGATGTGTCTTGACCGTGTCCGGTGGGTTGTTGAGTGAGTTCGAGTGAGAAGCAGTTTGGGTTATTTACAGCGTCCCTCCTCCAGCTTGTCAGGAAAGTCTTCGTACACAGAGAGGGGAGGATGAAGGAAGTCGTACAAAGCGGGGATTAAAAGCGGTGTGTTTGCTCAAAACAGAATAAAAATATTATATATATATATATATATATGCGTTGATTAAAAACGCATTAATAAATATTACGCTTCACCTCCCGGGGTGCTATTAATCATCCGGGTTTTGATTAAATTTTTCGTTTCACGTAATTTCAGTGACATTTTCCGCGGAAATTACGTGGAACGAAATTGAGCTCGCGCGCGCGCGACGAAAAACAAGTAAAACGTGTGTTCTCTGTATGCAAATTGCAAATAATAAGAAAACGTCATGCAAAGGATTGTCGGATTTTCTAGTCCTCTACCACCCGCGACGTAACTACCCCTGTAACGCCAGCGAACGCTCCTGTTTTCCCACATTACGCTCAACACGCGCTTGGGTAACTGGAATTTAACAAATCGATGCTACTTTTTGGGCGGCGTATTTTCACACAAAGAAATCGAGGAGCACTCACTTCGCGTACGTTCACATACAAACCTCCCCCTAAAATATTAGTCACAAACAAACACACTCACACACACGCGTGTATCCAGCTCGGCGCGGAGTCAAAGAGATGACGGCATTAAAACCGTAATCGGAAAATTGCACGCTTATGTACATAGTTGGCAAGATCTCTGTGACTCCGCCGCGAGCGGTAATATCAAAAGTCAAAAATTCATTTCATTACGATTGGTTCAGAGCGCACTCGACGTTGGAAAAGAGTGCATTAGTAAATTATGCTCTGGCTCTTGACGAGCCGGGCAAACCGCGAGCGTCGAGCGCCGCTGACTGACGACTTCTTTAGAAGAGTTTTTGCAGCCAGTCGGCTTTGTTCGAAACGTTAAAAGCATGTCGTGCGCGGTGCGCGCGTCTATCTTTGCTTTCTACGCGATTCGGTTAGTTGTCTTGCGTCGGGTGATGCTTGTTAGTCAGAGGTTGCACCGAATCGGAGAACGGGTGGGACTCACTTTTATCAAAAACGAGATCGTGATGAAGATCGAAAAGATGAACATCCCGCCGAGCCCGTAGAGGTGCAGCGTTCGTCGACCGGTGCGATCCATCAGCGGAATGGAGACGAGCGTCATGCCTACCATAATGGCACCGATGCCAATCGTTGCAAACTTGGCGCTTTCGTCCGTCAGTCCCGAACTGGCAAACAGGCTCGTTGAATAATAGAACACCTATAGGACCAAACAACAATCAACCAATCAGTTTGTTGCTATAGTGTTCTTGTTAATTGTAATTCAGTGAACTTACAGCATTAATTCCTGATAGTTGTTGACTCAATTGCATCACAACACCTATGACTAAAGGCGCCCTTAGTGTGGGTGAGCAGATGAGCTCCATCATGCTGATGGAAGCCTCCGCCTGCTGCGCACGTTCCTCAGCACGCATCTCCTCAATATCCTCCTCGACTTGATTGCTAGCACGCAACCTTCGTAGGGCTTTGCGTGCCTCTTCCTCCCATTGCTTAGTGATGAGCAGATAACGCGGACTCTCCGGGCAGATGGGCAGCAAGATGAGCTGAAGGAGCGCCGGGCAGATGGCGAGCCCCAGTAATAGTGGCCAACCCTCGTTGGTGCCCAGGAACTGCTCGATGCCGAGCACCTGCGAGAGTAGCAACCCTACAGTCACCGCCAGTTGGTTGACGGTGCCCAACCCGCCTCTGAGGTTCAGCGGCGCGATTTCGGATATATACATAGGTACTAGGGAAGTGTTTAGACCTACACATACAAAATACAAACAAAAACTTAGCAATTCTTTACTTTAGGTAAATGTATACACTTACCACAATTGACTCCGATTATAAATCTACCAATAAACAACATTTCGTACGAGTTGGTCACCTTGGTGAACCACATGAGGCAAGCCCCGCCGATGCCGAGCACGTTGTTGAGCAATAGGCCCCCTTTTCTGGAATTGTAGCAGTTGATTAGTGTGATTAGCGACACAACGTTGTGATTAGTTTGTAATGGAGTACCTTCCAAAACGGTTGGCCACCATGCCGCCACTGAAGCCGCCCAGCATACCGCCGATGGCAAATATCGATACGGCGAGTGAGTACAGCCGCTGGACCTCTTCATCAGCAAGATCCTCACCGTAGCGGGACTTGTACACGTCCTTCATGAAGTACTCGATGTTGCCCTCGGGCGCGTTGATTACACCCGTGTTGTATCCGAATTGCAGCATCCCCAGCACAGCAGCGAGGATCGCGTAAGAGAGAAAGAATGTTAAGCCCTGTAATCATCACCATATCACGTTGTATTAGTGGATATCGAATGATGGTTGTAGTTGTTGAGGACTATTCTATTATAGTAGGCATATTGTTTTATTTCGATTGAAAGCAACATTGACCTGCTCTAGAAGTCGTAGCTTCCGTCGGTGGGTGTGCTCCTCGAGTCGATCGACGTACTCGCGCAGCTCCTCGATCTCCTCCTTCACCTGCTGCACGGTGTCGAGTTCGTGCTTGATGGCGACCATGTCGCGCTTCACCTCGGAGACCTCCGACTGGCATGACTCCACCGACTTGGTGAGCTCCTGCAGCTGCGTGCGGATGTCGCAGAGGGCGACCGTCGTCTCGTAGTGGCGGTCGCCGCGCTGCAGCTCGTCCAGCTTCGCGCTCAGATTCATACTCATCACGCTCACCTGCTTCTGCAGACTGCGTACGCGGGAACACAAAGGTGCGCAAAAGTAGCACGCCGTTAGTCACTTTCACAGCCTGGGCTGTGCTTTTTTTGTTGTTTTTGTTCTTATAAATTCTTTCAAAAAGTGATGCGCAATATCCCAAACATGCTCATAGAAATCAAATCAAGTCAAAGAACGAACGAAACAACGAAAAATAATAAAACACTAAAGGTAAATAAATAATTTTCGCATCGAACGGTTTATTAATTGGATGTTTTTTTTTTCTGGTTAATTCTTTGGAATCATAATTACTGCAACTAAGGACGTAAGAGTCATGCATCGTAATACTCATTGTTGTTTCGGAATCGAATTGTACACAACGAAACATGTTTACAAATCATAAATAATAAGAACATCGTAATCATAATCATAAAATCCGTGCGCCAATGGGGGTTGGTCGAGATCCAATTAGTCGATAAACGATAAACGAACGCAATTATCAAACAATCCAGAACGGTTTGGTTGAGCATATTCAGGAATCTTCAATTTTCGACGCCTACCAATCGTATTCACCAAGAAATCATAAAGTAATCCAACTCAAAAATGATTTGATGTGATGATTAGAGATGAGAGAACACATAAGCACAAAGCCACATGCGGCACCCGCGCGGACATGATCCAAATCTCAGTTCAGACAGGTCCTCGCGGTGTGTAAGTATACAAAGCACTCTATAAAAACAGGGTCAACTGATAAACAAGCAGCTAATTAGCGGTATTCAATCCAACTCAAATAAACTCAAATCGTAAAAGCACTTAGGGTAGTATTTCAATACCTGGGTGGTAAGGATACCATGGCTGTGTTCCAAAACTATGCGTGGACACCGCGCCAGGTATCCCCCTCCTGGAATCTATGTGTGTGTGTTTCTTTGGAATCGCACACTTTGTTTCAGTCACTGAGTTAGATTTAGTTTCCGAATTTGTGCGCGGCGGAGTTTTGGTTTTTTTCTATTCAGCTAAATTTTCAATGGTGAAAAATGGGCGGCTTTGTGTGTTATTTACTTTTTTGGCTCTTTGTTTTTTTTTTTTGGTTTTTGTTTTGGATTAGCTCCGAGAACTTCAACTTTGTTTTAAAATGTTTTTTGTCCCTGAATATTCACGGTATACGCTTTAGTATACGCGCCCGTCGGCCGGAACAACAACGACGCCGATTCCACGTGACCATTGACAATCTCCACCTATAGTTCGGAAACACAGCCCAATGTCAAAATCAAAACGCTCTCTCATAAAATTCAAAGTCAAATTCACAACAACAGAAACTCAAAAACAACAATAAGTATTAATATGTATGCAGAACATAGGATAAAGATAACTTTTACGCTTTTTTGAAATTTTTAGTCAAAATTTTGGCGTGTGTTTTTGAGTATTTCGTAGTTTTTGTTTCTCATTGAATACACAAAAAGTATTTTGGTGTACAAGTAGTGTGAGTGTATTAATTTCAAGTGTGTAGTTAGCACTAACACATTGCTGCCGACTGAACAGGATCCAATCAATCGTGATTAAATTTATAAATCCGCCATTTTGATCTCCGCCATCTTAAAACTCGACGAGCAAAACTTCCATGCAAAATATGTATAAATATTGTAAACCATAACAAGGTGCTCTCAAAGCTATTGTTTAAAAATATTTAGTTTACATAACTTTAGAAACAACTCAACGTCGTAATCAAGCCTTTAACACAGTTAGTGATGATTTTCGATTAATGAAACGATGATAAAGACTTCATTTGAACGTTACAAATTGAACTGAAAGTGGTAAATGCATGGATCCTATTTAGTCCGCTAAGAAATCCTTGAAAACAAATGAAAATCGCAACATGTGCACTTTGGGCCCAGTGCACGCTATACCTGTGCATGGCGCCACGCTGCACCACCCAAAAAATCAAACAATGAGACATGATTCAAACGAAAAAAACGAAAAACAGAAATCAACGAGTAGAAATATATATATATATAGAGTCAATGTGCTAGTGTCTTATAAGTATGATGGTTTTATTGCAACACTAGCACCTGCGGTTTTTTGACTTGTTTCCGTCACAACTTTCATTGCAAGTACTAGGAATGTAGCGTTGTATGATGAATAATGATGATAATGATAAAAAGATGATGGAATGATTGAATGGTTCGTTCAATGATCTCTTTTTGGCAACTATTGCAAGACACATACCTGATAAGTAGATCTCTGAGTGAGGCTTCATCATCCACTTGTATTTCTTTCTTCGTCTCATCACGCGCGCGTCGTCGCGGGCCTGAGTGGATGCTGCGGCGCGAGGTCAGCTTGAGGGTTCCCTGAGCCTCAGCGGGCTCGACGTCGGAGCCCAGCTCATATTCCTCCACCTCGACTACCTCTGCGTAAACTGCTTCCAAAGGTGCACAAATTCCAACGTTAATAACATAAGCACTATTTTTGTACAATATTTTGAAGAAAAAAAGACAGGTATCCAACAAAAAGTGCGTTTGCAAAAAACGATGATGATAATCTGATGAGGACATGATGGAAGCGAAGCCGCCGGACGGAAATCAAAATCGGGAAATATGAGTACCCAAAGGATATCCGGGAAGTTGAATAAATATGTCCCAGAACGGAACCGAATGAACCGAAATGGATGAGCGCGGAAATGCAAAATATTACGACCGTGCCCAACGGAGTTGCCTGCCTGTTGGTTCGCTGGCTGCAGTGCATCCTGCGTTTTCGATCGAATTACGCCGCCTCCCGCCGGACTCGGCTGGCCGCGCACACCTAGCCAAATTGTATCGCGCCTCGGCTCGTCCTTGATTAATGATTCACGCCTTTAATGGCCCCCGCGTCTAACCAACGGCCATTAATGATAATTAAGTGCTTCGGGCTGCGAACGGTGCGAACAAGATTCCCGGCCTGGATAACGAACGCTCGCACCCCACCTAGATTAGTATTTTGTGTCCAATTTACATCATTCTGAGACAAGCGTGGATCACGTGGATTTTTGCGCCGTGCGTGCGTCCAGACGTCACAAGGGTGAAAGAGAGAGTGTCTGTGGTTTAGTGGCGATGTTGAGCGTACCTTCGAGCGTCTCTTGTATATTGATCGAGAGCAGGCATGACTTTTTGGTTTTCGGCTTCCGGTCTGGCTCGCTGACGGCGGCGTTGTCCATTCGATTTGAGGAGCGCGGAGCATGGAGCGGTAGGATGATGATGAAGAGAAGAAGGTGGGTGTGAGGCGAGCCGAAAGAAATATGTACCTGTATGTTGGGAGCCAGTAGTGGTGGTGGTGAGTGTGTCGACGGACTCGCTGGTCGCCGGATGATAGTGATCTAGCCGCCGCTGACCGTTCGAATGTCTCATATGTCGTCCGCTCGTGCCAGCAGCCTGATGCCCACCCTTACTTTACCCAACTGTGGACAGTCATTAACAGAATACACAAAAATTATTAAGTTTCATCCACAAATTCCCACAAAAATCAACTCAAAGAGAAAAACTGAAATAAAAACATGCAAAAAATATCGAAATAAAACAATATGCAAACATAAACTTAATTAAAGAATATTACCTACCTTCAATTTAAACAGATCCATTTCTAAGGTGTGATTTTGGTCCCGTTTATTTTCGTTCGCGTCGTTTTCATAGAAAAATGACCTGAAACAAAATAATAGAATTTTAAAACAGATGTAACTCTAGAGAATGTATATGATAACATGGTACTCGTCACTATTGCGTGGTGGTGGGCGAATAACATGTTAAAATAGTTAACAATTAGCGCCGGAACTAACGTGGTGCAATTGGTAACATATGGGGCGGCGTCAACGCGTCACGCCGCAAATCCAGTAAATTCGAAAGCAAAACACTTCAAAAAGCCAGCCACTGCCGCCGCCCCCAACAAGCCAAACGCATATGTGTTCATCAAACGCGCACTCTCGCGCGAGTGCAGTTAATTGCAGGTGTTGCGGCTGTCAGCGCGTCATAGAAACATCGCCACCCCACACAGCGCCACCTACACACTCACAAATAATGTGCTGCTGCTCGCCGAGGACGTGCTCGAAAACAAATTAACGATGTTGCATTGCAGCGTGTCCTGTCGCTTTGCAATTACGATTACAATTTGCGTCCAGTACGATTATCGCCGATTCGGATACAAATCATGTGTGTGTGTACATGTATGCCTAGTTGCAGTGTGCACACTCCTTGCATGTCAAACGCGTCGTAATTAATTCTATTGTCTGTGAGGTCGGGTTGTTTTGTCTGCGCGCGGCTCGATATCGACAGCAATGGAAGTTGGAAAAGTCATTTTTGTGCTAACTGCTCGTTTGGTCGCACTCGGGCGCTCGCGCGCGCGCCAACGATAAAAGGTAATCAGTTAAAGGGTGCTCTTGCACACTCCACCGATACTACAACTGCAAGTGGTTTCAGCTGGAAATTACATTTCAGTATAGTATAGTTGGCGCTATTGTGACTAGTCGATCGTAACTAATTATTGTAATCATTGGCGCCCGCCTTGCAACGGACAGGTAATTATTTAGGCACAATGTGTTACTATACCAGACGCAATCAGGGACAATTAGACGAAATTTACATCAATTTGTTTTACACCCCAACATCAAAATCAATCAATCACATTGGTAACGCATCCAAATTATAATGTATAACTACCTACCACTACCTACCCTGGAGATGTGAAGATGAAAAATATCTTTGACTTTCCGACAGGAAATAATTCAATTTAAATTGGTGCCTGCCCCTATGAGACCACCGAAATCGTAAAATTTCCACCGCGCAGCAAAATAAATTTGCGGAAACTGTCGAGACGAGACTGTATAAGAAGAAAGCGTTTGCGAAAAGAATGTTTTAACGCTTCATCGCCGACACCTACAGGCCTCTATACAGTAAGAGTAGTACAGTGTACCCTCAGCACGTTTGCTTTGCTTCTGCTGGTTTCTGGCAGCAGGCGGCAGGGACACACAAAGGAACGACTTATCTTTTCGCCACCGAACCAACACACTCGACAAACGCGCGACGTCGCGCCCGGAAGTTCTTCCGCAAACATCCCTCTCTGCGCGAGCGCGCACGCGGAGAGAAAAGACCGGGGAATATTTAAATTTTATGCATCTTCGCGAACCGCCAAACGCAGGCGAGCGGCCCGAAACGTCTGTTCTGCAGGTTACATTACAAGGCGATATAAAATGTGCCCGCAATAACAGAATAAGAGAAAAAAGCAAAACGCAAAGGAACGCGACATCTTTACCGCAGTAACGAAACGCAAACGCTCAACGCTTACACCGGCAGTACCGGTTCACATTTAAATATGTGGTATGCGTATTTACAACGCGAAGATAAAAACATGATGCACGCAGCCATCCAGTAGCTCGTACATAAGAAATATCGACGCGAAAAAATATTTTGCTTTCTATTCCGAGAGTTTGTATATCATTTAAAATGATTTATTTCGTTAGAAAAACAATTTTTTCAAGATTGAAATAATATTTTATTGCCGAGGCAGTACATTTTCAACATTAATTTAAGAACATAACATTAAACAAAGTACAGAATGTAATTTTAAGACTAAAACAACACTGCTAATATGGTAATTATTCACAATTATTCCACGAATTATAATAATTAGCACACAGCGCACAACAATGCAGCTAATGTAATAATGACGCCGCCACCGCACCACGTGACTAGCACAATTGAAAGTGAAACCACGCGGTTTTTACGGACATAAAGAAAAAAACAAAACGATTAAAATTAAAATTAAACAGCTCGTTGCGTAAATGTTCATACTTTTGCCTACAACACAATAAACTCAGCTGGATTACACGCCAAGGCCGATAAGGTTTACGATTTATTTACGTTTTAATCGTCCGAATTCCTCAACAAGTGCAGACTAATAAACGTATTCGTAAATATTTGGTAATACGCATACAAGTTGCAAATGAAATACATACCAGTCGGTCTATTTTAAAATTTTAATCACTGGTGACACATACAACGTGATAGAATAGATAAAATTATATTAACGCCACATATCACTGTTGTTGAAAGTTTTATAAGTTATAACAAACACAAAAATGTAAAAACTGTTAAATAGTTGCAATAAGTATTTGCAGATTTCTCTAAGTTTCACTTCTCACTGTTTTATTCACGATTCGCGATGCTTGTTCAATATCACCTCGCCGACTGTCTAGACTGTCTCAACTGCAGGAACTTAAATGTGGCACGCTCGTTGACGATAACAACCATGACAACTGACAACACAATATGGATGAGTATACAACTGCAGTGTACGCGGTTAGCAGTGGAAGGAGTAAGTTGTTAGTAGAAGAGTAGCCGTTTTACTGGTCTAGTCCGGTCCGGTCAGGTGATCTTGACAGTACTGACCTACTAACTGCTTTTATTTTTACTTGTGATTTTTGAAATTGACGTAAAGCAAGATAACGTACTGGGTTATAATCATTATTATCATTTGGAAATGTTTGGACATTCTCGACATTCTTCGACAGCGTGTCTACAAAACAGATAACACTTTAGGCGGTGCAATTTTTAAAAGTGGTTTTTGTTTGTTTTTGTAAAAGCAAGACGAAGAAGAAAAAAAAATGCAAATCAAAATGTTATGATAAAACTAGCTGGAGGAGTTGAGTTTTCAACGAGGGCACCTCGGAGCCCTCTAATCGAGTGTGCGCTTCGATTTTTATCGACCTAAAGAGCCACTCGAGCTGCTTTCCTACTCCAAGCAGCTTTTCCGTGCTCTTCTGCTTCTGGTACTTCTGGTCCTTTTGAGTACCTACAGCTCGGTGCGCTCTGTACGCGCTCATAATTCTAATGGAAACGTTGCGTTCCACGCTTCCACCAGCCGTCCCCACCTCCGTTAATATCGTAAACTTTGTCGCTGCACGGGAACGCAGTCGGAATTCGAAAGAAACGGCTTGTCGTCGCCGTAATACTTTAAATCACGCCCGCCGCCGCCACCACTGCCTTCGTCGTCGTCGTCGTCGTCGCACTCGTTCGGAAAGTTCGGCAAACATCTCCTGGGACTTTAGCGTTTTTGCTTGCCTTATCGCTCTCCCACTTCTTAACTTTATTTAAAAAGTCTGCACGAACAGCAGGAGGGGTAAAACAGGAAGAACGGAAACTCGCGCGCGTTTGTGAAACTCTCTAAATGAATCACTTAAAAGTCTTAATTAATAAAATACTTAATAAATACTTTTTCGGCGCCATTTTTAAGTTTTCTACCGTACAACTTCCAACTTTTAACTTATGACGTTCATTAATAAAGTTTCGGTGCAATTAATTATGTTTTCTTTTATATCATGAGCAGTAAAGGAAAATTTCATAACCTAGACAGTAAAGAATTTAAGAAATTATAAAAATGTATCGATTGCAAAGCAATATTGCAGAAAATTTTTATTTTTTGTAAGTGTAGATGAAATTTGTGTGAATTTTCGTTTGATTTAAATTTGTTGAATATTCAGTTTTCAATCTTAGAGTAGCTGTTGCTTAGCAGGCGCACAACGCGACACAGTAAATTTATTTATGTAAATACCGATTATGCAAATCCTCGATATAACTCGAGGCGTTTGCCCGGATACTACCCTCGGATAGTTAGTTGTATTTTTCAAGCTTTCGATGCGAAGCACTGCGAAAGCTGCGCAGAGTGTGGGGGCGGCTAACAACGTGGCAACAAAGAAGCTTCCGACACTTTATCAATTGCGCTCGCAGCCGACGCCGGCAATGAATCTTACGGGGAATCTTAGCGAGGCAAAAAGGCTTTAAACGCCTTAAACGCTTTAAAGGAGTAGGTAATACTTTAAATTCCTGTTTTTACCGTCACGCTGTCTGCTTTGCACCCAACTGCAATTAATTGCCACACTCTGTATAGTAATTACAGCCACAATTGAAATAATACGCCGTAATACTCAGCAATGAAGCGATAAGAAACATGAAGAAATATAACACAATAAACTTATGTTTACTGCACGAGTGTTTTGGTTGTGAATTGAAAACTCGATGCATATTTTCTATTTTCACGTCGTAGATTTACGAATGTATATTTTTTGTTTCGATGGCTTACGTTAGTTCTTGCATTTGTGATTTTTATATGTCGCACACAAAACAAAAGCGCAGGCGACACGAAAGTGGGCAACAACATGAAACGCCCTCGAAACTATAGAATAAACTTCCCCTGCGGGCCGACGACGTTTACGACGAACGCGAATTCGTTCACCCACCACGACGAGTTTGTTAAACTCGTCCGCAAACCAAATTAAAGATAAATATATTTCGTGACGAGCTCGTACGCTAGAAACTTCTCAGGCAACACACACAACACGCGCGCATAACCTCACATACTCATACGCAAACTTGTAGTAGTCAGTTGTAAGTCGTAACCAAATCGAACGTTGAACAATAGTATACACACTACACACATTATAGTAACATATTGAAACAGTGGAAAAAATGTCCGTGTAGAGTTTGAAGCATGTAAATGTTACGCGCGCACGAAGGGCAAACACAAACAAAACCATCAACAACAATCATCAACAATGAGTGGTGTAACCGCCTCCTCTCCTTCCAATTCGAGACGTGAAGAAAAGAAAAGAAAGCAAAGTGGTTGAAAGCGTTGTAGAAGAACACACAGGAAGCGCCACTCCACTTGCTGGAAATGCCCGAAAATGACGCTTTAAGAACAATGGCGAACAAATTTTCGTATTTCCTATTGCTGCGTGGAAGTAATACGTGGTTATGTTGAAGGTAAAGTTAAAATGTGCATTTTGATTAAATCCTGTTAACACCAATTGCGAGAATTTCAAATATTCGCCGTTGCAAATTGAAAATTTGCCATCGTGTCCAACTGGTGAAACTTGTTCTCCTTCGCCTGGTTGTGTGCACTATTAGCAGCGCGGTTCTGAAACTCGCCGCTACAACCTAATCGCAAATGGGGTTCTCGACCAGAGGATGAACATCTGTATTAGGCATTACGGCGCTAATAGCTGCCCGGTTGAAACAAGCCCCCGAATAACGCCGTCTTGCCGCCGCCAACCACCCATTCCTCCACCCGACAACCTCCCTACCACCACCCTTTGCGAGTATTTAGCGCGCAGAAAGTGGACGGAGGAAAATCTCTTTGTCCGATATCAGCGCCCGAAGCGAACTTTGTGCGTAATCTAGCTGTGCGAGTACATAAATTACAATAAAGCGTCGGTATTTAATCGATACGCGGCGTCGCTTGTTTCGCCCTTAAATACATCGCGATACACAATAGGCAAACGGTAATAAATAATCGTAAATCGTCGCCGGGCTGCTGAAATAGGATGTCAAATAAATTTTATTTCGTACATCTATTTTTTTCTTCATGCTTTTGTAAATTAGGTGGAGACAAGTTGGGAACAAGTCATTCGGAAATTAAGGGCTGATCCTTTGATGAAATTTGCTCCCACTTTTGCCTCCCCGCCGATGGAAGGATGAGGTCACGTAAATAAATTTGATGTAACGTATCACTTTCGTTTGATGTGTTTTTCGAGCACAGAAGGTTTTTTTTTTCTCCGCCCGTCCGCGAACTTTTGACTTGTCCATCAACTGTCAACCGACATAACCTCTTCGCCAAAGTTGATGTGATATCCAATATAACCTAAGTTATTAACTCTTCGATGACTCCATTATCAAATGATTTCAAACGTGAAATTCACGTTTGTGGAAAGAAAGGGGGCATTATCTCTCGGCGAGTACTTTTGAATGAAATAGCTGAGAGAAGGTGGGGTGGCAAACTTGTAACCTGGTAGCTGGAAGAGGGCCGTGTGGAAGAATGTTTCGCGGTTACGCATATAGTGTTCGTAAATATTAGGTCGACAGGTGAAAATGCACGTGCAGACGCTGTGGATGTTAACGAGGGCTGGAAACACAGCGGCGGCGGCGGTGGCGGCGGCATCGGGGTGGGGTCGGTCGCCGCGCCGGGCTCTCTCTCGCCGGGGCGCCCGCGCCGGCAGATCAATAGTCTGTGCCAGCAGCACCACTAACACGCTGACACACACCGCCGCCGCCGCCGCCGCCCGCACACGAAAACGCCACTTACGGCGCGGCGGCGAGGGCGGCGAAGCGTGCGTGTCGGTGTGTCTGTATGAGTAAATGTGTGCGAAACGACTCGCGGCTCGAAAACGAAACCGAGGAGCAAATCCAAGCAAACGCCGCCGCCGCCACCGTCGTCGGCGCTTTTTCTTTACCAGGCGTTTCAGGCGTCGTCGACACTGACATTGAGAAAATTAACAAGTCTTTAACCGCCATATACAATAAAGTATAGCACTCGCATATTTTTCAGAAATTCACTCAAATATATAAATGTTCGCCGAATTTTCAACTTTGATGAACATTCATTAGCACAATGTGGATGGCAAACACGGATAACACCTGTCCCAATTCCCGCTGAAAAGTTTCGCTCTATTATCCGAAACTCGCACGTCGAACACGCGCTCGGCGACCATGTTCGCCCATTCGCAAAACGCACACCGAGGGCAGCGTATAACGCACGACAACAACATTTGTTCGCCGCATTTCCCGTCTGCATTCACAACTTTTACTCGCATAACCTAAACTACCAGCTACTCTCCACCAGAGTACACGTATAATAAACTAGGTTAGGTTGGCATGAGTGTTTAGCAGTGGTGCAAAAGAAATATCCTATAAATGGAATATTGCGTGCGTCACGTAGCTACGTGTTGGGGTGGTGGCGGCGCGGGGGGTGGCACGGCCCGAAACCGAACACACAACTTGCCCAACTCTCCCAACATATTAACTACCCAGGTATGGGGTGGTATAGACTTATTTTCTCTACGCGTACGATGTGCACATATTAATGACGAAGGGTGCATTTTTGAGTTAACCTACACTTAGAAAATATTACGCGTACACGACACCACAACTTTCTTGCGGGGTGTATACACGTTATTAAACTCTCATAACTTGTTATTCCATCAAAACATGTTTTCGTCCGAACGGGGCTGGTCACAAAACTCTATCAAACTCAGTTTATGTGTATGATTTTATTATAGTTTTTGAGACCCGAGAGCGGTAAATCACTTAACCTCAAATTAGAGTTAATACAGCTGCCTAACTTACCAAAAGCGTGTATCTCGCCGAACGCACACGAGGTGAGTGTGTCGCCACTGTCGCCGTCTTCTATCCCGATCTGCAAACAGAGAACAGCACCACATTAATGCTGATTAAAGTCATATTGATGTCAGAGTGGCCGTAATGCATGCAGGCATTGTTCGCGGCGGCGGCGGAGCTCCTAAGTGAGTTATTATAAGATTCGCGTCCATGAATAATATTCGCGCGCGGATGCATATTCATCGCGTCATAAATAAACTTGCGCTTGGGCACACACGCCGTCTGGAGGCGGCGGTGGTGGCGGCAGCGTGTATCTGGAGTGTGTGTACGACTACGCGCGACACGCTCGAGGGATGATGTCACGCCGCGGCGCAAGCATGTTTACCATGCATACAATGGGATAGCGGGTAGTTTCAAGACGCAGATAGTTTACATGTATGCACCCTTCGTCTGGATGGTGAGTTTCTGTGTTGAAAAAGTTATAAAATTTTGTGCTCCAACATTATCGCAAGAGATTTACTTTATGCCGCCGTTAATAAAGCGAGCACGCTATGAAAACACGCGTTATATGAGCATGAATAGTGATATAGACAACAAAGGTTGATAAGCAAAATTAAATTTTTGCGCACGGTTGCCATGACAGCGGGATGAAATTAGCAACGTGTTTGTTTACGCTGAAACAAAAGCAAAAGCGGTAGGTGGTGGCAGGTGGTGGCTCTGTGAAGCAGATGATGGTGGTTCTTTTACAGCTCCGTTTTGTGCTCCCCGGCCATCATCACGACATTCTCCGCTGCGCGTCGACGGTTTTTATTTGTCTCCGGCAGCTAAGCGCACTCTGGATGCACAAAGCATCCTGAATCTAGCCATCCAGCGTCTTTCTTTGGTTTAAACAAAGAAAACGCCAGCGAGGCGCTAGAAGACTGGAAAAAAACACTCGCCTCGAGGAAGACTAGCTGTCCTGACGACGACGGCTACTTTCTTTTGTGTTTCCCCAGCGTTGCGACGCCGCACTGCCGCCAGGATTAAGAAAATAACGCCCTTTAATTATCGAATGCACGTCTTCGTCGCTCCAGCAACTATTTTGTGCTTTTCCGCACGATTTTTGCCAATTTTAAGCAGAAAAAAAGTGAAAAAAAATGTTGAGATGAAAACAAAACACGCGCTAAGGCTGACGCCCTAAACTCGTGATGCCATTGCTGACGTCATAGTCACCCCGGCAACCACGGAGGCAACTATCTCACGCTATGACGTCATGCCTCGCAGGCGCGAGGCGGCACGGGCGGCACTTTATGGTCCAGATTGCAACCCTACGTAACCCAGTTAACCTACATACTGCACAAACACACCGCAGTGCAAACACTGCCAACAAACTTTACAAAAAACTATATAATTGCCATATTTAGCCATGATTTGTTTTATATATTCAAAGTCTAACTGATACGCTCTGTATACTAAAAACCTTGGTGTATGTTCGGTTGCCAATAGTAAGGCGTCAATGTTCGTTACAAATCGAGTTAACCTCATTGTTTGAACGCAAAACACAAACAAAAGTTGATATGTAATTGTCAGGCTTGTCAGTTTGGATGAAGGTACAGCAAAATTAATTCCCAGCAGAGCGTAAAAGCAAAGCTGTCGGAAAAGTGCAAAAATTCCAAGTCGAAGATGTCACAAAAGTTTACGAACGCCATGAACACCGCCGAGCCATATCACGAGTCGTTCACGCGGCGAAATACGACTTCGAAATCGAAGGTGATGCGGGACACCTCAAGCAGGGTACTAAGAATGCGTGATCCGGGCTCCAAAGGCGACTCTCATGTGAGGAAAGAGGTTTATGCAACTATAGATTCTCCAGAATTTTCAATCAGGACAAAACCTAAAAGTGGTCAATTAAATACTGAACTAGCACAGGGAGAGACTTGGGGAGGCATCTTAAGAGCCCAATCAAGCAATGAGAACATGTCAGGTTTTAGTAAGTTTGATCCGCTGAGAACTATTCATTTTCTTGGAAAAGAGTTAAAGTCTCAGTTAAAAGATGCTGTACCATGTAAGATACTGCTAGTTTATTGCTGCTGTCAAATTTAATGCGGGCAATATTTTAGATAATTCAACTATTCTTGATGTGATATGTGAGATGGAAAGTGCTTTAAAGAGAATTCCACATGATATTCAGCTTATTGCTGATACAGCTGTGAAAAAACAGGAGGGAAGACAATCAAGACAGTCTCATAAAGAGAAAATTGTATATTTTATTTTCATTGAATGAATAATTTTGTAATAAATTTTAACATGTTTGTTATCTTTAGAAAACGAAATCAGAAGCTTGTCAAACACCAAGCATGTGGTATTTGGAACCAGTCAGATTACAACAACACCTTGAGGAGAGCTCGGAAAAAATCGAAAAAGCATGCCAACAAATGGAGATACTCTGCTCTAAGCTTAAAACAGAAAAAGAGAACGTAGAAGTGCAATTGAAGATTGAACAAGAGAGCACTAAAGTTTTGAAGCACCAAGTCGAAGAGTACAAAGTTAAGGTGCGTCAAACTGCCGATTGATTTCCAGCTAAATAATTGATGTGTTGTGCTGTTTTTGCAGTTGCAGGGAGTGAGCAGCCTAGCCGAATCGTTAAAGAGCCAAAACAGCACGCTGAAGGCCGACGTGGAGCGGCAGCGCTTGCAGCTTGCATCAGTCACCAACGAAACCCCCGCGATGGGCGAATTGAAATTGTTTATTCAGGACCTAGAGCGCGCCAAGGCGGACACCGATTCTGAGAACGCCCGTTTACAGCGTGAGGTACGACTCGCCCAGATCGAGAATGAGAAGTATGAGGCGATCCTGCAGGCGCGCGACACGCAAGTCAAAGAAATCCGCTACGAGATGACCCAGTTGCAGGAAGTTGTCCACGAGCAGCTGCTTGATTTTCAAAATGTGAGCACGTCTGATGAGGCGACCGTCTCACATTCCCTTACAAATATCCAAGAAGGTACGACAAATAGATTTCCAACTTTTTATTTTTTCAATTTTGCTTTGAAACGATATTTTCATGATTTTAGAAGTTAATAGCGGTACATTTGTGTCGCCTAACAACGAACCGATAAAGAAATTGTTTAACAATCGACGCGGCCGTAATCAATACGACGACGGTGATGCACATTCGGCTGGTGCGACTTCACCGGATCACCTGGCTGAGATGCAAGATCTACACCTCGACGTCGACAGTTTCAAGCTGCGACATGTAAGTGCGCCCTGACATCACCCCACACATCCGATTAATTTATGCCCCGTAAAGGTGTATAAAATCCCCATTCCCGGCGTGGCTCAGACGAGCAAGTGTCTCGATTTACCAACGAAAAATCCAGCGAATATTAAACGGCAAACAATTGAAAATGCTGGATTATGATTATTCAATTTTAATTATACATTAACTGACAATCGTTTTTGCAATCGTGGCGTTTTTGTTTTTCTTTTTATTTGATTGTTGGTAATGCGGTAAATTTAAGTTACCTCGTCTGTGCAAGTTGTTGGCCTCGCTGCATCGCCCGCAAATCCTGCGCTTCGCCGATGACCGCCCGCCTCACATTTCGCACCCGCACGCACTAGTGCACCACCGACTCGCCGTGGATGAAAGTCGTCCGGTGCAGGGCTGGCCGCTCGCTGTGGTGGTGACGCCCCAACTCGGTCTGCTGGCCTGCTGGCCCGCTGCTGCTGCTGCTCGGCCTGCGGGGGGAACGCACACGCACACGGGACGACGGCACACAGGGCACTCAGGTACGAGCGGGCTGTGGCTCGAGCGGCACTGCGCGCCGCCCGCAATCGATAGCGCCGGCCGCCGCCGGGGTGCACGCGGCGCGCGTGAGGCGGCACGCCGTCGCACCCCGTTTCGGGCGCCGCCACCCGCTCCGCTTTCTGTTAACCCCCAGATGGCGCCAATTACCTCAACCCTAGAGTAAATCCTTTACAGGCATAAAAGGATTCTGGCTGAAATTCGTAAAGCATGGCTGGTTGTGTTAAACTAGACAACCAGAGATGCATCAGTTGGATTCGCTTGTTTGGGCGCCATATTTGCATTTGGTTCTTCGGATCGGAGAAGAGGGTAAGAATAAACAAACAAGTTACATTTTATATAACACTTCATTATTTACACAGTTATGTATAAAATAAATCGGTTAAAGCACATAACTAGCTGATTATGTGCACGATAATATCACATATTTTGGATATTTCACGTTTTGGTATACGTTTTGTTACCAAATCAAGTATTGCATCATAATTGATTATCAATCGGCGAGCACGACATTGATAGCATCAATATGATAAAAGTAAAATCGTACTGCATCATTAAGAGTCGAACGTAAAAAACACTATTGTCAAAGGTCCGTTAATAAGTACATACTCGAAATCAACATAATTGAGCAACTTACGTAAGCGTGAAGTAAAAGTGATTTAAGTAATTAATTTCATTCTAAGTTATTGCGGCCCGTATTTAGAGAGATTGAGATTCGGAGACTTGTTGTTGATTTGTTTTTGGCAAATGTTAGCCTATAAATTACATAAGACACTAAAGCTCACTTCCCGCATGCCTTGGTTTGCCATTCTTGTTTAGTACTCTATAGCGTGTGTGTACCCTTGAACACATCGTAAGGTAGTCTTTTTTTCTTGGTATAAATATATAAATATCAAAACTTAACAATGGTAATACTTTTTTTGGACGTCACAGCCTACCCTAAGTTTTATATTTTTTTAGTCTGCCCATTCATTTCTTAGTTTACCCAGTGTGCTCATCCTAATAGTATTCCTCATTTGCTTCCATGTTAGCCAACAGCACCTTCTTTTCATCTTTCTTGGGTTGGAAGTTTCTTGGTTCAAAACAAGGCTGTGACAGAAATTTAAATTAATATTTTATCATTATGATAGAGGCAATCAACTTACCGTTTCGCAGATGTTCATGTTACAACAGTCCTCAATTGTGATTTCGCATTGTGCAACTTGTGGTCGGTAGGTGAGTGGCGTGACATTTTTATTCACTACAACGCGCTTTTTAATCCTCGGGCGAAGCCTTTTCATCTTACATACGTAGACCACCAAGGATATTGTTATCACCATAGTTAAAATGTTGCTACACATCAGTGCGATGGTATACGGATGATTTGTTACCAATGTATCAATATCATTGAAAACCGTAGACGATTGCGTTCTATTTGCTCCTTCTATGCTCATATAGCTTAAATCTGAACATCTGCAATAATTTTTTAAATTAATTTTCATATTACAACGAAAATGATAGAAATTACCTGCACAAGAATGACCTATCTTCATGTACCACCAAATGCTCACTTGTATTGGCACACAGTGCCTTGCAAACCTCCAAGTTACTAACTGGTACAACTGTCTCGCATCTCTCACCACTGAAACCCTTCGGGCAAGTACAAACAACATTTTCTGCCACATGACAAACGCCACCATTCAAACATAAATTGTCACAAGGGGCTTTCTCACATTGAATACCAGTATATCCGAGATTGCAAGCACACTGTGCTTTACCATCCGAATCCACGCTGCACTTACCATTCAGGCAGTAATTGTAACAAACATCCACCTCACACTGCTCGCCTGTGTAACCAGGTAAACAACTGCAAGTGCAGTTGGCTGCTTGCGTGCCATGCACGCATATCGGGCAGGTCTTGTTTTCGTTCTCTGCGTATCGTGTGTAACCATTGTTAAGTTTCTCGTTCTCTTTTGCTTGGTGTCTTTGCTTAATCATAACAGCGAGTTTCTCGCAGTTTGGCTCTTCGGGGAATCCCACGAATCGCGACAAGATGCCGTTCGGTTGTCGCGTGAACGTATGGATGTGTTCTGGGGCTTCACTGCTATACTTCGGCATCCGCCACAGTGCGTTGTCATTGATATCCGTCCAGTAGACATAGTCTCTGTCGACCGTGAGTCCGAACGGCTTCTGGTGCGTGCCCTCGATGTGCAATCGGCGATCGTGTCCGTTTAAGTCGATACTCTCGATTCTGTAGTAGATGCCCGCCATCATATCAGTCCAGTAGAGACGTTGCTCCAGCTGGTCAATTACAATCGCCGTGGGGGTTATCACGTCTGTTACCAGGACCTTTCGGTGTGTGCCCATTATCGTCGCCTTTTCTATTGTTGGAGTGTTTGTGTTTGCATTCGTCCAGTAAATCATTCTGAAAATCAATTTATCATCAAAAATCTGTCTTTGAGGTTTAAATAATGGTTAAATTACCTTTTACAACTATCAATAGCCAAATCCTGTGGTTTTTGATCCTGGAAGTCAAATAGCGTATCGTACTGGTTTGATTCAAACGACCTATTCTCATTCAAAATGTTTAAAAGTTTGTAGTTGATGCTTTTGTTCGTGGCGTCCGTCCAGTAAACCATTTCCGCCAATGGATCAACCGCAATTCCTTGAATGTCATCTTTAAGATCTTCCACAACCGGAACTACTTGCATTGAACTAGGATCCAACACGTAGATGGTATCGTTATCATTGTGGCGATTTCCAACAATAAACAGATTCTTTTGATTCAAATATGTCACTGCTTTGATATCGCTGAAGATGTCTGTTATCGATCTGATCAGCTTGCCCTTGTTGTTCAGCAGTTGAATCTCATTGTCCAGTGTTACCGCGACATCTGCGAACAAAACGATTGCGTAATTTAAATGAATTGCAGACATTTAATCGTTGTTGATTAAATCATTGAGTGTAGTGTTGTGTTTGATAACAATCATCAATTTTTGGCAATCTACAATTGAAGTGATTTGATGTGAGTAATTCGAATCGTTGGAGGGAGTCGGGAAACGCGCGTCGTGCGAACGGTCACGTACGCAGGACATTCGAGAGTCCTGGTATCCTATAAAACGCAATACGATCGTCGATATCGCTGTGTCAGACGCTGCGCGCGCGTTTTACGTTGCAAGTTACTTAAGCAAGAATAATAATTGGCTTTTAAAGCGAAACTTGTCGGCAAGCGTATTTTTTAACGACGAGTAATTAATTTGTTTCCAGGACTATAGGACTATTGTTTTCATTTAAAGAGAATGCGATAGGTTAAGTTACATGATAATTAATAATAAGTTTTTATCATGTTTTTGAAATATGTTGACCTTTTTGACCACACGCGATGACCACAGGCAAGAAAATACGTAGTTTGTGATAAGTATGTTTACCAAATAACCAAGTGGTTACTTGGTTAAATAATTGGTAAATGTTTATAGTTTGTGCGGTTTTTCTACGACGCGTTGCGAGAGGAAAAATATCTCATATTAAATGAACTTTTATCTCTGAACGTGAGACAGCACGCCGACAAAATGGACTAAATGCGCAGTCATCTGCTTTTTTGCGAGTCTGAGCGATGATATATTATAATAACTTAATTTGATTCAATTTAAACCTGTGATTACTTGTTTATTTCCGTCCAATTTATATTTACGTCGCAGAACATTAAAAAAGTTGTTTTGTAAATAGCATCACCATACGTAATAAACGCGATCTCATAATAGTTAATCAGGAATTTTATGAAGTGCTTTATCAATATGAAATGATAATCATAATCAAAAAATATTACGCGTTTGGTAATTTTCAAACGTCATCGACTTACCTTTGATACTCAATCAAAATATTTCTATAAGCAAACAAAAAGAAACACAAATAATACATCTAATAACAAAAAACAACATAATTATGCACATATAAATAATATAATTTAACAAAATTATACAAGCGGGACTTTTTAAATCCGTAAATAAATATTGTTGTCTCAAAAAAATTATATGAAGCAATTCTATTAATATTTAAGTACATTTATGACATTGGAAGACAGTAAAGAAACAAATGAACAAATTCGCTACAATTATTTTCAATGTGAATCGTGTCGCAAAACCATCAAGAACACAAGCATTTCTTCAATGAAAGCAATTACCGCGTGATAATCGCGATTAATAACATGGCTAATAAAATTGCAACTTGATTAATTCGCACAATATTAGACGTAGAACAAAAACGCGAAATAAAAATCGTTACGAGGTCAATGCGCGTTCGCGCGCAACAGGCAACGGCGAGAAATGTTTCGGAAGGAAGTGACAGTTCAATTTTTTTCATATTCTGTATCATTATTAACAACAATAAATTATTGTTAAAGTAATATTGTTTCGATTCGCTGACTTCGAGTGAGTAATCATACCGTGTTGCATGCATATCATTGACCATCATTAATTAAATTAAGTGTAAAAGTTGAAACAACCTTGATATTGATTAGTTATTTTGATTTATTTATTATTAATTGATAATTAAATTGTACTTCCTTCTTCCGAAATATTAATTTAAAATACAATAAACGTATTGCTTATTATCCAATTTAGGAATCCTGTCATTGTTGAAGTAGAACGTATTTATTTGCGTTGTTAAACATTTGCAAATTTTTCATAATCAACTCACGGAGCCCGCGGCAATGAATAGATATGAATACGTGACGTTGGTATAACGTATAGAAAAAAAGGTGTGAATTAGTGTTTGTGTGTTGATTCTCGGTTTAAAATGATTTAAATTGAGACGGAGAAGAATATAAAGTGGACTTTCCGTTTTCGTAATTAAAAATTCCATTAATTACAACAAAAAAGTGCCTTTTTAAAAGTTTTTTCTCACCTTGAAAAAGTATTTCAATGCCTACAATGCATGCACTTATTATTATTTATCCAGAAACTAATTTTATATTGACTTTTTGTTTGTTTCCGCAAATTTCCAAATTATTTGGTTTTTCCTTAAGTGGAAGCATTTTATTCACATAAAATTGGTTTAAACCAATTAATCACAAATAAAATGCATTGATTTAATAATTACTAGGCGTAAAATTCAATGCTTCTCTTGTAATATAAGAAATTCCGTATAAACTCTTATAAAATTCCTAGAACAATAGTGAATATCGTATCATATCAGTGAATTTATCGCATTATAGCATTAAAAAGTCCATTAATGATGACAACGACAAAAATTAATGCACGCTCACATCGCGGCCGTAAATTAATATGCATTAGCAACAACAATTCTATTGATGGAATATAATTGTAATCGTATTTACATTTACCTTTTACGCGTAATGTCATCCATTCCATCCAATACGGCGTAAATAAAGCAAACTACGCAATTTTGATTAGGACATTGCGGAAATTCAAAAAGCTAATCCATTGATTATCAATTATGCATGCTATCAACATTTTAATTGACGATAATGATAGTTAATCGGATTAATCATGGGTAATTATGTAATCAGTCAAAACGCGTTTATGTAATGGAAGTGTAACGATGATCTAAATATGCTCATCGCGTTTTTTTTGGGCTGACACAATACTATATCTCGTGACCGGTCTAATTTCAATTTTTCCGACCGAATTTTCCTCAATGTCACACCGACACGTTATATAACGACGACTTTTCGGCGTCTGGCTGTTTTTCAATAATTTTTCCAACACATCGACGGATATTATTAGCTTTTCAGGCAAACATTGCGTGCAATCGCTCACGTAATTATTATCACTCGTTAAAATTTGCGCATTGCAAACATCCGCAAATAAATTCATTCAACACTTCGATTTTTGATGTTCGTGCGGAACACGAGGCGACCAACGGTGTTAGAAGTGCGTTAGGTAATAAGTACGACAGAGATAAAAGAGACCACGAGGTTCGTGGGCCCGGTCTACGTGACGACTTGACGTCGTACTATGGATGGCGTTATACCGGCGCTTAAAAAGGCGCTCTTTCTCTTTTTTACTGTAATTTTATATCCGTACGCGCAACAGAGGACGTAGTTATAAATTTAAGTAGATTTTTTATTTATATATTTACAGGTTTTAACAGTTAACTTACCCCAAGTAAGAATTTCCTCCGGTTTTTCTGTGCCAGTTGCCGAAACCACGTAAACGCAGAATAGGAGGCATGTCGCGTTGATTAGTTTAAACATTTTCGGGCACATTGCTGTTTTTTGATGGTGTTCGGTCCAAAAGAAAAAACTAACGCAAAGAAAAGCGTTCCGCCGGTTTGTTCACTCAGGGGAGCGAAAGGCGGCAATGGGCGGCACGGCACGTTCCTGCCCACACGATGGTCACACGCGCACTGAGTGAACGTGTGCGATTGGCGTTTGTCTTCTACTCGTGTCTGGTGCGCGTGTTTTGCAAAACCGAATATACCCGAAGCGTACGATAGAAACCATTAATCACGCCCCATCCTTTTATGACATTGATTTTAGCTATAGTGTTATCTCTGTTACACTTGTACAGTGGCTTCGGACAAGTTCGGTTGATTAATTTTTGGAAAGTTTTGAAATTTTTGCACTAACTAAGTTTGCATGTGTAAAGAATCGTATACTAAACGGTGCTTAGATGCGGTGTCAAGGTATCGATTGTTGTGTTATGTAAATTGTGAGCATTTCACATTGGATAAATGAAAATACACACAAAAAAGCGAAAAAACCAATCTATCAAAATTATTACTTTGACGTTTGGTAGAAACTTCATTTTATTTGATTTTACAACCAATGACTAAAGGATACGTTTTAATGTTATCTCTTATTCGCATCAATGGTCGGAGATAAATAACATGATAAAATATATATTAGTAACTTATTACTTTCATCTGAGTATAGACAAGTTAATATGCAGACAATATAAAAATATGGGTTTAAAGCAAGTTAAAATTACTACATTTCAGTAAAATTATTACTAACACATTAATTAATAAATTGGTTAATTGATTTTTAAAATGTTTTCGTGTATATTCCTGCTTTTAAATGAATATTATTTGACAACTAACATTAATTCACTATAGGCAACCCAAAATACACGTTAATTTTCACACTGAAAACAAAATGTCAGAATTGAAACAAAAGCTATTTCTGTCGTGAAAGTGTTTAAAACTAAAAGTGAAAAACTAGAAAATTGTAAGTAGTAAATAATATATAAGTCATTACACATAGCACAGAATGAAGCATACAATTTGCGAACTTTTACGGCATATATTGATTTATTCGTTTTTATTGTGTTCGTTGCGACAAGCACCATAAAACCAACGTGACATTTTGAATTGCGAAATTTCCAACACTTTCAACTCCTTTCAATCTCATCACAGTGCCATAGAAAATTAACAACTAAAGAAAATGTTGCCTTTACTTTATTATTAATTGTGCATTCAACAATTATTATGTTTCGGTCGTAACTTGATTGTTTCATTAATTTTGATTGTAATTATTGTAATTCGTTGTTAAAACGGTTACAAATGTTCTGCTGCCGTGCAATGCGGGCAGCATCGAATTTAATAACGAGTAGTGGCAAGTAGCGCCACCCGGAATGCCCGGAATTGCGAAACGCCAAAAAACAGAGTCGCAGTCGGTGGCGGTCGGGCAAGTCGGGTGAACGGAACTCTGAAAAAACAACGCGTAAACTTCAACCGACATTAGCGTTTAGTTTATTGAATTAATACCCGATTCCATTCGCGTTCGGTGTGCAGTGTTGAGTGTATGTGATAATAAAACTTGTGATTCGAAAGAAACAAAGCAACGCAGGTGCAACTGGAAACTGTGCAGATGCAGAAGATTCACAGTTGATAACTGATGAGGTATGTTCGCATTCGCGTGTATAACCTTTGTATGAATCATGCATAACACATCGAAAGACATCACAGAGTCCGGAAGCTTTGTGATGTTTGTGATATTGATGTTTTGCCTAGCATTGCAACCTGTGTGATTCATCAAGGTGGAGGTTATGTTTAGTATTTACATTCAGTTGTTTTTCAATGAAAAACAGGATGTAAATCAGTCGAATCAAGTCAGGAAATAGTAAGAGCATAAAAAATGATTACTTTATGAATTACAATGTCATTTTTTATTAGCTCTAATTAATTATCTTCATGGAAATAAGCAGAATATAATAATTTAGAACTCTTTTACAGTTTTACAGCAATTTATACAAGAATGACATAGAAACATACGTAAAAACAACGAAATAACTGTTACACTTTACAATTTTAGCTGCTAATTGTTATAGTTAATTTCTAAAATTATTCAAATTAATTCCTGGTGTAAGCGCTGTGGTTCGTTTTAGAATTTATTATTTCAGCGTAACAAACCGTTAAAAGTATGTTACACAAGTAGGTTCTGTGCATGAGAGGTTGCCTACGTTAAACATACGTTTCGAAATGTTGTGTCTTCCGTTCAAGGTTGCAGCGTATACTAGGTTTCATATAGTACATGACTATAGGTCCTAAATGATTACGTTTGCGAATTTTGCAATATCGCCTGAAGATTTATAGAAATCTTAAGAGCAATCAGTAATAAAACGCAAATATCGTGACCAATCGTGCAAATACCAATAGAATGACCTAAAATGCGGTTAAATGGTTAAGAATTCAAGTGAAAGTGATACATGCAATCAATTAACAAAAAATTATCACCAAAAAACGTTAATTTTTGCTTGAATTGGTTACAAACATTGTTTTTGTGGTGGCATTCGACGTATGTGATATGTGCATGCGAATACATATAACTTCGACCTGAAATTACGAGCGTTGCTCGCATCGCGTTTCGGATCAAGGAAAAAGCGCCGCGAGAGTCGCGACCAGCCGCCAGCGTGCTGAGCGCTAAAAAGTCTCGCCCGCGCGCGCTGTTCGCGTCGCGTCTCCGTCGCTGCCGCATGTGCGTCGATCCTGTTCGTGTGCGATACGGTTTCGAAAGCAGGAAGGCACAAACAGCTGAAAAATATGCGAAAAACTTTTTAAAACGTCTTCAAACGCTTCAAAAAAGAAGAAGAAAAAGCTAATAATTAATTGTGATAAAGAAAGAGTTTTGTGGTATTTATAACAAAAGTGGTAAACTTTAAGTTGCCGGAAGTTCATAGCAAGAAGCGGAAAAGGACACGATCGACAAGGATTTACGCATCGAAAGCTGACATTTCGCCAAGCGTGAAGGAAGGGACAAGGGACAAAGCAAGTGGTGAGTAACCCACATTTCTACACATATTCACATGATTTTTGCTACGCCGGTCGTATTTGCGCATATAAAACACATTTTTATGCATTCCACGTTTAATTTATATGGAGTACGACTTTGTGCAGAATGTTACTGGCTAGGTTTATGTTACGTTCTGTTTTAATTTGATTAAGACATCGATTTCTCGCGAAAGCAGCGTGAAACCGCGGAAAATGGTCACACATTCGAGTCGTAAACAAATTTGGCGTCGCGCAGTTGCATAATCGCTGCTTTTGCAAACACTAGATGTGAATAGTGTATCATGACACGAAGTTATAATATTTTTTACACTCCAGTTGGAAATCTACAGTTAGATAGTAACAAATTACGGCGATCATAAGCGGAATAAATATGCGCAAAATGCATAAACGTGCGTTAAAGTGCATTAAATATAAACGCATATGTTGCGCGCTGGTTCTGCTTCGTTTTTTAGCTTCGCTTTGCAGTTTGATGCACCGCAAAAAGTCAGTTGTACGTTTGCAACATTTGCGCATAAAAAATAGAAAAAAAAACTTGTGGCTGCGACTAACATGCCAAGCTGAAACTGGAACTCGCAGCGCATGTCAAGGTGATTCATTTAATTATTAAACCATTTATTTATTTATACCAAGTCGGTATGAATTTATTGAGTGTAAACATACGCCGAGTCCGAACTTACTTACATTGATCCAGTATGGTGTATGTGTGTGTGTATGTTTGAAGAATGGGAATATAAAATGGTATAAATTTAATTTTGCTTAGCATAACATGATTTGTCGTCTGTAAAAATTACAGGGCATGAATAATATGTTTAGGTGCAGTACAAAATGGAATATTTCTTATCTACAACATGGTTTAGTAAATGCGCTTTTAGTGTTTCGTATTTTACCTTCAATTTTACTATTTATCAGCTTAATTTAGTATTTCAACACGGTATATTTGACCATGAAATAATTAAAACAATAAATCCATTGCTCACCTCGACGTTAATCAATGGCTCTGTTAAGCCACAAAAATAAATGCTTCATTGAGGATATTTTATGTTTTTATTATATATTTGCTAAGATTAGACTAGTTAAATTATTATTTTTTTCTTATCTTATATGAAAGTTGTAATAGATCAAAATTTCCTTTATTTGGAAATTTATGTGATGTTTTGATATACGATATTTTTATTTTGAAGATTTGGCAACTCCTCCACACTGTTGATATGTTGATACAGATGATATCATCTTTATGAACAATTTGACATTGACTGTCGTTAGCGGCGGACCACACGGAAGTTCATCGCTACGATGAAAATGTTGAATTTTCGTTTTCATGCGCGTTGCGTGAATTTACTATTTATAATTTCAATGTAGTCCTCATAATCCACCGGAATTTTTACGTTTCGGATGTTTTTATGAAGTCGCGCGCGCGAGAACGCGCCCACACGCAGAAAAGCGCGCGCCGTTGCGTTGCGAGCGCGCTTTCAATGCCTTCTATTTTCAACCGAAGCTTTCGGCGATTCACGAAACTTAGCTCGCCTTAACGTTGCACACACTCGAGTTATTTTCGATATGCTGCTTAAAGCCCGCAACAAAACGCATGAATAGTTAGGTAGTTAGAACAATTAGGCAACCTAATATACAATGCCTGTATTGAAATGGTGTCATATAAGCTATTCTTATAGATTCTCTGTTTTTTATGATTGACGCGTTGAAATTTGTCATCAGCGTCATTATCATCATCATCACTTGGGTGTGTTTTAAAGCCTAGCGTGCCGATTGTTTACACGTACAGGCCACAAACAAAGATGCCGAGGAAAGTCGCCAGAGTGTCGAAATAGACGCGGAGCAAGAAAAAATAAAAGGCATAGTGTACGTTCATGACGTGTTTTATGTCACTAGGTGCGCTTCGTTCGTATTATACGTACATCGCTAATGATGAGACTTTTGTGTGCAAATTAGCATCGATTTTCAACTCGTGTTTACACGACAATCATGCCCATGCCCATAAACTTATGATTTATGCATGTAATTATAAATTAAATCAATTTAGGCAACTTTCATAACAACGTGACAATTCACATTTTTATTAGGACATCCTGTACATCATACTTTATTTTAATTGTATCGTATTAAAAATATCTAAATTGAAACTTTTAGATAATGCAACGACAAAATTTATTACCGAAAATTCAATTACGATAAACGATTGTGAAATGGCTGAAATGCTGACCGAAATTGCTCTGATTCGCGCCAATGCTTATTTTGTAAATATTAGGCGCTGGAAAGGTTGCGGCCGGTCAATTATAAGCGCCGATCGACCACGATAATCGATCGATAATTGCTATTTAATAAGCTGCGCGTGTGTAATTAACCGACATACGAAAAACAGTCAGTACTCCACTTGTTTGAGTAAGCAAACAAACTAGTGAGTAAAAAATAACATAAACCATGGAAAAACGTAAAAGTATAAGTATAGATATAAACTACCGCTGAGTGTGCTTCTGTTTTTATTAAGCTTGGCATCTCAACGTTTTCAAGCCTAGGTTATTGAGATTGATTTGTTTTTCGTGAGATGAGAAGTATGAAAACGTTTATGGATTACGAGTAAGTATGCTTTACTTTTCAACTTGAGTAGAGTGGAAACATGCAAAGAACTATTAAGTTTACTTACTCATTCATGCGTTGAAAATGAAATTTTTGTTGTTATTGTGTTGCAAAATAGACTAAACAAAATTAAAAGTTTTTGCGATGACCTCAAATGTTAAAAATTTTACAATATTATTAGTGTGACTGACAAATTGTATGAATTATTGCAACTCTGTCATAGTTATTGTTGATTTGTGTTGTTGGTGCATGTGTAAATTACAAATTTCCACAAACAATTTGGTCCACTGTCCAACTAATTGAAGTTTATTGCTGTTTGAGTGATGGTGCTGCTGCTTTTAGTACAATATGTTAGTTTGTTCTATGCGTTTGGTTGATGAACACACCACAAACAGCATAATTACTATTTTGGTAGTTTTAGTGTTTTTAGCTTCCTGTCGGTGGTGTCAGTGCATTCATCATGCGTCAAACACATTGCGCACTAATGTTTGAAGAAAAATATTTTCGAAAAAATACAGAGAGGATATTTGAGAAATTGTTTTTGTTTGTAGACCATGCGTATGTGTAGATACAGCGCGTAGGTGCAATGCGTTCATTCAACATTTTATTTATGCACGTATTTAACGTCGATCTTAATTCAATAACGCCTGCGTTGCACTGATTTAATGAATGAACCCAACCTTCAGTTAAGTATTTTATTATCATCATGCTAAGTAGAAGTTATGACTGACTATAGATGCAATCGAATTCTAGAAGTTTTCTTTTTATCTTCTTCTTTGCTATAGGGCAAATGTCTGGCATTGCGTACTGAATTTCTGATGACGTTGATTGTGATGTGTCGCATTCCTTCGCTCCCTTATTGATATTAATATGCGCACCATCGACATCTGCCAGATGCTCTTGTTATTCATGGCGCGTACTCGCGCCAACAACGCAAAGTATGTACTGCACATGCAAATGCGAGAACAACGTGAATTGTTGTTTGTTGTGTGTTGCGGCACACGCACGTAATAAATAAGTGTTGTTCCATTATTCTGGCGGCGTGTTGGAATGGTGAAGAAAAAAATAATGGCGGCTGGCGGCACATGTCCGACGATGTTATGTTGTGACTGCGCTTGTCGCTAAAATCTAAATTTCAAACGCTAAAGCTCCGCGCATGAAGATTTCGAAATGTGGGATTACATAAAGTGTGAATTTAATGAACTTTTAGTACATAAACTGCGCTTTTTATGGAGTGAATGTACGGGGGAGAGGATCTACTGGATTGGAAAACACCGAAATGCACTAAACACGAAATTTTATACTCGAAAACTTTCAATTTCGATACGTTTGATATTTAGATTTTTTCTTGGAGGTTTTAATGCATTTTATTCAGACTGGACAGGTTTATTTTGACGAGGGATAGAAAAAAAAATGAAAACAAACGCCTCGGCCCATCGTGGCTACCTGTTTTTCAAAACATCATGTTTAGGATATTAACATTTTTCGAATACCTAACGTTAAATGGCGTGTCTAGGGTTGATTATGGTTTAAAACCGGAATTTTTGCCATTTTGGTGCCAAGTGGAACTTTCGTTTATGAGTGGGTAATCAGTTAACATAGCAAACGTCAATTTCCTGTCGTAAAATTGCCCCGTTCCGCATTGTTTGCCTACCGCCTCTCTGGAGTCAAGTTTTGAGTGCTGTTTTAAGTTTAACCCAGAGCGGAAAAGGAAATGATGTTGGTAGAAAGAAGTGAGTTTGTTCGCATTTGCAAAATCATTCATTGGATCGAAACTATTCATTACGCTTGAATGTGTTAAATGTGACCACGAAGACGACACAAAAAGTTTACATAACTGTAACTTCTAAGTTCTAACTTGCGACAGTATTGTCTTTGTGGACCGACAAATAAAAACCAGTGTTTTTTTTTTGCTTTAAAATCGCATAATTCTAATATAGATTTCACAAGAAATGTTTTAAATATTTTGTAGATGGAAATTTTTTCTCTTCACGTAGCTGCTTCTTACGACAAAAAAAAACCAAAGTAGACTTTAATCGCTGCGTTATGTCTGTGCTATCCACTATCTATCTGGTTTAGGGTATAGGGGCTTAAGTCACATATTACACATGTGTGTTATTTGAGCCTGAAGCTGAACAAGCTCCAGTAGACGCGACTAGACCGGACTAGACGCTCCGCTTTTGTTACTTTCCTCGCATCGAAAGTCATCTTTTACTAGTCTTGACTTAAGTCAAGTCTGACGTTGCGGCGGGTGACCGGGTCCCCACCAGGTTTTTTTTCTCTGTTACCTACGACGCCGGTAGGTATTACCCACACTGCACCCATATCCTTCTTGGCGGTGACTACTCGCAAGTCAGTTGTGTTGAACCATTGCTACGTGAAGCAGCAACATCTCTTGAGTCTAGTGTGGTATCATTTACGTTTGCGCTCGTAATATTATAATAAGCACTTGGGTGTATTGTGGTGCCCTGTGGTTTGTGGGACATCATATTTGTTATTTACGAGGGACAGAGTATCTCAAGAGAGTGCTTTTATATTCTCTCGTGCGTGTCTCTTGTGTGAGTTGTTGTTTTATTTTTTCGCGGTGTGTTGTAACCTAGTGTGGGCTCGCGTGGCTCACGGCAAACAGGTGTAAGGTGTAAATGTGATGTTGATGCAGAGGTTGCCGGACTGGACACTGGAACTGGACACTCGGAGGCATTTACGTGCAGCACACTAAACGAAAGTGCAATTTATATATTTGCGCGCACCGAGCATGCGTGCGCGTTTTAACTTTGAAGACGCCCTCGAACCTCCAGCGAGCGCACCTGGGTGGAATTGAAAACTTGAAGGAGATAATAGCAAGTTGCACGCGGTGTCTGTGGTCGGCGGATTTATCTTAAAGACGCCAACATGGAATTACTAACGACGGTCGTTTATCAGGTGTGTAACTCATAACAATTGCATTAAAAACTTTACGTAACATTTATTTTAATAATTTTGGGTTTAATGCCGGGTTGTTAAATTTAATTAAATTATGTAAGTTATCACTGTGAGACAATACGTGATTCAACTAATGACACGTACGTCCTTGACGTCGGCAAACCACAAGTTTGACTTCATATTTCACATATTCATCAAAAATGTTGCTTTTGCCAACATTTAATTTGTGTGTAATTAATGAAATTAATGTGCGCATTGTTTGCGCTCGCACGACTTCACTAATTGTTGGCGCGTTAGTAAATTGAATGAAAGTGAAAAAATATCTGTGCATGAATATTTTGTTTGGCTAGCGCAACTTTTTAATTTGTTGCAAACTCACTCATTGACCGATACAGTTCTATAAAAATGTATAAGATACTTTTATGCGCATTGCGAATACTCGTACATATTTCTTGAATGGAGTGAACAAATAGTGATACTGAACACTATTTGTTCTGTCTATTTATGATTGTTATGAATATGAAATGTGCGCATGCAGCGGCGGTGTACAATTACCAAGTTGCTTTCTAATTAGATAATTGGATTCCTGGAAAAGGAGGTGTTTTGTGTTTTGTGCACTCACTGATTGTGCATTGTTTAATTAGTCGCGTATTAGTTTGACTAGCTTTCGCTCGCAAAAAAAATTATTATTGATTTATGGTGTTACATGTTCTGAATTTTTAATTTTATTTTTAGTTTTTTTTTTGTATGTTGTTCAATTTTTCTTTAAAGTTTGTCTCCTTTATGGCATTTAGTTCAAGTTTTTTTTTTTTGTTAAGATCTCTCCGGCGCATGCATAACTAATAACTCGAATTATTCGCGCTCGACGTACACTCAACTACCTGTCACATCGTGCGCCTCGAACGCTAATTACGCTCGCCGGATATCACTCGCCGGTAACTGGTGTGTAAATATAAGAAGCGCGAAAGAGGAGCAAGAGGAGCAAATCGCAGATGAAGACATGAGGTGAACGCACCTAACGTCATAATAGTGATAGTAATGGTTATATAGGTATCTATTTAATAATGTTATGCTTCGAGGAGTAAAAAGTCGACAAGTGTAAAGAGGATCTGTGAAAGAGGAGATTAATAACAAGATGACTTGGTTGGAACATTTTTATTGCTTGTTGAAAAAGTGGGAACTTGGAAACTAGTTTTAATGATTCTAATGAGTTCTGGTTTAGTTAGTAATTTGTAAAAATGATAAGTGCAAGTTGTAAAATTACCTGGAAAGAGATTTTCATTAATTATATAACTTACTTCCAAGAAAAGCAAATAATTTTTAATTTAGGTGAATTTTCTTAAATATTACATTATAATTTGTCTAATGGATTTCGTGTTGACATGTCTAGACAATATATTAGTCCTTCAAGTGTTGCCTTACCTGCTGGCGACATATTTCCACCTTACCTATATTTGAACATAGGAAAAAATGTGATGTAGTAATCTAAGCACGACAATAATCTCCCCTAGCCATAGATTAATGCTGAGCACATTTGTATTGTATTGTATTTGCTTGTTGAAATTGGAGTAACAGCCAAACGCAATTAAGAACAATAAGGGGTCTTCGAACAATGGGACAATCAGTGAATGGCTTTGTAATCCAAACAGATATCCTTCTTTGAATGACCCCTCAGATTGCTCAGCATGTGACAGTCTTCTTGACACAAATGCTTCTTTAGTATCCTCGACGAATCAAATAACCATAGTAAGCAATTTAAATTTACGCACTGTATACAAAAACATTCTTATATTAGGTTTGTTTAAGTCTACTGTAATTACTATTGTGTTTAATCTAATGTTACTTATGTACGAGTAGGTATGATTGCCGATTGTTGATTGAGGTCCGTTTATCGTAATGCATTGAGTTTACGTTCACGTGTGCACGAAGCGCGACAGACGACCTAAACAATTTAAATGTGGTTGCATATTGATTTGTGTCATAGTCACACTACAGTTAGTTATTTCGTATGTAAAGTAATTTCGTTTTTTATTGGCTTTTTTTTGTTTTGGCGGCGTTTAATTTGCGTTCTTGTGACGTATTGCATTCCGTTTATTAGGCTAAGAAGTCAAAAGTGATTTCACCGCTCGAGGGACTACGAGCGAACGCAAGAAATGCCAATGGCGGGCGTTTCAGCTCGTCATTTCCTCATTTCTGCATAACACGCGTGTGACACAAATTTATCGTGTGGTTTTTTTTTTGCACAATTTTATTGTTTGAAAACTGATTGATATGCAAATCGAAAAATACAATTAATTTTGGATTAAGGTTAAAATAAACGTGTGCAAATTTTAATCACAAGCGAAATTTGATACAACGAAAATAAAACAAACAAAGTTCCCACCAGTCTAATTTTCAGTCTGCGCAGCGCGTAATTTTTAATTTCCGCATTTCTTTCCACTGATTAAGCGAATGAACCACATTTCTAATGCAGCGAAAATTTGCAGCAATTTGTCTGCTGGTGATCTAATGACTGATACATATTCATCGTCCTCGGGTGCCTTAATCCTGCGGTTCTAATAAGTCGTGGGAAGTTTTGTAACGATTGTTCAAACAGTCGAACGTGCATTATGAAATTAAAGCGATAAAAAGTAATCAAACAAAACGTATAGTATTAGATTACAGAAACAAAGTATATTTAAAGAGAAAACTTAAAAAGTGTGTTACTATTACGACGTACTTACGTACTACGCACCAACTTATATTTACTTGGTACGTGTGCTACGGTTCTGTTCTTGACGATTGACTCATCGAGTCATTCATATTTTTTTCAGTCGATTGTTATTTGTGCGCGATAAATGAACGATGAACGAACAAACGTACATGTGGTAACTTGGTAATACAGTGTGTGCAATCTCATGATTTGCGGTTAGATATAGACTATGTTTTGGTATTGCTTCGTTGTTTAGTTTCGTGATGATGCGATGAGATGTTGATGAGTTTCATGAGAAGAAATTTTCTATTTGAAATTTATTTTCCTATTACCGCGATGAAAACGAAATAATTTAGGCAATTTATTGGTTTGTTTTGAGGTTTGGGTCGGCGTAGATATCAAGGTAAAATCAATATCAATTGGATTCGTTTATATTTATATATTAGCAAAGTCGACATGCGATGGAATTCAACAAAGTTGGAGAACAAGTGGGTCACTACGGTGTGTTGCTTGGGCGACGATATCACGGCGTGACTCCTCACACGCGTTTTATAAACACTAAACACGCTTTACTTCTTTCTGCGTGTTTGAATGTTATTAGTGGGACGCATCGATAAGTTTTTTTTATTATTGACATTCGTAGTCAATCATTCATATTCCTCAAAATAAGATTAATGTGGCGCAGAAATTCCTGAGATTTTTTTTATAATGCTGAATAACGCATTCTAATCAGAAGATTAATGATCAGCCTGCAGGCATAGTAAATCGATGTTGATCTGTCTGTGTCGTGATTTTTGCAAGCATTTAATTGTTCTTAGTGACTGCATTGCTGGAACAATAAAGATAATGGAACAATTCTTCGTATCGAAGGACACGTCGGCGCTTAACGATCACTTCGCATTTCAGTATGCAACGCTTGCGATATTTATTATGCCGTAAATCTAAATTAAAACCAATGAGTGAACACATGAGTACAGCGAGAGTGGCTAGCATCGTGTATGTTTAAAATCACTGAAAGGATATTTATAAATATCCAAGCGATGGCAGGTACCTACGAGTACACTGAACATTTTTGTTGATTTGTGTGAAATTTAAACAATTGCGACAAATAATCACATTTATGATTGTAATTGAAATTCTAGTTATTGTATAATACACATCACGTACGAGTACTATCAGTCTTATTCAACATCATCGAACACATGTTGTAGGAAGTAATCATAGACTATTCTTCGTGTATTACCTAGAAGCGAAGACAATACCTGTTTTGCTGCGTGTTTCGTACACATGCTGTGTTCGCTGGCTTACGATTTTATTTACGACTTGTGCGAAAACAAGAGTGGTTTGTTGAACCTTGTTTAATCAAAGTAGTGTTTAATGCCGCCTTTGGTAATTAATTAATTTCGTGATTCCGGGCGCAAGTTTTAACTTCAATTAGCTCAAAGAGGAACACTTAAATAATTAATTGTGTGGCGTGTTATGGGCGTGTGCGCCGTAGCGGTTCCGAGCTTTGCTGTTGTCCTGATTATTTAATTATTTAATAACGTTAATAACTTTTGTATCGCGAGCGTAAATGTTTGCGGTTTGAGTAGAGAACTCGCGGTATGAGGGGATTATTATATTAGCACCACACCTCTGTTGGCTGAGTTCTTTTCTTGGGCCTATCCGCAATCCGCACCCAACCCAAAAACAGGGTTACCATAAGTCAAAGAAAACACTAATTGCAAAATCCTAGTTAACGTAATTATTTAATATATTTTGATAACCCTGTAAAATTTTTTGCTCTATAGGGTCAATGAAATGCTAACGCATCCATCGACCGTAGTTTCCGTCCAAATATGGTGTCAAAACAAGACACCACCTGTATCAATAATACCGCGCAAGAGTTAAATATAAAAAAAATTTGATTTATGTGTTATGCAAGCCATTTTAATGCGTTTCGCTATGTAAAAGTTCTCGCCTCTGGCTGATTACGAATTACGATTACGATTAATAATCGTAAAGTTTAAGAGTGTAAGAAACCGGCACCAGGACCGCGGTGCTGAGCAATTCGGATAATTGTAAATCAGATTTATTTTGTTACTTAACTTATATCATAACTTAAGTCCACTTTTCTTAACTTCATGTTATGCATTATAATATAGTCTTGTTGCCATATTCAGTATATGAATATTAAAATATTAGGTGTACACTAAAAAAGGAGAAATTCTATCTTGGGTTATAAGACGCTGTTTATCCGCACTCATTTATGTCTCGTATTATTTCGTAATACGTGTTTTATTTGACATTGAAATGTTTGTTTGGTAGACTAGTACTATGTAGTTTAGTTTAGTTTCACAATATCATGAACACACAATAATACTTGATAGATTCTCATAAAATTTTAATACCTACCTAATACCCAAAACTCGAGGTATTAATACAGTGTTAATTTGGTAACCTTGACGTATGTTTAACAATAATCCTCGGTCAAAAAACGAATAACACATGCGTGACACGTTCGTCAAATTTAAATCTTTTGTGTTAATCGGTGCTAATTTAAGTTCAATGCGAGACTTACACGACTTTTGTAATGTGCTGCGCGAATTGTTTCGTATTTTTGGGCATTTGATTCACAAAGATTCACAAAGTAAATGTAAACGACCTTGACATGGCTATTTATGTTTCCGGCATTGTTTCAATCCACATGTGAGACAGTTTTACTTGGTTTATTCCTGGGTAGGTTGATTCATCTCGTGGTGCTAAATATGTAAAACGTGAGTTTTTCGGTAGATGAACATTGCGAACAATGTTTACAGCCGATAATTATATCTGTTGCTCAATGAAAAATGTTGTTTATAATTTGGTAACTTATTGATTTGCTGCGCTGGTTGGTGGCGATAGAAAAATCTGGTCGAAACGTGTGTTGATGGCAAACGTCACACCAGAAAATGTACGCGATGCGATGAATTTATTTGCCTTTTGCCTAATTATAGTCCGGCTTACAGCCGCCGCTGCAAACCGTTTCGAAAAGCATCTGAGCGCGCGCGGTGAAGCGAACGAAGAAAAGCATTAGATCTGTGTTGCGGGCGCGTAAAAATAGTTTTACTGTACTCGTACTCCACTCGCGTGTTTTGCTGTATGTACGCACCGAGTTTGTTAAAGTGAAGTAAATTTAGCAACGCATCCCAGATGCCTCAAAATCCTATTGCAAATCGACGCAAAACAAACGGACGCATACTATGTAGTTAGACTAAACATCTTGAACTATTAATCGGTTGTTTGATTAGTGTCGTTAATTTCTGGTTACTCTTTTGGTTGCAGACTGTTTCCAACAATCGTCCACGAGCGTGGTCTTCGCACACGAATATTAGCCGCGATGACAAGCCACAATTGCGGTTTGCGCACAAGAAGAGTATGAATAGCGTGGAGGAATTATCGACGTACGATCTGCATTATTTCGGTGGCAAAACGGCGGCGACCACGTACGATTTTCCGGAGCACGCGCCCTCCAGCGCGAAGAAAGACCGAAAATGGTCGTTCGGCAATTTGTTCTTTCGAAGGAGCAAGAAAAAGGATGATTCCGATACTTCATCCGCCGAGGAAGAACTTAAAAAGAACTTTCTCAATCGCAAGAAACCCAAGGATAAGCGGAAAAAAGAGAAACGATCATTGGGGAACGCGTTTGATCATATAGTTCCTGCTTCCAATACGTCAACGTCTAGTAGACAATCGAATAAAAATGGCTTCCGCATGGGTGGGTCTTTTGAAGATGGCGTGTTGTCAGATCCAAGTGGGTGTTTTGATTCCTACTTGGGGAGACCACTTCCACGACCTCCACATAATAGAGAAATCAGTAGCAGCTTGGGTAATAGTAATAGTGTGGGTCACCTTGGAACTCCAACGTCAGTTCATGGCAATAATCATCAAATGAACACCAGTTTAGGTTCATCGGCGGACTCTTTGACGAAAAAACACCGAAAGGAACGCACAAAAGCCCGCGCGGTTGCAAGAAGGGACTCTTTTAATCGTCACAGCAGTTCTGATGAGGAAGACTCTCGATCAGCGTCTTCGTCGAAGTTTCGAAGTGATGAAAGTTTGTCAAAGCGAGATCATTCCGCTAGCAGGCGGTCGCGTTTGGCACGCACCGAACGCTACGCTCGGAGATTGTCCAAGGACGATGAATCCATCCTTAATCGGGAAGCGATGCAGCGGCAAGCTAGGGAGAATTGGCAAATCCGTGTTCGCGACGACTACTCACCACACCTCCTGCTGCCGACCACACCTCCTCAAATACGCAAATTTTATACGCCTCCTAATCATCCAAGTCCGAACAACTACAATTACAACCACCATTTTAATGGTTATTATAACTACAGTCCGACCACCTACGAAGAAGAGCTACATGCGCTGAGTAGTCAAAACCGCAACTCTGGTCTCTTTACCATCCCGCCTAGTCATCATAGTCATAGCAATAAATTTCGAAACTCAAGCTCGCAACATGCGCAACTGCCGTACAACGAAGCGAATAGCATCATGGACATGAACGGGAGTAGATTATCCATGTTGAATTCATCAGGGAGCATTAATCATCAGTATCATCAAGGATATCAACCCAATAATCAAAATTCGAAATGTTTTAACATACGTAGTTTATCATGTGACTCGAATATACATAAAAGTCCTTCACCTGAAGATGATCTTCGCCAAACAACGAGAACTAATCAGAATTCAAGATATCGTAATCTAAGTCTAGTGGAACAACCTAGATTGAAGCAACCGCCACCTCCACCGCCAAGAGATCCACGACGAATGGTAAACCCACAAAACCCTCCACCAGATATGACAAGACCATCGAGTCAATGGTATCCGAATTTAAACAATCGACGATCACAATTTGGAGGTTACCGTACCAATTCGGAGGATGTCATCCCCACTTTTGACCGCAATGACAAAGATCGTATAGTTAATATGGTCGAGAGACCAGCTTCTGCTATGACACACGATATGGGTAAGAAGCATCCAGGAGTAGCCCAAGACCCGGATAAGTTTAAATATCTCACTGAGAAACGTCCACGAAGTCGTAAACCTATCTTTATCCAGTCTACGGATAGAATTAACTCCACTAAGTACAACGGGTCATCGTCGCCGAATCAAAACAATTGGAAACCAGCTGGTCAAGCGGGGGCGCTTCCTGGTAATAATGACAGACAGAGTCCTCAAATATTTACTGCGCAAACTCATGTGCAGACGAAGATTTTCTTACCGAGTACTGTAAGCGATAATAAGAATATTAAAGAAGGTGTGGACACTGTTGACTTTTGTAAGACGCAAGTTGCGAGACAGAATAGTCCATTCAAACCAATTTCTCCTACTGAGATGGAAAAAGTTGCCAGTCAAAAGTCAGGTTCTCCCAAATTTGCACAGTCACCGATTTATAAACACTCTGCATCCTCGGAGCCTGTTTCAAATCAAGATGAACCTTGCGAAGAAATAAAACGAAAATCTGCTAATCTTGAAGAAGCTCTTGATGAATTGGAAGCAATCTATAAAAGTCTTCACCTAGGTGATGAGGACCTCCTGGAGCGTGCTGAACAACGTGAGATGGATATTCACGCGCAGAAATTGCTCGCAAAGAAGAATGAAACTATTTCTGGACAGTCTCCTATGATGAACAGTGGGCATTTCAGTGATTCTTCATTCAGTTATGAGCCATACTGTTCGGTAGATACACCACACAAGAAAAAGTCGCGCACTTTAGAACGAGATCGCCGTAATGATGACATGGCACTGCGTAAAATGAAGGATGGTTCTGATCCTACGAAAACCCCATTTAAATCACTAGCAAATGTGAGTTATCTGCTTGCATCACCGGTTCATTTTGAACCTTCATCAATTGAAGATGATATTGATATTGAGGATAAATCAGACAAGTCCGAACCTGATATTACCTACGATGATGTTGTTTATAGGATTGTCAAACATGCGAATAATACTTTAAAGGTAGCAGATCCACAGCCACCATTTGGTATTCCCATTGGTCCTGTTACCTTAGCGGCTAATAGTGATTATTTGCACGCTGTGCCAGAGAAGATTTCTTATATACCGTACAACAAGAACAAAATTCCTGATATTGTCAAAGATGATCTGGCTTATCGTAATCTCAGAAAGGACGCGAACAAAGAACCTGCTCTAAAACCTGTGAGTCCAGTAAACTTTGACATCAATGGCTTTAGTAAAGACTCTAAAAAGAAACGAGCTGTTCGATCACTGTCAGCAAATATTTCTAATTTGATTAATCAGGACTCTAGGAAGAATAGGGATGGGGATTGTGAAAACGAATTTAAGAAAACCAGGTTGACTGATATTGCAGATGCCATGGAAATTGCTCGTCAAATATTGAAAGAAAAAGAGAATAGGATTCAAGCTACAAAGAGGGCTTTTCTTAGTGATAGTGAAACTAAGTATAGAGCCGAGAGACCCTCGGGAATCTCCGCGAGCAGTACCGAAACTATCACGGAGAGTAGATTGAATTTCCTTAATGAGATGAGATCATTACATAATAAATCCAGAGGTCATTCGGAGGAAGATGAAGAAAGGTCGAAAAATCATGAAAGGGAAGCATTGCCAAAGGCTAAGTTCTTAGGCGATGATTTTGTACTGAGCAAACCACCGCGCGGTGCAACCCCGGATCGTAGATTCAATAAGGAATCAACCCCTACGCCTACTCCTAATATTTCCACTTCACCGGAAACCACACCCCGGAAGGATTCATTAAACTCGTCGTTTGAGGAGTTGTTAACCGCGCTGGCAGTTGAAGCAAGGGAAACTTCTGATCGCATCACTAATGAACTTAATACCTTGGATGATAATCTCAAAAGGAAGGAGTCTAAAGAAGCGGAACTCAATGAATCAACCAAACAAAAGTGTGATGAAATCGATGCTGTCTCCGAACATGCTAAATTATGTGAAAAATTACTGGAATGTGTAGTGGAAAGCACAGAACTTATTGCTTCCACTAAAGTTGAAGCTCCTCCGGAGGAAGAGGAAGTGGTTCAGATTGATGAGCATCTGCCTTGTATTCCACAGTCAAAGGCAAACATCGTAACTACAAGAATTGACGTGGTTGATGTTGACGTCAACCCTGTGGATGTGGTTGAAGTTCATAGTTCATCCGAGCATGATTATGATAATCTAATATCTGATTACGAAGACGCCTCCAAGATGTCCAGGTCTCCATTTGAGGAGCACAAGGCTGAGTTGATCGCCTCGTTCCGTGGGATGAAGTCCGATCTAAGTGATACCGATGACCAGGCAGAGGTGGTTCAGGCCAAGCCGAAGGAAGGTGAGCGGTGTGTTCGCCCGGCTGATAACCCAAGTGCTTTGCCTGATCCCTTTGACGATGTTAACAATACCACCAACAAAAACACCGCATTTGTATCCGAAGTTAATTTAGACGAGCTGCTTAACGCACAAAATCAGTCCGAGCATGTGACGCATGCGCACGCGATGCAAACGTCGTTCGTAACCAACTGTGATATTTTTATTGATGATTACCCGCTAGACGGTGACGAGGAGCGCACTCCCGACGACGATTGTGACTCGCAGCCGAGTTCGGGTTTTCACAGCAACGGTGACGCGGATAGTCGTTATTTTTCAAATTCGAATCTCGCGAATTTCGCTGTTGATCAGATCCCAGAAACCCTTTTGGAAACTTTGGAGTCGCCTAGGCTTGTTACGTCTGTTATGAAGGCGTGTTCAACTCATGATTTGCCTTCTACGTCGAAATCGGAGGAATTATTGCAATCGATTACAAAGGAATCGCCAAGTTGGCTGCAAGTCAAAATTTTAGTGATCATTGTAAACTTGCGGCGGAATCGACAAAGTCTACGGCGGAAACGTCGCGTGATAAAAATTGCTCGCCGAGTAACGATGCGAATCGATCCGTTTCGTGCTCATCTGGCCAAAGTCGTAATAATAACTCGGGAAATGCGAATCGTTCGCGACCGCCGGCGGAAAAGTCGAAATCACGAACCTGGTACGGTGACCCGATGGTTTTGGCGTTTGCATGCTCGTACGGCGTTGCATGCTCTTATCAGTTGGCTACGCTTGATGTCGTCACCATTTTGGGCATCGTTTTTCTGATTATTTCGATCGCGGTCGCGCTCATTTTAGAATAATAAAAATGCACTCAATCGCAAAGCTCAAATCATATCTATAGTCACATTTTCGATGACACTCTGTACATAATATACCTTTAATTACAGTAATTATGTTATTTAGCAGTAATTCTTAATTTGAATTATTATATGCCAAAAATTGTTTCGTTTTTCAGTTATAATCTAATATTTTTCATTGTAACAAGTACTTTAGGTTTTTAATTTACTGTTTATGTCTTGAATTAACTATATTTTGCACGTTAGTGTATTTTTTGTGTTGTAGCATTAATATAGTAATAAGCCAGATGAATAGATGTGAACAAACGAACAAAAACTGCACCAAAAAAGACTTAGCCGCTTGCAACATTCGCTGAGCACCCATGCATCCACATGCACATTTGATGTAAACGTACTCTTCTGTTACCAGTCTGATCTTAACAAAAAGTGTCCTTTAGTTTCATATTATTACCTTTTTTCAATCACGTGTTTTCTGTGTTTGGTTGTAGGTGTTGTATGATTACAAAAATGCAACGTCTTCTACCTTCCACCTTCTACTTCTACCTTCAAGTGTGTAACTCCTGTGACGAATGGAACAATGAAACAAAAAATAAATTTATATTTTCATTGATCAAAGATTGTATAAACGTTTAAATGTAATAAGAGATTTTGAATTTGTAGGTCGCATCGTATTGAACCAAATACTCACGGGTGCTATGTTAGTTGCCTACGTTCAACTACTACTAAAATTATTTTCAACTGTTTCTCGTAACAAAAACAGTTCGGAATATAATTTCGTACCATAGCACGTATAAAATGTTTATAAATGTTGTTAGAAGTCGATATTAATTATACTACTATTATACTACTTACTACTACTTATATATTTAAAGTTGTAAAGAAAAAACAAGGTTAAAGACAAGAAAACCTACAAGTTCTTTAAATGTAGTGTCATATTAATAGTGTGTGATTGTTAAATAAACATAAACAATGTATTTTTTAATTATTTATGTTTTTTCACTTCTTTTTTGATTGCTTGTGATTAAATATTTGTTTGTACCCTCCGGAACAATCCCATTTCAATTTGTTTCATTTATTCATCAGGTCTTTAATTCAGTTTGAATTTGTGTGATGTAGATTTGTTAATTATAATTAATCAAATATAACTAAGCGAATAATTAATGACTGCTTTAATTTATAAATTGTTTGGAATGAAAATCTCTGGAAAATGAGTTTATTTAAGGCTGAACCTTGAATGCAGCAAGTTTTTTAACGCTTTTTATTCGTTGGAATACGTAAACCGAACTCTCATCAACGGCCGTGAGTAATATTGAGTTACTGAAATTACACGATGCGAGATCGAACACTTGACCTTGCTTCCGAGAAATTGGGAGGATAGAGTGCATAAAAATTAATGAGAGTAATCGATACTTGCCGGGAAATCCCTAAATAAACATTCGAGACTCTACCGACCTTTAATTATTTTCTTTTCCTGCTGTTTTCGTAGAAATTTCATGATTCCTAAGTGCTCTGCTAAGTGCATCATCATAGGCAACCAGTATTACACGCAACTTTTAATTTTTAAGCAAGAAGTTAATGTAGCGAATAGTTTGACGTAATATAAGTTAATTATTTTACTGCAATGAATTGCATTAACACAACCAACTAATGTGTGTGCCTATAATTAATTCTGATTTCTTCACCGAGTCAACGCGAACCACGAACATTGCCAAAGCGCACGTTATCGTCCGCTGCGGCTTTCGAATGCAAATTTCATGTTTCATTAAGTTCAGTTAAATTCTATTAGTCCCCTGATCAAGATTGTGCGCTGTGACGTTGCACTACATGGTACGGACGCATTGAAACATAAAATTTCGTGCCGTTTCGAAAAATGTTGAGCATAATTAGTGTGTCACATGAAATAAACATACTATTTCCGAGAAGCAGACATGCACAATGTGTGGAATCGGAGTATTTTCTGGGCGTTCAATCGCGATTTGAATAGATTCAGGCGTTTTTTACTATTTGCGCATGCGTGGCACGCGTGTCGCAATAAATAACCGCGCAATTCGCAGTTCAAAGACAGGCGAATATTGCGCATAGATTAAACATTATAGGCATTGCAGCGATGGGCCGCGACATACCTAGGAATAAAATAACTCGCGGAGGCTCGGCCGACCGTTACGTTCGCTTATTACCAGCTGTTTTGCACATTTCACCTCTGGGCGAATGTTGCGAAGGCGAGCCAAGTGGAAAAACATCAGATGGGATGTTTGAGGGTATATAAAATTTAATTTTGTATTTGTTTATCGTTAAAATCAATTTTGGAATTTAAATAAGTGGCAACAATATACATTTTACCATGTTTGGAGATGGGAATATCTATTTGAATGTCACTAGCGTAACAATTTTGTTTTGTAAATAGACATGCAGTAACGATGCCAAAATTAGGTACGTTTTGCGCGTTCGTGCGCATTTTAATCACATTCGCAACACAAAACAGAAGCAGTTGTTTTCTATCGCCAAAGAAATTCGGTTCAAATTCAGGAAATCTAAAAATTTCAATACATCGCAAATAATTTGCATATTTCGTGTGTACCTGGTAACCAGGTAGTCTGCACTACGGTATTACATCGATAATAAAAGGAAGAAAGACGAAAAGAAGTACAAATAAAGTGCGATACAAGTTTACGAGTTCTTTGAAATACAACTTTTTACAACTACACGCGTCAAGCAGACTAGAAGCTGAGCATGTTGACAATCAATACAGGTAAAATTACCAAGCTGGCAGGCAGATGATGGAACACCGGTTGATTGCATCCTGACCGCTGCGGCTGACTCAACCGCTCATCTAGTCGTAGTGGTCAGATCGGTGATCCGCAATCCGGCCCGAAGAGAGTGACCAGAGTGTGACTCAGCTGGCAAGGTTACGTGCGGGTGTCCACAGCGCGCGCTGCTTCACGTTGCTCTCGCAGTGGTCGCACTAGTGGTCCGCTATCCACAGGTTGTCTTTCGCTGTTCGCGCTATCGCGTTCATGCGCTCGGGCCACGCAGTTCGTCGCTGCCGCATTTGCTTCATTCATTCGCAACGCAGTCGTTGAGCTACCGCGTTATCGTGCGCGTCGTGTTTCGGTTTGATTTGATTTTTGAAGGTGTGCAAATCTCAAAAATTGTCGTTTTACTTACAATTGTGAAGATCTAAAGTTGACAAAATAATGATAACTTCATACGAATCGTAAGTTTTTGTTTAATATTATTCGATTTTTGTATGAGAAAACGGCTATGGATTATTTTGGTATTTGGTATATTCACGTGTGGAATATTCAATTATAGATGAATCATAAATATTTGTGCAGGCTTTGTATATTTATATCCCATTTGTGAAATGTACGCATTGAAATGCCTGCGATAATCAACGGTTTACTCATTGTATTATTTCGGATTAAAAGCATGAAAACGAACGACGCGTCATTTTTCTGTGTGTTATCTCGAAATCGTATCCGTGCCATCCTCGCCTAGATAATATGCGAATGAAATTTATGATCGAGTCACAATGTGTCGTAGATTATGCGGACTTTGCTTTGAATGCAGACTATTGTTGTTATATGCGTAACGCGTTTTGTTTTCACGCTTTTTGAAATGTTTTCCAAACTTTGTTTATGTGAGAGAAGTTTGTGTTGCTCCTATTGACAACACGTGTCAACTGTTACTGCAACTGTTAATTTTGCAGTTTAAATGAGTATTGTTATTATCAAATTTTCACAAGTAGATCATTAATAATTAATACATTTTTGATACTTGAGTTTTTGTTTTTGAAATTTTGTACTTGAACTTTCAATTAGTAAAATTTGTAAACTTTTTCTCTCATAGTATAAATTTCCGGATTAATCGGTTGCTTAAATAATTAATTTTATTGAGTTCTTGTTATCGCGGAACGTATTGTCACCACGATTGTTTAAAGGATTACATCGAAATTATTATGAAAATTTTTTCTCCGTCCGATTCTTGCTTAAATTTTTAATTTTGTCGTATTTTAGCTCCTAACTTTGGGCAAATGTCTTACACAATAATTTTGTATTGTTGTATACAGAGTGGTTACATAAATTAATCAATTTTCAATTAACTTCTAACTATCCAACGATTCTTGCGTCGCGATACAACTATTTACCCATCATTTTCAAGCAAAACAAGCGTGTTTATCAGTAATTTACACTGTTTATGTAAGCTCAATGTAATTCATCTAATTGAAAAAATCATTAGGATATTGTGTTTGTATGATACTGTCGGTCCAAATCAAAGTTACAACTATGGCTTTTATAATATCTACCAATTCTTGCCCTTAATGTAAAAACATTATCATTCTTCAAACAAATTTCCACAACCTTCAAATTAAATGATTACAAAATAGAGAACGCTATGTTATTATTATTAAATGGAAAATGTTGGTTGAACTATATTTAAAACCATTGTTTACCATTTTAAATACGTGTTTATTAAAGAACGATTATATCGAGATCGACGTAAACAACTCTGAAACAAAGGAAATGAAACAGAAACGCATCCGTCGTCGATAAGAATGCGATTACGGTTGGTAACCCGCGGTGCAAGTTTTTCATATAAAATTTAACTGCTTATTCGATGTATCTCAAAATGTAAATATTTTTTATTTGACATTCAATTATGACTCACTCTATCGATGAATAACGATAAATGTCGAGTTCATCAATCGATAGCAAACAATGTATCGTCTATGAATTTGCACTGTTTAATACCTATGATTTTATTGTGCGATTATTATTCATGCAAATGTACAAATTGCAAAATAGTTGTGTATGTCGCAACGATGCAGAAACGCAGCGAAGACTATAATTACATGCATAGTCTTAGCTCATCGAGCAAGACTCAACTACACCGAGAGATTTGTATTTGAAGTGTGCGGCACTTGGCAATCTAGGCATTCGTGATTTCATGGCTATTGCACGCTGCAAGAGCTATGCTCATAATCGCGCTTGAAGTATTTAACGATTTGCGCTTATTTCATAGTCAAACAGTAAATATGTGCACTCGGCACACGGCTTGCATCAAACGGGAAGTCGCTAGCGTGCTGGGACCTAGACCTGAGAGCGTTGATTAAAATTCGTTCAAACAAGAAAACGTCCACTTCAACTTTTATTCAGCTTCAAATTCAGAAATTCCGATTTATCCATGCGCAATGCCTTGTGGAGAGTTGTACAAATAAAAAGCCTCGTCTCAAGAGGTCTTATAACTCGTAATTACTGAAGTTAACTTGCAACACAAAAAGAAAAAGTATATTAATAATGTGTTGTAAATTTGTAGGTGCGCGTAGAAGACGCCGTTATAGAAAACGCACACGACGAGTCCCAACCCCCGTGACGGATCCATGCGAACTAGGTTGGACAGTCGGCGGCGAAGTGATGGACAAGACGACGGGCAGTAGGCTGGAGGGCACTAGTGAGGATCGCATTGCGAGATACAAAGAAGAACGGCGGCGGCAGTTGCGAGAGCAGTTTAAGGAAGGTTCTAGCTCCAGCGGGACAGAAAATGGCGCCGCGCCGAGGACTACAAGGGCGTACCGACTACGAGTCGCTGCCGCCGCCACTGCAGCCGCAGAGAGTGCTAGTCAATGTTCACCAAGTCCAGCAAAAGAGGTAAGATAGTACAATCTATTATTTTGTTTCGTTTCTGTTGTTTTATTGCTTTTTTTATTGACAACTATGTTACCCGTTCCGTGCATTATTAGTTGCCTACAGCAATGTCCTGAAAATCTCGAGAATAAAACCTTGACACTCTGTATATGAGTGCAACGTAGAGTACGATAATAAATAGGTAAAGTCGCGGCAATGTTTTTGTCGTTGAATTTTGGAGCTCACCCCGTTTTATCTTATAGGGTAAAAGAGGGTAATGGGGGTCACTTAAGGGAGAACTCAAATATAATTTAAATTATAAACAAAATACTTATTGCAATCGCTTATAAGCATTGTTTACTTAAATACCTATTATTTGAAATAATTTTCAGTCACTTTGACAATCATTTTTGGATATTATTAAAGTTTAAAAAAAAAACAGATTTGACTCCCATTACACCGACATGCGGGTAATGGTGGTCACCCTGGAGACAATCGGAATCAAACGAAATTTAGCAGATATCGCAGACATAATATTTCGTAAAGTCCCACCCAGTGCATTTCACATGAACCCATAGCCCACATGAAGTGCATCTGAACCACATTTAATTGTTTTTTTTTTAATCGTTGCACATTAGACATCAGTTTTCCAAACCTTCATCCTCATCGCCCTGACATAAGTCATCAGTGCCAATATTGGAATCATAAGTTTTGTTACTTTCCTGCAGTATCGTTTCTGCAAGAAGGCTATTGAAAAATAAGTCACATTGCTTCTTATAGGCAATTTAGAGCGGACTAAAGACAAAAACGTCCATTGGGAGTCGCATGACTCCCATTGCCCACAATTGCACTATTGTGAAAAAAAAAACAAAAAAAATATTTCTTCAAAACATTAATGTAATCTGAACTGCACATCACGATTTTGAATGTTTAACTAAGACTATATAAAAGTTTCATTCGAATATTGCAAGATATTCGACACTTATCTTCTAATTTGTGTGGACGTAAAATTAGATCAGCGGAGCTCAAAAATAAAATATTGGCGTATCTCAATGATACACGCACCGATTTGTATGATTTGTCGGGGGTGGCACTGGGGGACCAGAACGGAGGTAGGGACGCCATTTACGTGTTACTCGTAACTATTGTTTCGTGGATATATGGGTGACTCCCATTACCCGCTGACTCCCATTACCCTACTCTCCCCTACACAGAGAATATAAATTGCCATGTCAATACAAATTGAATAAAAAAGTTTGTGAGTAGCAAAGATGAAGGACCGATAAATATTTTATAAGTACATTGAATTGGATTTCGCCAAAGTGGTCCAGTGAGATGTTAAATGCGCCGATGTTCTTGCGCTCGGTCTGTCGGTTTTTGCCGAATTTAAGGGAATGGGGGTGGCGTGGCTAGACGGTAGACGTGTTTTTGTTCACTATTTTATTCGCTAATAACCGCGCGACAATACGAAATCTCAGAACTGAATCTGAAAACAAATAAGTGTTTTTGACTTTGATATTAATTCGGTATTATTATCGCTCTACTTTCGTTTCCAACAAGGAAACAACAAAGCGTGCAGCGCTGCTGATTGGGATCGCGCGCGCGATGTCGAGTGAATCATTGGCATGCGCCGCGCGTGTGTTTGCGAATGCGAATAAGGAAAACGTCACCTTGATGCGATGCACCTTTGTGATACCGACCGCCATATGCGGGCGTGTACGAAATTGAAATGATAGATGTGCTCGTGTACGTTGTGCTCTCGACACGCCATTACTACCGAGCGCAGCGAGAAAGGCGAAAGCGTGGTGACAATCATTAAGCAACGAATCGTCGTGATGGCCGGTGTCGATTAACGCGCAGCAGTGCAATCTTAACATGTTTAAAATTAAGTATCGTGAATTTTTGTAGTCAATCGAGTGTTTTGTACGTTAAATCAAAAGATAGAGGAAGATAAATATGATTTATGACTCTGTGTACGCGTGCATTGTGATATGTCTGTGTGTGATTTATTTTTTATTGATTTTTTACGTTGCACTTAATATAATTCAGAAGGTACTTTATTGACATTTTATTTGAAAGCAGGAATATATTATAATGAATTGATTGTTTTGTTTTAGGGGCTGAATCCGTCCCTATCGACTGATTCCCTTCGAAGCACAAAAAGTGAAAAGGACAAAAGCGCCAAACGCAAGTCCAACTTGAACCGTGCGTTGACATGCGAACAGGTGCCGCCTCCGCATGATACCGGTAAGTTCATTAATTTCTCGCTGAATTAACTTTGATGCGCTGCGAAAGGGATGCATCATGTTTGGGGATTTCTTTGTGTCTCATTGTGAGTCATCGTCATCCCGCTCAATCATCCGTGTGGCATAAACATCGCGCACCTGCTTCTCCATCTCTCGTCCTCGTCGGCGGCGATGGCGGCGGCCGTCATGGCAACGAGACCGCTACCCTCTTGTCGAGCAGCGACCACTTGTTGCTGCGGCGTCTGCGAGGTGTAACAAACGCATAAATTTGATGGTTTCAGTCGCGCGTCTAGGAAGCCCCACGCCCGCCCCCCTTGTTGTACAAGTTTTGTTGTTTTGTAGATGAGTTAAATGGGCGCGCACGGCGACGGCGGCGCAGCGCGCGCCCCATCAATGCCGTCAGTCCGACGACAACTTCTAGTCCGGCCACCTCGTGCACAACGGCTGCAGAGGACCGTCTTAGCGAAGCTAGTCTCAACCCCACTGCCACCACCGCCAGCACCCTCTCACCGATGTCTTCTTCGCCAATCAGCAGCACTGCCAGCAGCGCCGCCAAGCCGCGCAAGTCCGAGCTGAGCGTTCACATGGAGAACGCGCGTCGCGGTGTCACACCATCATCCTCGCACAAACTGCAGCACCCTACCCGCCCCGTCACTTCTAGCCCCATGGAGAGGGTGGACAAAGGACGCGCTAACAAGGAGAATTTAACGCACGCAAAGCCGCGACCCACCGCCGCCAAGACTGACGACAACACGACGTTCACACGACTACGAGATAAAAAAGTGCCTAACAGTAGCGACAAAGTAGTGACGAAAGAAAGTAGTCCTAGTGTAAGTACAGCAAAGGCGAATAGTAGGCTGTCGCGTCGACTCGACGAGCTGACCGCCCTAACGAGGGAGACGCTCGCACGCGTGACTAACCAATCGAATCAACAGACTGCCAACAAGACACGCCCTATTTCGAACACGCCTTCCGCGACAGAGGCGGAGCCATCGCGGAAGCCACAACCTTCCACAAGCGAAGAATCCCGCCCCAATCGAACAAAAACATCCGACTCTCTACAATCAGTGCCGGTGTCAATTTTAAAACGGAAAGTCTCCCAAGAAGAGAAACCGGAAGCCAAATGGCTTGTGGCCACGCCTCCGGTGACATTCTCGCCAAACGTGGTGGAGCCAGCAGCGACCAATCGTAAGGCGGGAATTTTGAAAAAGCGACGAAGTCTGGATGAATCGCAGGTGCTTCGGCATCGCTCCTGCAGCCCAGATACGAACAAATCACACTCGCCAGGTAATAGTATTCTAAAACCACAGAGACGTTCCTCCTTGGAGGAGATCACAATTCGGAATGACCCAACCATTCAAGGTATACTCAAGCGCAAGACGCCTAGAGATGAAGATTTAGACAATTCGCTAAATTCTCCACAAGGAACACATGGAATGCAGGGAATTCTCAAACGTCGATCAGGTGCAAGCAGCGCTGGATCAGGCGTGCAGGACACGCACAAACATCACGTCTCCATCACAACCGCTGTGATATTAGCTGCGGCAGAAGGTGCCGAAATGATTTTAGAGCCTGAACCGGAAGTCCGGCCAATATTGAAAAAGAAAAGCTTTTCGGATGAAGGCGACGATCTCAAACCAATACTTAAGAAGAAGTCTAGTACTGAGACTGACGAAGCGGATGATAAACCTAAAAGACCTATTTTGAAGCACAGGAAGCAGGTTAGTAAGGTATCTAAGGATGATTATTGCAGTGCTAATGAGTCTGGGTCTGAATGTGATGTAAAATCGATTTTGAAATATTTTGGAATCACTGGTAACGAAGCACCAAACAATTTTTCTTCAACTGCTAGGCCCAGGTTGTCTTTCTGTGAAGATAGAGTTGAAACTGAGGAGGAGGTAAACAAGAGAAGAGTTCGACGACTGCAACATGATCAGATATTCAACAGCACTGCTAAAAGTCAACAGATTGAGAAAGTAGTCGATAAGGATCGCGACTTGACTAAACCACGCAACGTTTCCGTCTTTGACTTGGTTAGGTCCTTTGAGAACTCTACAGGAGCTATACCTAAGAAGAAATCACCAACTAAACGACATTCGGATAGATATAGGACGCAACCTGTAACATTCAACGAATTTGAAGCGAGGTAAGTGGTACTTAAAAATAAGGAAAACAATTAATTGTTGTGTTAGAAATTTATTGAGTGCGCAAGCGTGATATTATTTGAACACGAATGAGTTTTTCACGCGTTTTTCGTGCCAAATTTCCCAATACTTATAAATAGTTTCATCGCGACGCGCCCGAAAATCTCTCAGCATCGGCACACATTTTCAGCCTCAACTACGTTGGGTTAGCATCGTCGAGCAACTCAGCGAACGCACATTCTCTGCTGGATTTGTCTACGTCCATCTCGTTAGAGCATGACATGGCAAGTTCCACCAAGAATGCCAGTGACCATATGAACGCTAGTGACGATCCTGCCGGAGGGAAGATGTCTTCCGACTCTGCTTTTCAGTCCCTCGGAGATGGCCTAGAGTTGGAGGAAACCAACGAGCCTTCTGCTGGTGTACACAAATCTCCTTCGAAGAAGCTTGAACCGTCCAATCTTGCGATGCAGATGAAAGCAATCGCAATGGAGGCAAAAAATCTTAAACTCGCAAATCGTACGTATTTTGAAATTTTGCGCGTGTGTCAATGTCGATAAACTCTGTATTTATTTTTGGTGATTGCTTCAACAGTTAAAAGCGGATCCAACAAGTTTCGCTCCAACGCTGCAGCCAGTCCACGATTTTCCACACAGCCAGTGACATCCGCGGAAGTGGATCAAGCTGCTAACGCAAGCTTTGCAAAAACTGACACAGGTTTGAACTGTTCTAATCAAATAGTTTTTGATTTGTACAAATTGTTGATAGTATAGTTGGCATGTTGTTTTTAGTAGGTTGCGATGTAGATGAGTCAGAATTGTCGCTCACTGAGCGTGTTAAACTTTTCAATGAAAAAATACATCAGGCGCGCTTTCCCGCTCGGAAAAGCGACTCTTTCCTAATGGTACCAGCGCGTGTTCGTTATCATTCGCTCACCATCGCCCCAGCCAAGGTGGCGACCGCTTCAAACATTCATACCATTGTCGAATCATTCAACTCGTTGTTTGGCTTAGGTGAACGCTTTCGCTTTCACTTCCTCTGATCTAACCTTCTAACACTTACTGCTATGCAATACACTAACTTAAAACTGATATTAGCAATGGAGGTAAACATTCTGAGTCAATTGTTCATGTTTCAGATGTTTCTGCAATTTCACCAGTTGCGTCCAGACGCAGCGATATCAAGATAACAACGCACACATCACCACCTCTAAGTCCCACTTCGCTCAAAACTTCAAGTCGCACGGAAACCCTTGATGAAGGCATTTCCTCCAACGAATCGGACAGCGACAATGCGTCCAATGAGCAAGAACCTGATCCAAATGAAGAAGAGCAAAATAATCCGAAATCTCTTTCTCCGAGTCTCCTCCATTTACAAGAGTTGAGTCCGACACCAAGTGCAAAGCTTGATTTGAATAGTGATAACACGTCGGACGAGTCTTCCGGTGGTCGCGAGATACAAAGCATTATCGGAAGCGAAGCGATGGCCAAACAAAACTGCTAAGGAAAACACAAAGGTATGTAATGCTTTTTTAATCTATAAAACTCTACGCCGAACAAGTAATTTCATGGTCTTGCGATTGAGAAAAAACCGGGAGTGTGTTTCATGTCGGAACGGAATCGTTTGCATTAGTCACTCGGCCGGCCTTGCGTTGCGTTTTCAAGTTTGTGCGCGAAGTGGCGAAACGCGTAACAAAAAGAAAACGAAAAGTAGAACATTGAGAGCAAGGCTCGCAAGGCCCCTGAAATGAATATTAGTTTAATCTCTTTGGAGCGTGCGTTTGTGGTCAAAAACATACACCGCCTAAGTTTACAGTTTGTCGCTATTTACTCAACCGCAAGAATTTACTACAATTTCTTTTGCGTGTGATTGAAATAACTGCAACTTTTGTTATGGTCTTATTTAAAAGTGACTTATATGATTGATTTAGGTCGCTAACTATAATAATGTAATTCTTCGTGATTGCATTGGTTTTGCATAGTTTTTTACATAATTTTGTGTTACGCCAAGAATTCCGAGCAAGATGTGTCAAGATTTTGAAGTGGTAACATAAAATTACCGAATACACTTTTACTACACAAATTCGCGCGCATTAAAAATTTAACAACATAATCGCAATTTAAAACCATTATGTCAAGTCTTTTGTATAATTCGGTCGTGATCGTATCAAATAACTATATAAATTTGATTTTACTTAGGTATTTCGACAGAAATGTTAACTTCGTGCTCACAACACTAATCGTAATGTGAGTATTATCGTAGTATCCTAGAGCTAGACACACTCTCATTAGTGAGATACGAGTCGTTATACTCGTAGTGTTGTAGTGTTTGCTTGATGTTGAGAAAGAAGATGAAAGGCATGAGCAAAGATGCGCACATTGCGCACAGTATTGCGATAGAGCACTATGATTGCCATCTCGCAACTCCCGACGAACGACGATCGACAATCGAGCGTATTGTTCGACGTAATAAAATATTTATGCGCTGTGCACGAATCACGATGCAAATGTGAAGACATCGAGAGTAAAACAGTAATGGCATGTGCATCTTCAATAGTGTAGTACAAGGAAGAAAAGGAGCGGCGGCATTAAAACGCACAGACGTTAAAAAATCTGAGATAAAAGCAAAGAACAACGTAATGACTAAACGCTTTTATATTTATCAATATCTTTAAAGTCATAAAGTTCACTATCGCTGATGAAAAGAAACGTAAGCCCGCAACCAGCGCAGAGATAACAGATGTGAACATGAAGCGGTATTTAATTTATACAGTGAGTTAAAAATGTGTTTGTGAATGTTCTCACTCACATAAACACACCATTGAAATTATATTTGAGCATACATTTTATTTGTTTTTTATTTTGCAAATCGTATCTTTCCAACGAGTGAGTTACTGTTTAAATATCGAATATTCGTTTGCATTTCATCCTTCGTTAAATGTTTTACTTACAATTTGGCTTATTTGAACGCACTGTATTAATTTTTGTATAAATTGTGTTCTCTGCACAATCATTCATTACGACGATAGGTGCGCTGTGTACTCATGTGGACTAACCTTGCGAAACGGCGGCTGCCTTCGATTCGCAATAAACAAAATAAAGCAAGCCATCGAGATTGAAATTGCTGTAGGCCTGTAGAGCGCTCGTAAGCCCGATAGAAACAGAAGGATGCAACGAGGCGCTTACACACTCGATGGCTCGATAGTTCGTAACTTAAGACTGCATAAGGTGCTGCACCAGAACTAACTTAAGTCGCTAACGACGCCACGCACCGGCGATTTCATGTCGCGATGTCGCGCATCGTTTTTCATTTAACAACATTCAGTACATACAATGTGGCCCTTAAAACGCATTCAGGTTTAATCATTGTTTTTATAACGTTATCTTAATTACTTTAAAAAAATCAATTCATTTCAGTTTGACATTAAAAACTGTTAGCTTCCATTTTTATTGATTTTTACAAATGTACACTTTTTTGAAAATGTAAAATTCAGGTTTGGAAGTCTTGATTATACCTTGCACTGTTTGCTACTTGCTATAGAAAATAGAGGAACATCCATAAACCTGAATACACGTTGCACTGCACTGCACGTTGTGAATACCTACACATGTAGAAAACAAGTACAAGGTGTATTATTGTGTGTATGTGTCCTGTTGTTGGATGGAGTGAGTTTGGTTTGGTAGTGCTTCGCGTTCGATGTTCGGTCTGGTTTCTCGTGTGCGCTCTGCGGACAGTCGTCGCACGCGCGCCCTCCGAGTTGGTCGCTTCGCGCGTCCGCATCGTTCGCATCGTGTGATCGCCGTCGCGACGCAGCTGCGCTTCCCGTTTTCCACTTTTCACTTTTCAACTGTATTATTTTTATTATTGTTGTTAAACGGTTGTGTGCAAACGGCAGTCGCGTTTAGCTGGAGGACGCGCGCGCGTGTTATCGACGCTAATTGGAGTTTTACTTGATCCCAACTTCAAATTGGTAAACAATTAACGACGATTGCGGTAAATACACACTTGTATATTTTTATTTTCAAAACACTAACTACGCAGATAGTAATATTTATTACTGTTTGTTTTAATTGTTAGGACGAAAACAGAGCTATTCTAATTTAAACTACTGACTCGTTTGTAGTGCAGAAACAAAAGTCAAGTTTAAAATATTAACTTGTTTTTTGTGAATAGTATTAATTAAAAGTAGTCTCTCATAATTACACGGACGTGCTCAACAATTAAAAAACACTTCATAAAAAGTGTTGACAAACTTGTCGAATACAGTTATATTTTCAAAAAATTAAACTAGACTAATAGTTGTATTTTCTGGGTTAATATTTTAACATTACATATATATTTTTTGTTCATTGTGTCATACCGTGGAGAACTTTAGTTAGTCATTTCGAGGGTGCTACGTGTTTCGTGTGCTTCCTAACTTATTCACGTGCCGGAGTTTCGGTGAAGTTGAAGTATCGTTCGCGTCATTCGCCGCCGTCTGAATGCAAGTTTATTATTGATCCAACAAACGGGGCACGATCCATACGCGCGCATCCGTAGGCCTACGGTCCCAGCTTTGTAGAGTGCATGCACTTTTGGACGTCAATGCGCCTTCTTCATGTTGCCCTCCTCACCGCGCATGAATAGACGCAATAAATAGGATAGGACGGGGAGATGTTGGCTCTCCGACAATGTCCTACCTCACTCTACTCATACGACGTATTTATAGTGACAATTGATTATACCGACGCCATTTTAATAGTTATTTTGTTAGGTTATGTTTACTTAATGCGATTATCGTTCAATGACTTAATGTCGTCGACTTGCAATTGTTATTAATATAAATTGCTGTGCATTCCGGCGAAAGTTACGACATGCGAGTACATACGTAATTTGGTGTCGGTTGTCACCTCGACGCACGTTTTAATGTGCCACCTGCGACTTCCTTCCTTCAACAATAAACAATCGGCTGACGAGTGCACGATGAATACGCTTTGCATGCGAACGTCGATCACGATGCTCATCTCGTGTATTATCTAAAACCGACAAAAACGCGGTAATTGCGTCAACGACGTTGCATAACTTTTATGCCCATTTGTGTTATTCGCTGTCAATTTAGATTTACGAGCGTTGCATCCCACACACATAGTAGCGAAAATAATTTACAAGTAAAAATGGTTTTCTAATTTTAATCCACGATTCGCAATTTCGCTCATTGCGTAATTGTTTATATTGCACACACATTTTTGTATAATAATTCCACATTTTTGTGACTGGTAGTAGTGTAATTGACGCGCGTGCACGTTTTGTCATTACATAAATGTTTTTAACTTGTTTTAATTTCAATTGTAATTAAGAGAGATTTGTGCGCGTAACGTGCGCGAATTGCAGTTGATATGTTAATACGCCATGAACAAGTGAACAAATAGTAAAAGTATCGTGGTGGATTATGGCGTTAAAGTGGGCGTAAAATTATGAAAACAAAACGACTAATAATAACACCGCTACGTAACATTAGAAATAATAACGCATGATAACCGTGATGGAGTCAGCCAAACTTGGAAACTTGCTAAATATTAATGAAACCAATGCATTACCAAATACAAAATCGCGAATGGCGCCAAGAAAACTAATGTGAATTCCAAGCAATTTTCGGAAATTGCGGTTTTTCCTGTTTCAAAACTAGTTTAGTGTAAAAATAAAATTACTTTAAAATATGTTACGGCTATAAGAATATGAAAATGCGCATACACCTGTTTGAGAAAACAGTTTTGCTTCCCCACATGTCTGCTTTTGCAAAAAAGTGGCTTGAAAGCAAAAGCTAATCAACGATTTTGCAATCAATTCGCCAGCAATCGACTTTGATGCCCATAAACGTGCGTCGTCCGTCTACGCACGACGCGCCGTAAAAGTTCATGACGACCTCTAATAGCACGCGGCATTAAACTATTTAAAGAGCAAAAAGTGTCGCGCACACAGAAGAACCTGGCCAGCGGAAACAGTTTTCAGCCTCTACATCTACTACCACTTCATGTCAGGCGCATGGGTTTGAAATAGATTGCACATTACACTACATGACTCCGAGGCGTAACCAAATGCGTACGACACTTTATAGTTTTAATGTCGGATACTAATGACGGGCTGAGGGGATTACCCGTAAGGGCCGCCAGGGACTGAAAGGACAGGCGGGACGCGGTATTTAAAAGTCGTCTGTCTAAATATAGCAAAGCCGCGCTTCCTTGCTCTTCAATTTCACCCAAACGAAACGCAAACAAAAACGTACTTTCATTTACACTGAGGGTCTTTGTTCTCCCTCGATAGATTTTACTCCATTGAACGCATGTCTGGTATAAATATAGAATAGTGCGCTTGGTGCTTATTTCCTTTTCGGTGCAGTTAAACATAACGATGGTTATAACATTAGACGTTTGATGGTTTAAGCCTTGGCGAATCCTCGGCGTGGTCATAAACGAAATCAAATTAAAACTCTTGGTTGGTGGTTTAATGAGGAATGTAATTTATGGCTTTGTTTCACAGACAAAACGACTACAACGTGCAGAAGAGTCGCAGCAGCACGGCACTTGGTAATGAGACCGTTGGAGATTTCAAAGCGCTACGGACGCCTGAACATCACCACCTGCAGAAGTCGTCGACCACAGCCGCCATGCAAAGCGCCACCATCAGCGAGTTGCGCGCTAAGCTGCAGCACAGCGGTGACAATGAGTGGCGTAAACGCACTCCTAGGCTGAACAGCACGAATGAGGAGTTGAACATGCTCAAAGTAAAAAATGTTTTGAACGTAAGTACAATAATTATTATTAATTTGCCCGCTAGGCGCCATCTATTGCGTAGTAGTTCGATTTAGCAGTGGTACTCATTTTGGTGGCTCTAATTAGTGTAAAAAATGAAAATAGTAAATATTATTCGATGTGTTTCCGCTCAGACGCCTCAATAATAAATTTTGGTATTGTCCCACTTAAATGCCATTAATTATTTCGGTCATTCTTGAGAGTGAATTGACATAGGCGCGTTTTCACCATTGAGCGAAACATGTACTTAACTACAACTACTCAAACAAAAAATGAAGTTTCAGAAAAGTATATTATTATTTTGTGTATACAGAAAATAGATTGTGCAACTAGCATATGACTCAGAGATTAGAATATTTCCCGCGATAACAGAAGTGCCACTTCAACACAAAGTTGGTTTCGCACCGGTAATGCCACCCAGAAGTATAAATAAATAATCAATTTAACAAAAGTATTAATGAGAGTTTGCCGTTTGGCCTGATTTCCAAAGTAAATTCCATTTCGTTTCGGCCGTTTTTATAATTTGTGTTCAGTCAGTTTTCGCTACTTATCGAACAGTTTGCACTCGTCAGTGACTCAAACGCGGGCGGCGCGGTATGAAACATTGGCACTAAGTAACGTGTGCGCTTTGAAACGCGTATTTAAGTTGGTTTTATTTCTAGTCGTGAGTGAATCTCTCGCGCGAGAAAATGTTGCAACTAATAACCGCGATATTAGTATTGGTCGCGATTTATCTCATCAAAAAGTTTCTTGTTGAACCACAGGATGAGCTATCGGAAAAGTCAATTTTGAAGATCAGGAAAGACGAGTTGGACGCGTCTGCCAAGCAATGGAAGGCGCGTGTGGAAAAGTCCGACGCGGAGAATTTTTCCGTAGCGGGCCGTATGCAAAACGACGACGTGCCGCTGAGTATTCTTACACCTGACAAAGTACGACGCACTCCTAGCTACAAACGTTTTAAAAGCAAGGAAGGTGAGTGATCATTTTAATTTATTGTGACTAATTTTTGTTATAATTACACTGATTATTGATTAATAGTTAATGGAACTGAGTCATCTTCGACACCCGTATCACCCGATTTCAAATCGCCGTTGAATACTGGCTTTAAGAGAAGCAACTCTAGTCCGAGTTCCGACTCATCGGCAAGCGACACCATGCCAGTTGAAAATGCCCGAAAAGTTAGCATTCTCTCACCCGACGATGAAACTTTCAAGAGTTTCTTTAAGAGCGTCGAAATCAAAATGGAAGAACATGTCGATGTCAATTTGGATGATTTTGATACTGTACCAACACATACATTACTGGTGCAAAAGAAAAACATCACCGTACAGAAGCGACGAGGTGCATCGAGAAACCCATTAAAGGCGCTGGCCGCCCGCGATGATATTCAACACGAGTACACCGAAGTCACAACTGGATTTGCCGAGAGAGAAGCCAAAAGACTGAACATTGAGAAACGTATGTAGGGTTTTCCTGTCCTATTTACCTATTTAATTAATTTTTATTTTATTTTTATGCAGTGGCGAAAAATTCCCACTTATCTGTGGAAGCACTTGCGGGTTTGGCTAGCAAGGAAGACATCACAGCTGTATCACTAAAGAAAGCATCCACAACAGCGTCGGGATCGAATTTGCCATTTAAAGCAAAAATGTTGCTTCAGATTAAAGGAAGACGCCACGTGCAAACTCGTCTAGTCGAACCAGCCGCGAGCAGCATTAACGAGGGCGACAACTACATTCTGATCACCCCGTCTAAGTTATACAACTATGTCGGTTGTTTCTCAAACGTGATAGAGCAGAGTCGCGCGGCCGATATCATAAACCACATCCAGCAGACCAACGACATGGGTTGTAAACCTAGCAAAACCGTCACCTTGGACTCGAAGAAAGGTCTGCAGAAAGATCTCGACGAATTCTGGCACCTGCTTGGTGTTGACAACAAGTCCACGGTCGAAGTGACCAAAGCCGGTCATCCTGACGAAGACGAATGTTACGAGTCGCAAATTATTGACACCAACATGGTATATACGCTGGAAAATGACGAACTTGTTTCAGTCACGAAGTATTGGAGTTCAATGCCTAAAATTGAAATGCTCGAACCATCCAAAGTATTTGTATTTGATTTTGGGACGGAAATGTATGTGTGGAGTGGTAAGACTGCTTCCACCGAAATGAAAAGAAAAACTTTGCAATTGGCGAAGGAAATGTGGGATTTGGGTTATAACTACACAGAATGTGGATTTTGCCCTATTAATGTGGCTTCTTTGTTGGGTGCTCGTGGGTTGCCACAAGAGCAAATTCTTACGGCAACGGTCCGGCCCGATTGGGCGCTTTTTGCTAAACTGACGCAACACCGCGAGACGATACTTTTCAGAGAGAAGTTTCTTGATTGGCCTGACTATACACGCGTTATTAAAGTCAAGGAAGCTGACACTGATAAGTCCGTGACAGATCCAATTATGGAGGCAATTAAGCCATTGTCCAGCGAAAAATTGAATTTGCTATATACCGAACCTAATATTGAGGTGGAGGGTAGCCAGCTCGGGCGTGGACGAGAATATTTTGACGAAGAGACACGCCGACATTTCGAAATTAATACTTTAGATATCACCGCCTGGACTATTTTGGAGAACACTTACGAAAAGCTCAACTCGAATCAATTGGGACATTTTAACAGCGCGGATACTTATATTATTCGATGGCAGTTTAGAGTATCTGTGACGGGTCGAGAGTTAAGCGGCAAACCATCTAAACACATGCAACTTGGACGGGACAGATGCGTATACTTCAGCTGGCTTGGAGAACACGCCACGATTAACGAGAAAGGTACCACTGCTTTATTGACCGTCGAATTGGATTCTGAACATGCTAAACAGATTCGAATTGTGCAAGGATCTGAACCACCAGTCTTCCTACAACTTTTTAATGGTAAGATGGTTGTGCACAATGGTAAACTGGACAGTGAAAAGGAGAAGTTGTATATTCTAAGAGGGGAAATTCCGTGTGAGACGTCGCTAATACAAGTTCCAGTCTCTATGAGGAGTCTAAGGAGTCGGTCAAGTTTCCTCTACATGGAAAGCAAGCGGCTAATTGTATGGCATGGTGCCAAAGCTCTGGATCACATAAAAAATCTCGCTAAAAATCTTGCAGAAAACATTGCAGAAGATAGTCACGAAATATTTGATTTAGTCAAGGAAGTGGAAGTGAAAGTTTTTGAGGAAGGAAAAGAGGATATTGAATTTTTGAATCGTTTGGGGGAGAAACCACAGTTGTACCACTCTTTAAAGGAGAGTGAAAAGTGTTTTGATAAAACTCCCAAACTATTCAAGTTTAGCAGTATCTCGGGTAAATTTGAGGTGATCGAAATTCTCTGCCCACACAGAAGTTCCAATCACATCACACCGTATCCGTTTTTACAGAGTGATTTATATTCTGCCAACCAACCAGGTAAATATCTTTATAACTATTTCAGTAGAAATGTGATGTAGGATGTACGTCTCATTTGTAATTTTGTTTCAGCATTGTTCCTATTTGATAACGAACATGAATTATGGCTTTGGCAAGGTTGGTGGCCTGAGACGGAAAACACCGAGTCAGAGCAAACCGGCTCGGGACCAGTGCGATGGCAAGCTGAACGCCGCGCTGCGATGCAAACTGCCATCGACTACTATCGTTCCAAGAATTCTTGCTGCGCGAACACTACCATTCCGGCGTATTTAGTCTGGGCCGGGTTGGAACCGCTTGAATTTAGCAATCTATTTCTCACATGGACTGACAGAGATGACATTGCGGAGTTTAATATTAAGGCGGGTGTTAATTCCACAGAATTGGTGCCGATTGAAAAGGAATTAGCATTGCTCACTCGCACTACTTATCCTTTATCGGAACTTCTGCAACGACCGCTTCCTATTGGTGTGGACCCTACCCAATTAGAAATTTACTTATCGGCAGAAGACTTTTCTGAACTCCTGTCAATGTCTAAGGAGGACTTTCAGCAATTGCCAGCTTGGAAGCAGACTTCTCTTAAAAAGGAGAAAGGGTTGTTCTGACAAAAATACACCCGTACGCAGAATCGCCACTCTCCTACTGAAGCTATTTTTAAACATGTACATTTGTACCCCAAACCAATCTACACAACTAAATATGTATTCACGATACAGCGATATATTTAATTGTCTCATATACCTATTTTATATTTAATGATATGTCTTTTCTATAAATGCGTGACGTAGTGTCAAAATTTGTTAGGATGGGACTGTTTCTGTTTGACTTAATATTATCTTTCTTGTACTTATTAGACATACATCATCTTCTCCGCGATCAATTATTTAACTGTGATTTTATATGTATGTATTTGCATTTTTTGTTAAATTTGTCAACAGAATGTTGTTGTAAATGTTGGTGCCTTGTGAAACCATATAAATTACTAATATGAAGTTTGTTTTGCGTATAATTTACTGCTTGTCTTGTGTTCGAATCTTCGAATGTAAGTTTGGCATAGGGGGCATCATTTGAATTGTGTGGTGCATGCAGACTTTCGCAACGCTCTATAGTGTTTTATTTTCTGGAGGTATTGTTAAGAATATACAGGTGGCGTAACTATTCACATTTTTAACTAAAATTGGCGTGTGAGTGAATTTGTTGTTTCGTAGCCACGATGTCGCGCCGCAGTTCATGCTGCGAGACATGGACGTTGATAAATTCAGTAATTTGCGTTATTGTTCAGTTACCTCCGCTAATATTTTTTATGTATGGTGATTTGCTAATGATTTATCGTTTAAAGAATTTCCCTAAATGCTAATTTAGTTTGTTAAATACGTTTTTGCGTATGTTCGTGAGTGAGTTGCCGTCGGACGGCGGTCGTCGATATCTTCTGATGTGATATAGTAAGTCTTGTGGCAATAATCGCACTAAGGGTTGTGGTTTAATAACTTCGATTAATTCAATATTATTAATTTTTATACATAAATTTAAATATTATTAAATTTTTTAATTGATTTAAATTGTGATAATTGCGTAGATTAAATAGATGATGCTACGGTGTACGTCAGTTCGAAATTATCTTGTCCCAACGCATCATCTCCGGCACATAGTTCTCTCAGCAAAGTAGTTAAGGTACATACTTGATGTATTCATTAATGATTGAATCTAAGAAACAATTATGATAAAATTCCTCATTATTAATTTTTATTTTATTCTGTATAATGTGTATAATATATTTATTATTACATTTGACAAACGTAGTGTTGTATTCAATGTTACTGTTCGTATGACATTGTTTGTGTATAAACAACTTTTTTATTGTACTAGAATCAGCCGTGTAGTGTATTGCAATAGCGTAAGATTGCCGTGCGGTGTAAATCTTATCATTGCGGGCAAACTTATCGCCGATTCTCATGTTCTCTGCGTACACAAGGGACTGTGGGCAGTTTCAGTTCGCTTGTGAATCCGCGCGCGTGTTGTGCGTTTTGGCATGATTCTTCTGTTTTTAATTTGTCAGATTGTCTTTTGTTTCGCGGTGCGACCGTGTATGATATTTTACTAATCGGGCGAGAAATGTTCGTGAATGGGGAGTTATGTGCTGTGCTTGTGTGCGGGTGCGTGAATATATCCATGTTTATCATCTCTACTCGTAACAACCAATGCACGAAGAAGTTATACTGGTAATTTTATATTTAAATTTACTTCTTAAAAATAATGTCGTCTAACTTAAATCTGGTGTCGGTAAATTGACGTGTGCTTAAATTTGTGCCTTAGATTTTACCATTAACAGAATTTTTCCAAAGATAGTGTTGCCACATGTAAACGTTCTTTCACTTATCTTTTAATTTTCAAGATTTATACCAAATGATTTATGTGAAATTAATTAATAAAATTAATAAATAATTGTGACAAGTTTTGAGTTAGTTATCTAATGTTAACGTTTGATTTTATTGAATTTGGTTTGTATATATATATAATTTCAAGACTTGTTTTCGTTTTTTGTAGTGTGTGTTATCACTGTTTGTTACCTGCGGCAAACGGTACTCTGCATGCTGCTGACATCAACGGCAACATTTGGCAAATAGTTTTATTCTGGCCGTCGGACGGTGTGGTCGGCTTTACCGGTGTTCATAGTTAATTAATTCGGTAATTCGCGCTGTATTCGATCAATACTTAATGGTATTTAGAGTGAATTGACCATTGAATCAATTGGAAGATGGAATTATTTATTATAAAATGTGAATTAATAGTTTTGTGTACTGTTTCCGCCGGTGCATGTGATAATTCCAGTATGGAATATACATATATTCAACTAGATATTCAGCTACACATATTGCGGTGCAAGTGGCTTGCCAAGTAAGTTTTCATATTGTCGAGAACATGTGGGTTGTCATGTATTGTCTTTCTGCGACGAATTAAACATAATGAATTGTCATTTTCTGCGATATTGTAAACTAAACGCGATAGAAAAGAATGAATTGCTAATTCTCGTCTACGAAATTTTTTATTAGATACCATACAAAAATCAGGAAAATAAGACTCGTGTTTCTAAATATTTCAGTTGTTATTTTCTCATTAAATAAAAGCGCCAGAACGAAACAGATTGAAAATTCGAAATATTCGGTATCTACTTCTTAATTGCTTTTCGAGTTCCGCTGTCAGATAAATACTTTGGTAAGATACATTATTCCAATATTCGTTGATTTTTTGGAAGTTGTTTTTCTTTGTATTCCCTGTTTATAACATATTTATTTATTTTATTATTCATGACATCTTGTCTTTATTAGTAATCGTGAATAAACATTGTTTTGAGTTGCGTGCAGCCCACAATCAAAATAAAACCATCTACCTTCAGGGTCGCGTTCAGCAAGCATATTGCAAATTGATAGTGACCGAAAATTCTGTAACGCGAGTTATATTGATATTTGTTGTGTGTAGACGCACTAGTACTTGTTGCGCTAGGAATTGTAGTTTTTTTTATTATAACACGCGAACGTGGTCTTAAACTAAGTTCGGAATAATTTTCCCAGATGCGGAATTTAATTCTTTATTTCCCTGGATCGAAATTTATTGCGAGAAAATTCCGTAACGCAAGTTATATTGATAGTTGTGTGTATACGCGCTAGTACTTGTTGCGCTAGGAATTGTAGTTTTTTTATTATAACACGCGAACGCGATGTTAAACTAAGTTAGGAATAATTTTCTCAGATGCGGAATTTAATTCTATATTTCCCTGTATCGAAATTAATGGCGAAAAAATTCCGTAACGCGAGTTATATTGATAGTGGTGTGTATACGCACTAGTACTCGTTGCGCTAGTAATTGTAGTTTTTTTAAGATAACACCCGAACGCGGCTTTAAACTAAGTTTGGAATAATTTTCCCAGATGCGGAATTTAATTCTTTATTTCCCTGTATCGAAATTAATGGCGAGAAAATTCCGTAACACGAGTTATATTGATAGTGGTGTGTATACGCACTAGTATTCGTTGCGCTAGGAATTGTAGTTTTTTTAATATAACACGCAAACGCGGCCTTAAACTAAATTTGAAATAATTTTCCCAGATGCGGAATTTAATTTTTTATTTCCCTGCATTGAAATTTATTGCGAGAAAATTCCGTAACGCGAGTTATATTGATAGTGGTGTGTATACGCACTAGTGCTCGTTGGGCGAGGAATTGTAGTTCTTTTATTATAACACGCGAACGCGATCTTAAACTAAGTTCGGAATAATTTTTTCAGATTCGGAATTTAATTCTTTATTTCCCAGTATCGAAATTTATTGCGCGAAAATTCCGTAACGCGAGTTATATTGATAGTTGTGTGTATGCGCGCTAGTACTCGTTGCGCTAGGAATTGTAGTTTTTTTTATATAACACGCGAACGCGGTCTTAAACTAAGTTTGGAATAATTTTTCCAGATGCGGAATTTAGTTCATTATTTTCCTGTATCGAAATTTATTGCGAGAAAATTCCGTAACGCGAGTTATATTGATAGTTGTGTGTATACGCGCTAGTACTCGTTGCGCTAGGAATTGTAGTTTCCTTTATTATAACACCCGAACGCGATCTTAAACTAAGTTCGGAATAATTTTTTCAGATGCGGAATTTAATTCTTTATTTCCCAGTATCGAAATTTATTGCGCGAAAATTCCGTAACGCGAGTTATATTGATAGTTGTGTGTATGCGCGCTTGTACTCGTTGCGCTAGGAATTGTAGTTTTTTTATTATAACACCCAAACGCGGTCTTAAACTAAGTTCGGAATAATTTTTTCAGATGCGGAATTTAATTCTTTATTTCCCAGTATCGAAATTTATTGCGCGAAAATTCCGTAACGCGAGTTATATTGATAGTTGTGTGTATGCGCGCTTGTACTCGTTGCGCTAGGAATTGTAGTTTTTTTATTATAACACCCAAACGCGGTCTTAAACTAAGTTCGTAATAATTTTTTCAGATGCGGAATTTAATTCTTTATTTCCCAGTATCGAAATTTATTGCGCGAAAATTCCGTAACGCGAGTTATATTGATAGTTGTGTGTATGCGCGCTTGTACTCGTTGCGCTAGGAATTGTAGTTTTTATTATAACACCCAAACGCGGTCTTAAACTAAGTTCGTAATAATTTTTTCAGATGCGGAATTTAATTCTTTATTTCCCAGTATCGAAATTTATTGCGCGAAAATTCCGTAACGCGAGTTATATTGATAGTTGTGTTGTATGCGCGCTAGTACTCGTTGCGCTAGGAATTGTAGTTTTTTTATTATAACACCCAAACGCGGTCTTAAACTAAGTTCGGAATAATTTTTTCAGATGCGGAATTTAATTCTTTATTTCCCAGTATCGAAATTTATTGCGAGAAAATTCCGTAACGCGAGTTATATTAATAGTTGTGTGTATGCGCGCTTGTACTCGTTGCGCTAGGAATTGTAGTTTTTTATTATAACACCCAAACGCGGTCTTAAACTAAATTCGGAATAATTTTTTCAGATGCGGAATTTAATTCTTTATTTCTCTGCATCGAAATTTATTGCGAGAAAATTCCGTAACGCGAGTTATATTGATAGTTGTGTGTATACGCGCTAGTACTCGTTGCGCTAGGAATTGTAGTTTTTTTTTATATAACACGCGAACGCGGTCTTAAACTAAGTTCTCCCAGATGCGGAATTTAATTTATTATTTCCCTGTATCGTAATTTATTGCGAGAAAATTCCGTAACGCGAGTTATATTGATAGTGGTGTGTATACGCACTAGTGCTCGTTGCGCGAGGAATTGTAGTTTTCTTTATTATAACACGCGAACGCGATCTTAAAGTAAGTTCGGAATAATTTGCCCAAATGCGGAATTTAATTCTATATTTCCTTGTATCGAAATTTATTGCGAGAAAATTCCGTAACGCGAGTTATATTGATAGTTGTGTGTGTGCGCCGTAATACTCGGTGCGCTAGGAATTGTAGCTTTTTTATTATAACACGCTAACGCGGTCTTAAACTAAGTTCTGAATAATTTTGCCAAATGCGGAATTTAATTCTTAATTTCCCTGTATTGAAATTAATGGCGAGAAAATTCCGTAACGCGAGTTATATTCATAGTTGTGTGTATACGCGCTAGTACTCGTTGCGCCAGGAATTGTAGCTTTTTTATTATAACACGCGAACGCGGTCTTAAACTAAGTTCGGAATAATTTTCCCTGATGCGGAATTTAATTCTTTATTTCCCTGCATCGAAATTTATTGCGAGAAAATTCCGTAACGCGAGTTATATTGATAGTTGTGTGTATACGCGCTAGTACTCGTTGCGCTAGGAATTGTAGTTTTTTTATTATCACCCACGAACGCGGTGTTTGCATGTTTTTGTATATTTTTGTTGCATATTTGATAAATGTGTTTTGAAGTTGATAAATATTTTCAAAGGTGAGTTGGCGCTACGATGTACGGTTTTGCATTAAATATTGCTTGTTGGTGGTAGTGAATGCACACCGTGTCCGTGTGCGATCACGCGATTTCGCGCAAGAGATAAGTTTGTTTACCTGCAGGTATCGAATCTTTATTTCGTGGAATCAAAACACACCGTTGCTGTTTATTATATTAGCAGTGTAAATTTAAGCAAATATTCTTCAATTCTTTCATGAATATACCTCGCCCAGGGCGCTGGTAGTGCTAAAATCGGCACTGGTGCCAAATGCAATTCGTGCACATGGTCGCATGCCGTCGACGCGCCGGCTTTGTGCATTTCTTACTTTCTTAGCACCGTTGCTTGCGCGGCTACGTAAAACTAGTATTGTATATTCGGACTTGTTTTTTAATTTGCGTTATATATGATTATAAATCGACTATTTAATTGTAGCTACTAGGCTAATGATATTTATTATTTCCGCGTTTAATGTACATTATTGAACTAAAGTGGTAGATATTTGATTGCGTTTCGTGTGTATACTTATGCATGTTACAAGGTTGGGTGTGAGTTGCTAAATGAATAGGATATAGGAATGCCCACATGTAAATTTATTCATCATTATCCTTGTGTAAGTTACTTTTAACTCCACAATATGTGTTATTGTATGTTATCTCCGATGTATTCTCAAATTTTTAAAACTTGCATTGGTAAACGGGCCATATCTCACAAACCCTTCGTGAAATGATTTATTTGTAATGGTAAATTAAATTACTGTTTTTCTCAATCTTATGACATCCCAAAGTCAATTAATTCTTTTCTTATGCTGAGAAATATTGAAATTAAAAGTAGATTTCGTGTATGTCGGGTATTTCAACATTGTCATATTTTAGTTTGATCTTTTCAACTACGAGTTTATCAGTACGTTTGTGTATCAACAACTTTTTTGTTCGACGCGTATTATCGCTACGTACCAGCCTTGTACCTGGCTAAGCAAAGCGCACACGGCAGTCGTTTCACCGCGTGGTCCGCGAACGTGTCTCTCTAATCGCCATGCGTTTTGAGGTTTTAATTGGATTAATCGTCGGGTACTTTTTTGACCATCAGCAAAATATTAGCAATGGGCATGTTTGCCTGTTTTGTTTAATGATTTGTCGCGTTTAGAGTCTCCTTAAATAAGAAATAAGTGTCCATCAATCTGTGCGTGTGTTTTCAGGTGATAGAATATATTCCAGGATATAAAATCCCCTCATCAATGCATATGTAGGTGTATAATTAATTTTTTTACGGAAAGTTACGCCGCTTTAACTTAAATTGGTTATTCTATTTGAGTGATATGAAATTTGCATCTCACAAATTACAAATACAGGGTATGTAGTATTTTTATCAGAATTCTTAGTTCCGTTTCCGAAAATAACATGGATGATTTAATTACTACAAACACTGTTTTACAAAAGTATCTGAAGATTATTTAAATTGGCAATATTCATATGGTCGACCACGCTCACTTTGCCGTCGGCCGTCGGCTCGGCCGTCTTATCGCAGAACACGTGAATGTTTTTAATCAATTTGCGCTCCTTAGCATCATTAAATTAAGAAGTTCCTTGTTGACCTAGTAAAATCTTGCACGTTGAATAGCTTTTCGTTTTCATAGTCTCCGTAATATTTACAAAACAAACTAGTAATAGCTACGCGCCGTCGCTTGTCGTCAGCTGATTTGAATGTTTTCCGCAGGATATTCTATCAATTTATGATGATGTTTCACCCTTCGGTTACTTTATGCAGCCAATGCATCAATTAATAAATATACATTCACCATATGTTAAAATGTAGGTGCTTTATTTTTGTACAATCTTTTTGCCCAATTTCCCGATGATTTTCGGGTAAAATATTGAAATATTTGTTGTTTATTTGTAAATTTCCTTCTTCATGTAGTTTCTAAAGTTTTCTTTTTGTAACACCCTGTATATTAGTTGTCCTAACAGCATGTCGAAAATCCTCTTTATTTGTGGGTTTTAAGTGTTCTCTGTTTTGAACTAGGACTTTTCTTTCTGGTACACCCTATATATTTATTTTCCTTTGTGTCCGTGAAGATTTTGCTTCAACTGTTGTTTTTAGTATTTTCTTCTTTGCGCTTTGAATTTTCTTTCTGAAACACCCTGTATCTTATTTTCCCGATGGTCGAGAGAAAACGAGCAACGATAGTAGTGTTTAGAGTTTTTTATTTGCATTTTAAATTTTCATTTTGCAACACCCTGTATATTTGTTTCCATTTCAACCCCGTAGAAAATAGGCTATTTGCTAATTTCCTTATTCCGGTAGAACTGTACGAAGTGGTACTTGCTTATATGTGCGCGGCTTAGCAGGTCGTAAGTCCGGTTTCAATATGGCGTCATGTATTCTGTTGACATGTAAAATCTAAACTTGTATTCTATTGTTAATAAATAAATAGTAAGATATATTGACTTCTTTGATTTGTGTGTTCGCCTTCTATCATTTCAGGAACAGGTCTCTAAGAGAGTTCCCTCTCTCAGGGGATGATCCCCTCTATAAAAATTGTTCAGGTAACCTGTATGATTTGTGTACTTTTTCTTTCATTTCAGCAACAGGTCAGAACTTGTAAGAATATTTTTAAGTGTCGCCTCTCTTGAGACGACTTAAAACTTAGAAATATTTGAACAAGACCTTATAAGGATTGTCCTTATAAGGAGTTCCCTCTCTCTGGGGGTGATCCCCCACCATAAAAATTGTTGATATGCCTGATAATTTCGGGGATGAAGCGCAGAGACATCGTAGCTGTAGGTTGGGCCGGGAGCAATGGACGCACGGAGCAGTGGGCTGTCTTATAACGACACGTGCCAAAAAATTTAAAAATCTGATCCTCCCATGTTCTCTTTCTTCTATCTTCTCCTATTCTTACTACTCCTTCTATTTATTTCTCTGTTCTCCCGTTCTCCATTTACTTTCTTACATCTCTTATTGCCTTCACTTGCATTTCAATTTCTCATATACTTCGTTGCAATTCATATATGCAACCCAAATTGCACCTGATATTTTTATATTTGAGAAAAATGCCTGTTACGCCTGAGATTCGATCCGTGTCTACTAGCATGCCAGCAGGTGCACGTCTCCACTCGACCACCGAGTGTTTTTATTATTGTTATTTGATTCTTCTATTTATGTTTCTACTTTAATCATGTTTTTAAAAACAACAAGACAATTCAAGCAACAGTTAGTTATGTTATACCCGCAGCACACATATAATTTATATGCCATATTATTTAAAACTGAAAACGACAAAGAGGATACCACAAAGAAATATGAATGAGAATATTATTTTTTGTTTTATTGACAACATTTACAAATACATAGGTATATTTTTCAAGAGAAAAGTACCGGCGACTATTAAATTCCATGAATGACTTGCCTTTGAATATACACAACTGCAAATCTTCTATTCCCCTGAATTCGCAAACTGGCATTTCTGGCACATACGTTGTTTATTTATTCAAATGAAACCCAAATCCATGTTTTTCTTCTGGGGGATAACCGACTGCCGATAGACACACACTCCATGCACATGGCCAGCACGAGTGTAAATCTTCACACCGAAAATAATTACGGACGGTCGACGAAAACTCACTCGCGCTTATTATCTGGCAAAACTTCGCTCACGCCCGATTCCAGTAAATGTCGTCGATTGTTATTTGAATTATAAATCGATTGTAAATCTATTTATGATCTGCAGCAACAAAACTACTCGCGATGAACACGCGCGATTCATCCGCTGACCGGAGTGAAACTGCGCAGCACAGCACGCGGTCACGCGATATTTGCTATTGCGATACGCTCTACAAAAAATTGTTTACATACAAATACAAATATGCATGTATCTAAACTATATACCAGGATAGCACCTAGCACACTAAGCGAATTTCTATGCTGCTTTCTATTTGTTAGGCTTTCGGTTACACGAATCTTTGCGATGGGTTGGTCCCTGATCATTCTTTCTCCTAAAATCAATGAAATCCGTTTTACGATAGTTGGTGCTACATGTTGCTACATGGACTGAAATAATAAAAAATTGAAAATATTTCAGCAATATTTCGATAATCCATCTGCAGTACCCAGGCACCATGTGGAGTGTCATATAAATTACCATCCGACGAGCCCTCTTAGTCAAGTAGATGTGGGGCATCTGCGAGATCACGACCATGACATTTAATTTTTGTTGATCCTACATACATCATGAGGCTAGAAAAATAGCGAATACTGTGTATGCAGCATTCAAAAGTTCATAATTTAATATTGCCTGATGTTGTTTCTTGCGAACATTCAATGGAACATCATCATCTTTAGTCCTACCAGCAAGCAGATGCAACAAGAAATCATTATCGGTTTCTTAAATCCTCTCTTTTCCAATGGTTGCTTGTTGTTAGTCATAAGAAGAGCATGTCCATTGTGCGTTGAATTGCGTAGTTGACATGCAAATAGTGCTTTTTAAATTTTAAATTTAATTAGCACCATCATAGAGCGCCACCTCTTTATGACGTAAGTGAAAAACAAAAAATCCCCAAACCTACGAAAGCAGCTGTTTTGAAAACTTGCATTTATAGGTTAATTATTAGGTAACTTGGTGATTTTCGAAAATAGAATAACAATCGCGAGAATGGCATCGCTTTTACGGCAATTCACACGTATCATCCGGCCCGCTCCAATTATTAATAAACACGGTAAGACAGAAAAACGCTGCACTAAAACTCTAATTATACATGATGTTATCTTTTAGTGTGCAGCAATGTTGCCAATGGCCTACGTTATGCCTCTTCAGCAAGTGATAGCGCGCCCACTGAAGTCAAAGCAGAAACTAGACGTGAGCACATATATTATTAAATATTTCAGTCATTTTATATAAAATATTGCAGCAACTGTGCGGAAATTTGATGCCGTCAGTAGGTCAATGTTGAAGGAGTTTGGACAATATGTTTCTGAATGTCTACCCAAGTACATCCAGAAGGTGCAGCTTACAGCTGGTGATGAACTTGAGCTGTTGATTGTCCCTGAGGGTGTCTTGCCAGTATTACAGTTCTTGAAGGATCATCATGCTGCTCAGTTTGGCAACCTGACTGATATTGCTGGTATGGATGTACCAAGCAGACAATACAGATTTGAAGTAAGTACACCAAAAAATGTAGCATAAAAAGTTAAGATGAAGAGTAAATTTTAGATCATCTACAACATTCTGTCATTGAGGTTCAATTCACGCATACGAGTGAAGACTTACACAGATGAGTTGACTCCAATTGACTCCTGTAATGATATCTATAAGGCCGCCAACTGGTATGAAAGAGAAATTTGGGACATGTATGGTGTGTTCTTCGCCAACCATCCTGATCTTCGTCGTATTCTTACCGATTACGGCTTCGAAGGACACCCTTTCCGAAAGGATTTCCCTCTGACTGGATACGTGGAAGTGCGCTATGACGATGAGCAGAAACGCGTCGTCGTAGAGCCTCTGGAATTGGCGCAGGAGTTCCGCAAGTTCGAATTATCCGCACCGTGGGAGCAATTCCCCAATTTTCGAAAGGCGCCTGAGCCTTCCGAGGATGTACCACTGAAGAAGGAAGAACTCAAAAAGTGAAATTAGTTAAATTGTACAGAAACAAAATTATAAATATCTGAAATATTTAAGAAATCTTTCCATCATATGCTCCTAGCTCACATACATGAAGGAAAGAGTTTATAATAAAGATGTATTGCTTGAAACAAACTTTGTTTCGCATTACAAAAACAATTCAATCTCCAAATGGCCGCATCTTATTTGACTCGCAGCTACAATTAAATGTTCAAAGCATCCAGTTTGTGTATGCATTCGTTCAAAATACTTCGAAAACATTTGCATTATATAAAATAATTCTATGAAACAAACATCATTTTAACAACGGTTAAATGTTGAATTTGTGTACTAGAGATCTAGAGGAATACCGTTATTATCGGAAATAAATTTAATCGACAAAAATGATGTTTGTTTTCGTTAATTTGATCTTGAGATTCAGTTGTTGCTTCAATTACAGGTACCAGCTATCACACGCCGCTAACATCAATATATTTATTTACATTTCGTAAAAAGCCCTCGTCCGCATCTTGATTTCGTCACCTAAAAGAAGAAGAGTTGCAAATTTTATAACCAACAGATGCTGCTTACGCTAGGCGCCGCTGTACCAAAAAATCAAGCGCATAGTCGACTTCGCGCGAGCAGCACTTACAAAATCTGCACGCCCTTTCTCGTTAAGTACTTGACGTTGAATTTATAATCATCAAAAATATATGTATGTGCATCACAAAAATAGTGTTTTATGTCTTCGCCTTTCAACGTCTCCTTGTATTATCCACAGAAAGCCGCTGTTGAAGGTTGAAGCATCGGAAACTGAGCAGGTTTTACAACTTGTAAACTCGAATCTATCGAGTTGTAGACCAAGTGGCACAACGATTAACTTCACATCCAACAAATTGTCATCTAAGTTATGGGCTATTGCAGTTAGATAGCAAATATAGTTCTTACATTAAATTGTGGTATGATAGGTGATTAAGCTCTTGTTGCTTATTAATTTTCTTCTCAATTAAGATAGACCGCGCCTATACATGGTATAGATAACGTTATAAACCCACATTGATAGTAAGCTTTGTTTGTAAAGTGTAGGAATGATCAACTTTGAATTTTAAAGTTTGTACTTTTGTTCATCAATTGATCGCAACATCGAAAAGGGGTTTGGTCCAAAAACATTTGTTACAATAAAAAGGTGAAATTACTTGCGGAATCCCAAGCGCAAAGTCCGCTAGGGAACCATTTGGTAACAGCATAACCTCCTTACAACTTAATAAAGTAAGCGCAGGTACCTATCAGCTACCAAAATGATTGCCGCATGTATACAAATTTATGTCAAAAATCGAGTTTGTTGGTCTGTGCCACATGCAATGCGCTCTTGTCACCTGGCGCATCGAAAGTGACCAAACCAGTTGTAACAAAATTTGAGACAACGTCATGTTCGAGTCCACAAAGTTGAAGAGCGTCTTTACGTGACTCACATAGAAGTCGTTTTGGGAAATATCCGCATTGTTGGAGGTGCCACGCCTATGGAATCCGACACGTGCCGTTCGTGGTACTCCTGAAAACAGGGCACGATACAGAGATTGGTCTGGCATTCAGGACAGTGGTATTTTGTTTTTCGGCGCAAAATGCGCCCATGGGTGTCCACGGTGTTCCAGCAATAATTGCAGCCCAAAGCAGGACCCGGACGAACAACAGGACAATGACTAGAGCGTGTGTTCGTCTGTGAACAAACCAAATAAAACAATCAATACATACATTATATCGATCAAACAAACAAATGAAAAGTATAAATAAGTTTGTTTGTTATGTTTAGTTGGCGAAATGACAGCTCCACGTCAGCAGCCGCTCAAGCACCGCCAAACTGCACAACTAAAATGTATATTTCTGCGGGGCGGTGTGGCCCATGTCTCTCCATCTGCCACCATACAAGAACTTTTACATTACTCTCCAACACCCGAAGAAATTACCCTTCAACAGCGCATCAAAAATGCAGCTGAAAACTTCACCGATAAGCACAAAAATGTCATGAATACTATGAGGCAGGAAATGATGGTCAGTATATCAAAATATTACTATAAAGAGTTTAAAACATTAATTGTTTTTGGAAGCCTGAAGAAACCAATTTTGACGATGCTATACACCTTCTCGAGGCGCCAACCCGTCCACAAACCTCGTCACCAGACGTCATGGAAAAGCATGCTAAAAAATTTAAAGCAATTGAATCACAAGTTTTTCTCGTCAAAAATTCATCCACATCCAGCGTTTGCTCGAATAATTTAACCTACGATTATATGTCTGGGGTGTGGAAGATGCTACAATCGGAAAGGGAAGGTGAGGACTTCGTGATCAGTCCGAAAGGGTACGAGTTCGATGTGGCGAAAACAAAATGGGTGCCCAAATCAGACGAAGTGGTAAAACAAGTTGAAGAATCCAAACAAAAGTGCGAAGAGTGGCTAACAAAAAAATGCGACTATAGTCTCGCTGACAAGCCAGCAATTCAAAAATGTAAATTGCTGCCAAAGATTAAAAGAAATCGCAATAAACTTACTTGAGACGGGGACGAAACGCTGCGTTTCAGCTCGTCTGTCCGCACTTTCATCGATGTGGGTGTCAGGTCTTCGGATTTAACGCGCAACGAGGTGGGGCCAATCGTAACTTCCGATTGATCTGTGGTCCCGCTACTTGTTGTGCCGCCATCTTCGCTCGGTGTGTGTGGTATTATTTGTAGCGTAGGCGGTATTAATGGAGGCGGAGGGCTAGCTGACTGAAATGACTTTACTTTCAATTAGATAGTTTTAAGATAAAATTGCGGGTAACTTACCATTTGGCTGGGCAATAGCGGATGCGAATGTTGTTTAACTAGCACATTTCCTGGCACGGCAAGATGTGGACCAGGAGGCGGTGAAGCTGAGGTCGGAAAAGGATCGGACACCTGGCGCTCCACCCTCAAATGTGGTACCGATAAATAGTGCGCGGTGTCGCCATCAGGATTATCGCCTTCTTTCTTAATCCGTGATTGCCGCATAAGAATTCGACTACGCTTTGAGCCCAGCATCGTGTTAGTGTACTGCGACGATTGCGAGAGCTGCGCATGAGTGGTTATTATCACCCTGTCTGAAATCAATCCACACTTATGTTTAGCATAAACGTTAGATAATTATTTAGTGAATGTAACAGGTTCCAAAACAAGCACAAAACACCAGTCACAAGAAACATAATATAATATAACAAAATATATCCCATAGTTAAAAATTTCAATTTAAAATGGTCAAACATAGTGACAATTTTGTCAATTTTGCCTTTTAGCCTATGATAATTTACGCTAAAATGTACACCGGTAAAACAACGTACAAATGTGTGGCACAATCATTGATAAACTTCCTTTGGAAGGAATGACTACGTCATATGTCGCTAAAACTATGTTAAATGAGATGTCCGCTCTTCAGTCTTTTCATTCGCTTGCAAATTCGAGTGGAAGCTGCATTCACATTTGATCGAAATTTATGCTCTGCAAGTTAATAGGGGTAGTATGCAGCAGGCCGTTGTCAAAGTAGCGTGAGCGTTGTAACACAGGCGCAGTAATTTCAACCGGTCGCCCGTCAATGAACGCGCCACTTATCATCGCAACCGAATTTCCTGCTAAAGAATGCTGTATGGTTTGTTGATGAGTTTGATGTTGTTGTTGCTGCTGTTGAATGTGTTGCGCATGCGCCGTCTCTTCAGGACCTTCAGAACCCTGCGATTGGCTCTGTGGCTGCGAGGGGGACGAATTTTCAGCGTCAGCAGTCAATTGTGCTGTTGCGGCAGCTGCCGCTGCTGCTGCCGCCGCCGCCGCTTCGTTCTCAGCCTTTCTGTGCTTGATGCTGAGGCGATTTACTGGATAGCCCCGTTTCCTGTACTCAATCCACAGGGTGCGATTGTTGACACCGTACATACGCGCTGCTTTGCAGAAGCCAATGCCCCCGTAGCGTACCGCCTCCAGCGCACGCACAAAGTTATCCTGCGCTTGGGGGTTGACGCTGCGCTTACGTTTCGGTGGCGTGGCGGTTTGAGCGGGCGCGACAGGCGGTGAGGTTGCAGTCGCAACGTGCTGATGCGGCGCTGCCGCCGATGTGCACGCGACGCTGCCGCTCACGTACGATTGCGGAAGCGAGACGGGCGGCAGCTGCGCGCTCGTATACTGCAATTCTTGCGGGAGGGTGAGGGTGGCTTGGGTAAAGTGTGGATAGTGTTGATCGACAATGCCCCATTGGTAACCTGAAAGGGCACCAGACAGGTTAGAAATGGTGTGCGCGCTCAATGGCGGACAAAGGCTACGCTCAACGGCAATCGTGAACATGAGTCATAGTGGTTACAACAACAAATGATTATGAGGAGTACAGACACCAGAAAGAAGAGGCAGTTTAAGAGTAGCATAACATATAGTATAAGATAATAACCACAACATTTAAACAAATACTCAAAATAAATAAATGACAATGAAATGATGATGAATGAAAGACTGACCATTGAGCTAAGCCTAAGTCTATGTCAATGGCTAGATTAGGATCACGGATTGCACGGGATTCACAAAAAATAACAACCAATCAAAAGTAAAAAAAAAACCTAACTGCTTGTTCACTCTTGCTGTTGATCCTTAGCCTTACCAAACGCAAACTAATCAACGTCTAAATTCCGATGATCTTTACTACTAACTATTTTATCAATAAATATTGATCAACTTACCAGTTACAGTTTGGGTCGTTGTTGATGTCCCCGACATGTCAATTGTTGAGTTTTCCACCGAATGCTGTACAGGTATATCTTGTGGAATATGCTAAAATGATAGTCAGTAAATAGAAATAAATTCATAGTTGACTAACAAACTAACGAGGTTTATTTGATGAGGCGATCCTGTTTCTGTACTATCATGAGATCCGGAGTGGCTGTGCTTTGGGCTGCATTTTACAGGTGTATTTGGATTGCTGCTAACAAAGCCCGGATCAGGTTTGATTACAGCCATACCAATAGGCGACGATAATGTCACTTCGTTGGACGAATGCTCCTCGCTAGTGTGTTTTTCTGTGGAGCCTGAACCAGTTGACATTTTTCTTAATCTCTTTCTGCAATAGAACAACAAGGGTAATGTCTTATTATCTAGTTAAAATATCTTTATAATACCTTTTACTGGCGGGTGACAGAGGACATGGCGAGGGTGAGAGAGATTGCCGTTGGTTTTCGGCAGTCCAATTTGTTTCAGCAGGCGTGAGTAGTTCTGCACGCTCTGTTGTGTTGTTCTGATGTTTTAGAGATGCTTCCACAGGTATTTCAGCTAAACCTGTACATTACACAAACAAATCATTAGTAACTGCTAATTGCTAATTTTTATTCATTAAGTATTTCAGAATCATGCATGAACAGCACAAATATAAATGTGTGTTACCTTTAATTTTTAAAGCTTCAGCAGTTTTCAAAATGTGTGGCAACTCATCCTGAGATACATTGACTTCACCATAATACATGAAGTCAATAATCACCTTCAAATCAGTGAACTTCACATCTTTAAGGATCACTATGGGATGCTGGCATGGATTCATAGTGAACAAAGACTGCAATCAAACCACCATTAGCATTATCCTGAAGACAAACATTCTGTGTTTATGTTACCTGAAAGTATGAGCTGCAGGCAGACAGCACCAATTTGTGAGCCTGCAGATGCCTGCCATCCGCCGAGAGAGTGACATCCACGAGGCTCTCGCTGTTGAGCAGGTTCGAGAACACTGAGATGAAGTTGGGCTGGTGGTTGTTCCATCGGAGGCAATACTGCTGCATGGTCATTTTGGTCACTCAACGGGGGGCTCGATATTGTCACGCCTGCGATGCGGAATAAATCTCGTTCAATTCTTATATAATCGCGCGCACATCACGGCGTTGTGTTTACGTTTTGCCCTTTTTCACTTCGCACGCGCCGAAGGCCAGTCGGCACTGAGATACAATCAATAAGTGCGCTTCGGCAGCGATTCGATCGTCGTAACCTTGAAAGCGGTAAGCGCGCGGCGATGTGATACGTACCGACTGTTTGAACGTTTTCGGTTACGACGAAAAATATTGTCGTAGTGACGCACGCAGCGAGCGCGGGCGACGCACTTACCGCGGCGACAAGTCGAGTCGCAGCGATGACGGTTCGAGATTAGCGAACGCGCTGACGGAGCGTGCTTGGCGAACAGACCATTTTCATGTGCGACGGCGGGCACCACTACGTGCGGAACCAGAATGCAAACGAGAAACGAGCGGGCAAACGACACTTTACACATGCACACGGTTGACGTAATTGCGTTGTTTTACGCGATTTACGATATTGTTTTACTAAACGCAGCCGCTACCGATGGCGCTGGCAGCCCTTATCTGATACTGACATCTATCGTCGTTTTGCTAAACAGCAAAAGCTAACATCAGAACCTGGCACTTTAGTTGTCGGTTTTCCTTCACGATCATGCGCTTTTTAATATAGAAATCCTCCGTAAGATAACAATACCAAAACAATTTAAGTGGTTATTCTAAAATTATAAAATTGTTATTTAGAGTGTAATGTTTGGAGTACAAACTAAGTTGAAACGATGTTTATTTGTGTTGATTCTGGCTGTAACCAAATTTAATCAACAAACTTTGTTTGAATTGTCGCGAAAACACATTTGACATCGACACATTATTGTTTCAGCTTGTTATCACAACAAATTGAAATCCACCTTAATAAGCGGCGAAATGCGCTTCGCGCGAGACTTGCATAAATGTGCTCCGCTAAGGTTCGCTCGCTATTAATTCCATACCTACGCCGTGCGCGTTGTTTTAATTAAAATATGTACGCGCGATGTGTGCGGTAGCAGAGCGCTGCGCTGCAGGCCTCGCCGAAGAACAAGCAATTAACTTTATCGCGTCGTTCGGTTATTAGAATCGCTGCACAGTAATTAAATGAAATATTTCCCAATATTTCGTGCGCGCACAAACAGCGGCGCAGATCGACGTCCAATGCAATTACACACGCCGGCGAATGCATTCATCATGCGCCCGATCCGCGCGCGCGCGTGTATCAAAAATAATAATTTATCGTCGTTATTTCATACGCGGTTGCAAGCCAGCAGTGTCCTGGTCTGCGGGCATGTCGAATGATGTTTGCATGCAGATAATTTCAATATTAATACTCGTACGAGTATGAATAATATGGGAGCGTTCGATATTGTGCCTATTCAACGTCAACTAAATCCAATTTAGTTCAAACTCCAAACACTAATTGGAAAAATAATCATATGTAGTGCATGTTGTTTTTAAACTTTTAATTCTACTGCAATACCTCATAAATCATTTTACTTCATCCGCGCGTATAAATATTGTGTTATACCAAGCTACACAGAAAATTCATGTTATTATAAGAAATAAGAATGGATACGCACAAAACAATACAAATATTTTGTGTTTAGAAATTTTCCGAACTTTGAAATCATGTTTTCAGGTTTTCAGTTCTCACTGGCTGACGGAAACATTAGTGAAGTTTTTCATGGTGCCTTCGCTTAATAAATAATAGCGATAAATAACGTTCGCCTTCGGCAACCGTTCCGCATTCGGAACGAAGCTGTATGCACGCGGGGAATAAATCTTTTTATTAAAAATGAAAGAAAAACTCCCAGTGTCGAGAAAAGAACGCGCGACTATAGAGCGCAAAGCGGAAAAGAAGAAAACGCCAGTTGTCTATGAAGCTTTCCGAAAAAAGCATCAAACATCCCGCTCGACTCGCCAGGGTCGGACTTAACCTAATAAAGCATTTGTTATCAGCTTCTAGAGTAAGTTATAGTCGAAACACAAATCTAATTGTCTTCCAATTCGAAATATGTTTAGTTAGTTTTCCGTTTCATTTCAGAGAAGAGAAAAAAGTACCAATAAAAACACGCAGGAGAAACAAAAAGAAGTCGACTTGTCGAGTATGTAACATGCTTAGGTTCTCTGGCATGTCGTCAAAAGAAATATATTGGCTCGAGCGAGGCCTATAAATCAAACGGAAAACGGCATAGAAAATTAATAATCGCATAACGCACAAAATGGGGAGACGGCGAGAAGATGGCGTACTGTACCTATAACAGATCGAAAGGTGGTCGGGATGTTTGGATGTTCGAAAAGAATGATCGCGACTACAAGCGCGACGCGCAAACCAACCCGAAATTAGAAACGTGACGTGAAAAGCGAACAACATCCCACCAACCCGAGACGAAGGGCAAACGATGAGAACTCAACAAAAAATCAATGACAATAAATCACACTTTCCGCCGCCTGCTTTTGCATGACATAATAAGTGGATTTTATTTTATTTTCAGCAACAAACAATATTTATTTATACATTCCAGAGGGCCATATTTAAACACAACAAGGCAGACTATTAACTTTAACAACCGGAAATTTGGCCGAAACTTAGGCACATTGTTGCCTTTAGTTTGTGGGTCCTAAATAAATGTAAATGCAAACAGCAGAGAAACTCCGAGAGGGACGAAAATGAGGGATTAGCACAAGGTAAAGAATCCAGCCAGCACACCCACACACGTACGCACACAACATGCAGACACGTGAACAAAACAGCATCCTAAATAAATAATTGGTAAGTTTCAAGCTTGTCGGCTTAAAAATCTCTAATATTGAGAGAATGTAGTTCATGAGGCAGCCATTTTGCGACCGGAGACTAAGGGTCAATATAGCATCATAGTCATGCACTTGTTTGTTTTTATTGTTCGTCAATAATGAGAGTGGAGTGGCGAGACAATGCAATTTGGAACCCTTTCCGAGGGACCGAAATGATTGATTCCCGCCGACGTGGCGGACATGGCCAGCAACACCATGGCGGTCTTGCGGACAGCCGTAGGGAGCACGCCAGCGCACAACCGTAGCGAGAACGTAATAAAGCGTGGAGTTTATTTCGTCGAGTTAGCGAGTTGTTCAACCCTCAACGCCTCTAGATATACGATACAACCTACAAGCGACTGGAAACTATTTTCGCTGTAAACACTGTCAACATCAATACCTATAGGTACCTACGAATCGAATGAAAGCAAAGCACCAACAGCAAAAGTGATAAAAAACGTCATTCACGCGTTGAGGCATCGACAATGATATTAAAATTTAAATCACCGCTGATTGTTTCGAATCAAGTTTTATACTTGTGCAATTATAATACGCGTTTTAATTTACGATGAGCACTGACAGCCTGAAAACGAAAATTAACGTTGGTACATGCATTTTGCTGAATATTTAATTGGGCGCCGATTCAATAAATCAACAAATAAATTGTGCGCGCGTGGTAGTTTTTCATAATTGCACCCGACGGATAGATAATGCACGCTAATTAAATTATTAATTAGTTGTAACAAAATACGCAATATATCATATATTGTTGAACAAGGATCCATAATATTTTTCCTTACTTGCGCTATTGTTTGCTTTTAATTTTCGCGGTGTTGTTCTTTACAATTCTCTTTAATAATTTTTTGTTCTATTGCGCGCGCGTCGTCTTAGTCTTTTCATTTCGTAATTGATTTTGCCGGTCGTAATTCGGGCGGCGCTTTTATTTGTTATAATTCCCTCAAGATTAACAACCGACCAGAAGAGTTATACGCGCGTTCTTCGAGGCATAAAAAAGAATTCATGAACAAATGAAAACGTCGGCGGGTGCGCGCGCGAGTAAATCATAATCCGATTTCGTCCTGCCGGCCATTTTTCTTTGTTCCTACACGTGTTCAACGTGCGAGCGCGCGTCTCGAACGTTATTTATTTTATTTTCGTTTCGACGGGACGTTCGTGTGCTTCTTTGCGTCGAAACGATTGACGATTATTAAATAAACTTTCATCGATGATGTAATGGTGAGGTCTAGACAAGAATAAAAAAGAAACCTGACATAAATATTGTGGTTGGCTATGAGTTGAAAGATAAACTATCCACCACTAACACTAGGGTATCAGTAGAATAGACTCAGATGTTTCTATTGTATGATATAAATTAATCCGTCTCTGTACATTATAGTTTTATTACCTTTAGTGCTTTTATTGCGCTCGCTGCAGCATTTGCTGCATGCATGCAGTCCTGCGGCAGTTTTCCCTTCGCAACCCTCGCCGAAATGACCTGGCCTAGAGGGTGAAGCTGATGTGTTCGTAATGTGCATGTAATGTCTGTATATTACGTCCGAGCGTTTCATTTCGCGTTTGTTCTACTCCGCACTTCTCACATTTCATGCTGCAAACCGTTATAATTATGAAAAATCGACATCGATTGCAGCCGGAAATGCAGGTTGCTGTAACATGTTAAAAGGCAATAAAACAAACAATCCCGTCGACGTAAAACGATCGCCGGAATCGTGGAAAACAATCCATTCCTAACATTCCTAACGATTCTTGAACATTCGCTGCCCGGATTTAAAAAGGCATGCGACTTTAACGAGTGGAAAAAGAAATGCAACCAAAGGGTTGATTAAATTTGATCGAGGTCGTAGGCGCTCTAATTGGGCGATTATTTAAAATGGCTGTGGAAAATTACGACAAACATGCGATACACGCAAGAGAATGACTTTTGCAGTGACGCATTAAAATATTCTAAAGACACATTTTATCACCACTCACTATAGCAAAGCGTGGTAATTTTAGTAAGTACTTTATTGTAGGCAATCCACATTAATGGCGTGTACGCCTTAGGAACTAAGTGCTTCTCAACTAAATGTGTATCATCAGTGATGGAGGGTGTGCGCGGAGATAAATCGTCAGATGTCATAACAAATCTAGTCATATTAATAACCATTCGGAATGTGATTGCATCGAAATCGCCGGACGCTGATAAAGCAGCATCGATTATTTTCTCCTTTATTCCTTTTTATCCTTGTATAAATGTGTATTCTCAATAAATTTCATTAAGGTCCATGCCGGAAGTATTTAAGCTGTACTGCTCGAAATCGCATAATTACAATTAAAATAGCAGCTGCTGTTAAACGCGACGCCGTTAATTAATTAACACATGTAACGAGCCGCATAATTCACGCACCTACACCTAGATAACGTCGTGCGTTCTGCAGCGCGGCGTAAATTCCGAATTTGGACTTTGCGTTTGAGCTTTGGACTTTGGACTTTATAAATCTTGCCAACGCCGCTGGCGCGTTAATATATTGTTAAGGCGGCAATTTCTCCTTCCACGGCATACCACTCACACCCCTTAATATTCATGTATAGCCTTGGTCACGACGGCGGGGGTAATTTAATAGCAAATATATAGAGTAGTAATATAAAGTTAAACAGCTCGCCGGCAATGAAATTTA